TCTTACTTGTGCAACTGGAGTGTGATAGGGAATACCTCGTTTGTTTTTTGGGAATAATCATGACTTGGCTTTTGGAGATGATGAGTTTGATGTGTCTTTGAGATTTCTGAATAAGCAGTTGGTTATGTGGGTTAGGTTATCAGAGATAAGATCTGACCATAGTTTCAGAAACCAGTAACACAGGATCTATATCACTGTCTTGCACTTTGCCTCCTTACTATACTGCGAACTTAATTTTCAGAAAGCCTAAGAATACTTTTGTTATTTATGTGACTCAGAGTTTTATTTTAGTGACCATTTTACAGTGAGTTTAACTGGCATCTTGTAGAGAAACAAGTTGTTTCAGGTAAAAGTCAAAGCGTAAATGAACAATACTGCTTTGTTCAGACTAAAGTCGGATATCACAAGAACTAAAAAAGACCCTGTATTTGACAGGGTTCTATTTGCATCATGTAAAATATAAATAAAAGCTCCAAACAATGGCTCAAAATATAAAAATGGCTTATGTGTGCGTATGGCAAGGAGAGGGCTGCAAAAGCAGTGGGGAGTGGTGGTGCGGGAGGGACCTAACTAACTTCTAAAAGTTAGCTAAGGATGACTCTAATTTGCCACAGAGAATGGAAACACAATTTCACTAAAGCTATGATAAGTGATATAAAAAGAATCCAGTTAAAAGTGATATAAATAAAAAGGAGGAACACCTATAAATCAAGTAAGGATGCAACTTCATAAAACTATTTACTTGCTAGCAAACATAAAGCCAAGGAGTCCACACTTCATGAATCACCAAAATATTGACCTCATAAGAGAAGTACAAAGGCTCAGAGAAAACTAACCAGAGCTGAGAAATTGCCCTCTTATTATGTAGGCTAAGAGTTCATAAATAGGGAGAATGGAAAAAGAACAGAAAAAGTAACTTTTAGAGGAAAGGAACTATAAGAATACTTCGCCTGTTTCAAGATTTCCTCGCCTCCAGTTTCTCTCAAGAAAGTTCAACCATCAATTATATTTTCTCTCGTATATCTCTAGCCTCCTCCCCTCCCTGAGATTCTTCCTATCAGCATTTATACTTAATCGATTAAGTCTTCTTACTTAAAACAAACACAAAAAAACCCTCAATCCAACACCCTCCTCCATTACTGCTCTCTTTTTCCTTCACAAACTTCTCAAAAAAATTGGTTGAATACATTCAGTTTCCACTTAGAAGGTACTTTTCAGTCATTCTTCAATTACAGTGTGGTTGCCACCCCATTTCTCCACATTTAGCTCTCACTAAAATCACCAAAGACCTCTTTATCTCTAAACCTAATGGGCATTTTCAAATAACAAGCCCTCAACCTGCTTGGCCTTTTGGCAGCATGTTTGACCACTCTCTTGAAATACTCTTTTCCCTTGGCTTCCATACACTACACTCTGATTTCCACTTCTTCTCTACTTCTCTTTCTCAATCTCCTTTGCCAGCTAGTCCTTCTCTTTTAAATCTTGAGGTGCAAGAGGGTTTGACCTTGGGCTCTTTTCTTCTCTAAAACTATACTTTCTCCCTGGGTAACTTCATCTATGCCCAAGGCTACCATCTATACCATCTATATGCCAATGACTGCCATTATATGAATGACCATTAGAGGCTTTCAGAGGTTTGAGAGAGAGAGAGAGATCTAGATTTAATTTCCAGTTCTGTCTCATTACCTGAATGACCTTGGACTAGTTGCATAGTCTGTCTGATACTCTTTCTTCATCAGTACAATGAATATAGGGATAGTTGCCTCATGAGATTGGAAATAGTGTCTGGAAAACAGTATAGCCCTTGGCCCACATAGAAGAAACACGGAAAATATTAGCTATGATTATTACCTATTAACTGCCCTCATGGTCATCCCCCAGAGTGTTAAGAGGTCTGTAATTTTGGCTTCTGCTTTAAAATGATTGTTGTCTTTTTGTTTTGGCTGCTTTGGGTCTTTGTTGCTGCGCATGGGCTTTCTCTAGTTGCGGTGAGCGGGGGCTACTCTTCATTGCAGTACGTGGGCTTCTCATTGCGGTGGCTTCTGTTGTTGCAGAACAAGGGCTGTAGGTGCACAGACTTCAGTAGTTGTGGCACGCGGGCTCAGTAGCTGTGGTGCACGGGCTCAGTAGCTGTGGCGCGTGGGCTCTAGAGTGCAGGCTCAGTAGTTGTGGTGCACAGACTTAGTTGCTCTGTGGCATGTGGGAATCTTCCCAGACCAGGGCTCAAACCCGTGTCCCCTGCATTGGCAGGCAGATTCTTAACCACTGCACTACCACGGAAGCCTGCATTTATTTTAGTTTTAAAGTGAAGTCTGCCCAAAGAAAACTTTTGTCACATCATTGACAGATTATTTAGTAATGTAGAATAACTCATGTTCGTTTAGTTATCACTTGACACTTGGCCAGACCACAAGTATCTTTGTGAGAAGGAGAGTAAAGTGAGTTAATTTTTTTAACTGTGTTGGTAGCTGATTAAAGTTTTTATGGTTAGAAAATTTTTTTCTCATTACAAAAAAACTTTATGTTTTATGAAGTAGTGTACTTCTCATACATATAAAACACAAGTTGAATCCAGGTACCCTGTTTGAAACAGTCTGCAGGAACCATCTTTTCACATATGCATTGCCGCTAGAGATTGGAATATGCACAGTGTTGGTTACATACAATAAAGTCTGATTAATCTTTATTTTTTAATAATTCATATGTCATAGAATACAAGTCAATCAGAAAATTACTTTCAGTAAAATTTCGCTACCAGATAACAAAATGCAGTCATTAAGAATCTATATGACAGATACCAAATAATAAGAACCCAATTTTCTTTGCTGAGTTGGACTTAAATAAAATCTTCACTTAATCTTTGGAAGGATAGCTCTTTGTCATTAATTTTTGTTTTTTTTTTGAATTTTAATTTTTTATGCAGCAGGTTCTTATTAGTTATCTATTTAATACATATTAGTGTATATATGTCAATCCCAATCTCCCAATTCATTCCACCCCCCCACCCCTGCTATCCCCCCTTGGTGTCTGTACATTTGTTCTCTACAGTATGGTTAGAAAATTTTTTAACTATTGGCATATTTGTTGATTTTAGATTTTCTACTACCCCTGTCTGTTTTTAAAAACCTAGATTGACTTTTCTTAGAGTCATATTGTATTATCTATGAAAATTTGTATTTTAGAACATTTTTGAAAATTTTTTCTGAGAAATTTATAAACCAGGATTGTTTACTAAAGGAGAAAATAACTCCCTTAAAATTAATTATACCTTTAGTTTTACGTGTTTGGACATAGTAGGTAGGCTTTTCCTTTTCTTAAATTAAATTAGGGTCTTTAATATTCACCATATTGAACTGCCATTGAAGAAAATTATTTTTATCAAATATGACAAAGGTTTAATATATTTATAATGTAAGAACTCAGCAAATTAAGAAAAACTTTAATATCCTGGTAGGTAGGTGGGCAAAGGACAAGAAAAGATAATTCACAGATGAAGAACTTAGATTAAGATCTATGGCGGAATGTTTAGTCCTGCTAGCAATCTACTAAATTCAACTTAAAGCAACCATATTCTTCCCTAATAGGAATATAATTAATATTCCTTAGTAATCAGCAAAAGTAAAAAGCATAGTTAATATTGAAATATATTAATGAAACTGTTGGGTTCATGTTATTGTAAATTGGAAAACAGTTCAACATTGGATCTCTAGAGTAGCATGTTCTGTACATTCTTTAGTTCAGTTTTAGCACACTTTGTAGATCCTGTTTTAGATAAGTGATCCAAATAAGCATTAATGTACACAAATATGTTCATTTCAGTGTTATTTATAATAGAGAAAATGAGACATAATACTGTATTGATGATCTCTTGCTGGCTAACTCCACTTCCAGGATAGTTCACTCATATGGCTGTAGGCAGGAAGCCTCAGTTTTTTTGCCACATGGACCTCTTCATAGGGCTGCTTGACTGTCCTCATGACATGGCAGCTGGATCCTTAAGAGAGAGGGAGACAGAACAAGCAATGCCTTTTATGACTTAGTCTTGAAAGTCACACTGTCACTTCCACCACATTTGATTTGTTAAAAGTGAACCACTAAGTCCAGCTTACATTCAACAAGAGGAAAATTAAGCTCCTCTCCTTTGTTTTTAAAATTTATTTATATTTTATTTATTTATCTATTTTTGGCTGCATTGGTTCTTCGTTGCTATGCACAGGCTTTCTCTAGTTGCGGTGAGTGAGGGCTAGTCTTTGTTGCAGTGCGCAGGCTTCTCATTGCGGTGGCTTCTCTTGTTGTGGAGCACAGGCTCTAGGCACACAGGCTTCAGTAGTTGTGGCATGCGGGCTCAGTAGTTGTGGCGCACGGGCTTAGTTGCTCCACGGCATGTGGGATCTTCCTGGACCAGGGCTCAAACCCATGTTCCCTGCATTGGCAGGCGGATTCTTTTTTTTTTTAATTTAAAAAAAATATTTATTTATTTTTGGCTGTGTTGGGTCTTCATTATTGTGTGCAGGCTTTCTCTAGTTGCAGTGAGCGGGGGCTACTCTTCGTTGTGGTGCACAGGCTTCTCGTTGCGGTGGCTTCTCTTGTTGAGGAGCACGGGCTCTAGGCGCACAGGCTTCAGTAGTTGTGGCACGCAGGCTCAGTAGTTGTGGCTTGAGACCTCTAGAGTGCAGGCTCAGTAGTTGTGGCACGTGGGCTAAATTGCTCTGTGCCATGTGGGATCTTCCCGGACCAGGGCTCGAATCCATGTCCCCTGCATTGGCAGGCAGATCCCTAACCACTGGGTCACCAGGGAAGCCCATGATATAATTTTTAATGGTTTAGTTTTCCAAGCAAAAATAAAGTTGTTAGATTATCAGGAACTCTTAAGAGGATACAGATATAACTTTAAGAGATGACAAAATTCTTTTCTGACTTTCATGAAAGGCAAGATAGGGCATTTTCTTTACTAATATTATAATACTGATTTTCAGTGAATGCTGATGATGTGATTGCAGGTAAATTGGCAGGATGAGGAGCAGCAAATCAAAAGAGGTGCCTTTACCAAATCCAAGGAACTCTCAAAGCACGGATACTGTTCAAGGTATGATTTGTTTTTTTTTGAAACTGAACTTAATGATTTGTTTAGGTCATGTGCCTAAAATTCTGGGCTATTCAGTAAATGAAAATTATCCTTATGCTTTGTTTTATAACAAGTGGATAAATAATTTTTAAAATTCAATTTTGTTTTAAATATACAAGATACTTTATATTCAAAGGCACCCAATAGTAAACTGTTTTGTAAGGGAAAACATCCTTTTTAAAAATGAATCAGTATATGTAAAATCAGTTATATACAATATCTTACAAATTCTGACTTAATGTTAATAAATATCATACAGCTCCCAATATAGTTATAGACTTGTAGTGCACAGATAACAAAAATAATAGTCTCATTGAACTCTTTTTTTTTTTAAATGATGCATTGAGGGTAACTTTAATTTAGGGCATGATATTTTTTGAGGGACGTTGACAAACTGGAGTATATCTGGAGCAAGATTATTGGGTTTGTGAGGGATCTGGATATCACGTCACATGAGGGGCATTTGGAGGAGATGAAAATAGTTATCCTAGAGAAGGATGACTCAAGGGAAATATATAGACTTAAACTCTTTGAAGGGCTGTTATCTGAAAGACTAAATGGATGTTACCTTGTTTCTACTAGTAGATTGAAGTCTGGAGTAGTTTTCCAATCTTTTCATATCATAATATGAAATGCAGTACAATACTATATTTTGTATTTGTTCAGCTCATTGGGATAAACTGAGGATACTGCTTATTGTTAGAGATGTCTGATGGAGTGTAGGTGGCGGGGGCGTGTTAGTCCAGTTGCCCTAAGGACTAGTGGGATCAGTGTCTAATACAACTAAACCTTATATTGGGAAGCTTGGCTTTAGAGGATGGGAGAGGAATCATGTTTTGGCTCAATATAATAAAGCACTTGCTGGGGAATAGTTCTGCCTAATAAAGTGATTCTCAAACTTTTGAGTGCATTTGGGACCTATTAAAATGCAGATTCCAAGGTACACTTCAGAGATTCTAATTCAGTAAATATCAATATTCCCCAGCAGATATAACCACACCATGGGATGCACTTTCTCAGACCAAGGCTGCTGTAAGTAATTATAGGTTCCATTTATTTCTTTCTAGTCTAAAATTGATTGCCTGTTATGATTGAATAGATTACAATTTTTTCCTGTAGTGCTTTTTTGATAAGAAAATAAGGTTAAACATTTCTGTAAGAAGTTATCTATATGTTACAAAATGAACATTAATGACAACTATTAGACAGTAAAGCAATAATTAAGACACTAAGTATCAGAAACATTAACACTATGGCATATAAAGGATTAAGATAATTTGTACTATTTATTCTGCTTTAATAAATTTGCTCAATTGGTATGTTGAGATGAAGATTTAAAACATAGAATGTATTTTAGAAGGTGGGGCTTTGTCTATGTAAAAGGCTCAGAGTCAGGAAATGAAAGGAACAGCTTTTCCTTGAGTGGACTGTGAGTTACCTCCTCTTTTTTTGTGGCAATAGCAGTCTGTTTTCTCTTAGCACTGCTGAAGAAGCATGATTATGGGCAAATGTTCTCATTTATGTTCTGTCCAATCTTGTCTGGAGTTTAGAAATCCAAATTTGGCAAGTGATACATAGCTTCTTCAAAGAGAGACCTTTTCCTTTTTTCTTTTTCATCTGCTCTCTAGGCAAATTACTCTTCTAATATATATTTTGTTTGTTTTCTTTTGTATTCTACCTGAGTTCGAATTATCTATTTCTTTACTGCCTGAATATGGTGTTTTCTGTCCCCTAATCTTTTGAACTGGTTTGAAAATCAATCTGGAAAAGGTACTATAACCTAGGTTTGGTCATAATGCAGAGTCAAATTTTGGCCCCGTGAATACAGCAATCAGTATATATTCTCTCTCTTCTACTTGAGTATTGTACATCTATAACATAGGAATAGTTTCTATCCCCAGTTTAATTTAGAGCTAAACTAATTTAGAGATGAACTGTTAATAGTTGTTTTCCAAAAAAATTATTGGGCTTTTAAAAAGAATTTTTAGGGATAAGTGGTTCATAATATAAATGGGGGAAAACGTCTGATACAGAACTATTAATATATAAAGGATTATTCCAATCTTGTGAGTACATTGCACTGCAAAAATCTGAAAGAAGATAAATCAGAATTTTACACAACGTTTCTATCTCTGTGTGGTGGAATTTTGATGATTTTAATTTTATTTTTTTCTGTTTTCTGTTTTTTACAAGTTTTCTCCTGTAAGCATGTGCGGGGAAAATGCTATTTAAAATCATTGGTGGTAATATCAAAAGTCGACTTAAAAAAAAAAGAAAAAAAGTCGACTTAAATTGTAAAGCGTATGGAAACCTGAATTCTATCTTGTGAATTTTGTCCTTATTGTGAAACTTATTCTGTAGATATAAAACTATAAAAAATTGTGGTGGGCTTCTCTGGTTGCACAGTGGTTAACAATCCACCTGCCAATGAAGGGGACACGGGTTCAAGCCCTCGTCTGGGAAGATCCCACATGCTGCGGAGCAACTAAGCCCGTGCACCACAACTATTGAGCCTGCGCTCTAGAGCCTGCAAGCCACAACTACTGAAACCCGTGAGCCTAGAGCCCGTGCTCTGCAACAAGAGAAGCAACTGCAGTGAGAAGCCCGTGCACCACAACGAAGAGTGGCCCCTGCTTGCTTCAACTAGAGAAAGGCTGCACGCAGCAATGAAGAACCAACGCAGCCAAAAAAAAGTTGTGGCTATTTGAATAGTCCTAAATTTTAGTTTAGCTGAATTGTTTTTTCCTAATTTTTGCATGTAAAATGCATAAAATACATAGAAATGCACAAATATGTAGCTTAATGATATGCAACATACAATGTCAGAAAATTTACTGCTTTTAAAAAACTCAATGATTAAAAAAATAGGTCAACAGGACAAATAGAAACTCCTTGATGTTCTACAGACTTTTTGATTTTTCTTGTCCAGATTTGGGCAGCATTGAGCCAGTTGTTAGTAGAGCTTAAGTAGTAAATAATGGGAAAACTATTTTTTTAAATTAAAATAAAGCATTCCTAAGTTTTTTCTACTTTGGAGAAAGGTGTTGGACAATATAGTTTTAAATAACTAATTAAATTGATGGTAGCTGGTTAATTAATAGGATTAACCTGTTTGTTTTGATGGTGTTTAAACTTTAGCTGAGACACATTGAAAACAAATTGGAAGTAGCCCCTACAAGTACAGCTGTGTTTGATTCTGTCATGGATACCAAGAAATCTTCTGCAAGTGCTACCAGAAAAATAAGTAGAAAAGGTATGTATGAGGTTAATTCCAAAGATATAAATACCTTAAATATGAACTTTGATGTTTTATTTCAACTTAATTTCTTCTTATAGTCCCATGTATTTCCTTGTTCTTTTGTCAGAGACTATATACCTCATCAGCATTTAGGTTTTTTTTCTTTGGTACTGAGTAGTTATGAAGCAGCCTTGTATTCAGTGACTGTAGATGACATTTTCACCATCTTTTGATCAGGGACTTAGCACCACTGCATCACCTTTGATAGTGAGTTTTCATATGTTGTTAATGAGAATTTGATTTTGAGCCTTTAGGGTTATAATGTCTTTTTTTTTTTTTAATTCACAGGTATATCACTTTGAAATTTAGTTGACTTAAGATTTATATTTTTTTGTTGGGGTTTAAAATCAAAATTCTGTCTTAGAGATACTATCATAAATTGACACAGTGTAAATATTTTCTTTGGTTACCTTTCATATATTTAATTCTGTGGTTGCATAATTAGTGGAATAAACCTGCAGGTTAGTACTTTCCACCGATACTGTGATTCTTTTTTATTAATCTGTGAGTCTTGGGTTTTATCTGATACTTCTTTTTTTTTGGGTCGGAACTTTTGACAAAAAGGAATTTTTTATGTAGAATTTTATTTTGCATTGTTTGCTCAGAATATAGTCTTTCTCTATAAGTTGAGTTACTGTAATAATTTAACTTGAATTTTTCCCATCTACTTATATAATATCCAACCAGGGATTTCAGAAATAATAGATACCTAAGTTATTTTCTTAAATACTAGCTGCATTCAGAGACAGTTGTATTTTATATCATATGTTCTCATAGATTTCCTTTTTCTTCAGATGGTAGATACCTGGATGATTCTTGGGTTAATGCTCCAACCTCCAAATCTTCTAAATCACGAAAAGAGAAATCTCGTAGTCCTCTCAGAGCTACCACCCTGGAGAGTAACGTAAAGAAAATTAATCGTGTGGAATTTCGTGAACCTTTAGTTTCTTACAGGTTAGTGTTTTTTTTTTTGTTTGTTTTGTTTTTTAAAAATTATCAAATAGAGTTAATCTGTAGTATTTATAGTAAGAGTATAGTTTATTTTCTCAGTTTTTCATAGCACTCTGGATCTAGTATTATTACCTTTTTCATTTCCCAAAAAGGTAAAGCAAAATGTTTTATATTATGAAATGCTGACTTTCTGTTCTTTTACAGATGGAATATTTGGGGAGAAGAAGTAGTAATATTTGCTCCAGACCACTGCCACTGTAATAAATATGTTTCCTACAAATGAATTATTCAGTTTCTTTTATCACCTACTGTATGAAACATTGCCAGATCTGTTTCTACCCCAGTTCATTCTCCAGCTTATTTAACCCTTCCTCTGTGCTTCCTCTTCCTCTGAAAGAGCACTTTCATGTTGGCATTATATTTTGATTCCATATCTACCCATTACATTAGTTTAAGACTGTAAATCTGTCTTATTCTCAAAGCATTATCTTAATGCCTGTTATTTACTAAGTATTCTAGATATTTTTTCCAACATTTTATTATGAAAATTTTCATATTCATAGAAAAGTTGAAAGAACTGTATAGTGAATATTTAATGAGTAGTGATTGAAAGACTGTGTGAAATTACTTTACTTTTTTTTTTTTTTGGTGAGTTGTTCTTTTTAAGATTGAAGCATAGTAGATAACCTACCATTTTATGCTTTATTTTATTCTCTACATGTGCTAATTTTAGACCTGTGAATTGTTGCAGTCTGGTCAAGATAGTGAAAATAATTGAATTTAGTCTTGATCTCTACAGAGAGAAGCTACAGAACTCAGTTCTCAGCCCCCATCTTGTTTAATAGTCAGCCATTCAGAACAGGGTCTAATGTTTTTTGGGTCATGGACCCCAGTGAGAATGTGATGAAAACTGTGGACTATCTCCTTAGAAAAATGCACACACTGTGCACTCACAATAGATACAAAATTACCATATTATGCTGTAATAGAGTCATGACTCTAAGAATTTTTGTGGCATTTAGAGTTTTATGCCTGTACATGAAACATTTAGATCAGTACTTACAATGGAACCATTAATGTGAACCACACATATGTAATTTAAAGATTTTTAGTAGTCACATACACACACACAAATATGTTTTACATTCTTTTTTGTTTTAAATCTTTAAATCTGGTATGTAATTTACATTATAGCACATCTCAGTTTGGACTAACCACATCCAAGTGCTCAGTTGCCACATGTGGTAAATGCTACTCTTTCAGACCTTGCAGGTTCAGATGGTGGTTTATCTGCTTTTATAACTTTGTTGGGTAGTTTTTATTTTTCTTTTCTTTTTAAAAAATTTTTTATTTATTTATTTATTTTTTGGCTGTGTTGGATCTTCGTTGCTGTGCACGGGCTTTCTCTAGTTGTGGTGAGCACGGACTACTCTTCATTGAGGTGCTCAGGCTTCTCATTGCGGTGTCTTCTCATGTTGCGGAGCACAGGCTCTAGGCGCGCAGGTCTCAGTAGTTGCAGCATCCAGGCCCTAGAGGGTGTGGGCTTCAGTAGTTGAGAAGCGTGGGCTCAGTAGTTGTGGTGCGCAGGCTCAGTAGTTGCAGTGTGTGGGCTCTAGGGCGTGCGGGCTTCAGTAGTTGTGGCACGCAGGCTCAGTAGTTGTGGCTCACGGGCTCTAGAGTGTAGGCTCAGTAGCTGTGGCACATGGGCTTAGTTGCTCCGCGGCATGTGGGATCTTCCCAGACCATAGATCGAACCCGTGTCCCCTGCATTGGCAGACAGATTCTTAACCACTGCACCACCAGGGAAGTCCCTGTTGGGTAGTTTTTCATGTATTCTTCCTACTGCTGAGGCTTGTCTTCATTAACCTCCCTTTTAATTAACTGCTCTGTTCCTAAAATATAACTTATTAGAATGATATGTAAAATAAAAATAGTTCGTGAAGGAATACTTTTGCTAGTGTTTTTATGAGTAGAGAACATGGACTTTGTGATATGTACTTTGGCTGTGTCCAGTCTTCTTTGCTTATTCTGGTGTTTCTAGATATGCTTTACATAATTTGAAGCTGCCAGAAAACTTGTCTGTGTTTCAGAGAGGTTAAACTTTACTAACCACATTCATTTGGAGGAAAATATTTACTGTACTTCCACTTTATTTCAACTTCCAATCTATTTGCTAATATGGTACATTATTTAGAAGTTATACATATGAAATGTCAGAATTTGAGAACTTTTTTTCCTAGTTCTTAAGATTTCATGGAGAAGTAAAATGTACATTTTGGTAATAGTGTCCAGTGAATATGCAAAGTCAGATTGTAATCCTGTTTTCTGGGGTTCTTAAGGAAATCTCTCTCTGTATCTTTTGCATATTTCTTATTTTATAATATGCAGATTATGATTTAGATTATTTGCCATAATCTAAACTTTGATACACAGGAGGCATTGAGCATTGATTGTTTTTTTTTTTTTGCGGTACGCGGGCCTCTCACTGTTGTGGCCTCTCCTGTTGTGGAGTACAGGCTCCGAATGCGCAGGCTCAGCGGCCATGGCTCACGGGCATAGCCGCTCCGCGGCACTTGGGATCTTCCCGGACCGGGGCACGAACCCATGTCCCCTGCATCGGCAGGCGGACTCTCAACCACTGCGCCACCAGGGAAGCCCTGAATTTTAATAGTAGTAATGGTTATTTTGTTTTTTTTAACTTACTGGAACTTCTGGGATTTTGGGGTCTCTAATGTTAGCTTAGAGTTCTCTATTCAGTTTGTATGACTGGTTTTTGTACTCTTTATTCAAAGCTAATTATTTTTTAATAACAGGGAAGTCCATGGTACACCGTCCAACATAAGTCCCAGCCATTTAGAGTCAAAGCATATATATTGTGTGGATGTTAATGAAGAGAAGCCTGAGAGTGGGAACCGGATGATATGCAGTCAGGAAGATCGGAATATACATTGCTGTGATTTTGAGAGCTCCCAATCATCTGTCGTCAATGATACAGTTGTTAGATTTTTAAATGATCGACCAACAATTGATGCATTGCAAAATTCTGAATGTTTGATTAAGATGGCAGCTCCTATGAGAAGTGATGAAGAAAGGCCTAATAGAGCAAAAGGAAATGAGAACACTTTGAAGGCTTCTGTGTGTAACATGGGCCGTGATGTTGATTCAAAAGTGTTACGGTTAACTGATTCTTCTCCATCTTCTACTAGTACCTGTAATTCCCAAAGATTAGATATCCTAAAGCGGCGACAACATGATGTTAAATTGGAAAAACTCAAGGAGCGGATTAGGAAACAGTGGGAACACTCAGAAGAAACAAATGACCAGGGCCAGAATCTGGGTCATATTGAGCATCCAGTAATGGTTGTTAATGTTGATAGCTCAGTGACAGCAAAGGTCAGGAAAGTGGCAACAGCACCACCTGCTCCAACATATAAAGGTTTGTAATCAGTCTTTGTGTCTTTTTCTGTCTTCCTGCCTCCTTGTCTCCCTTTCTCCCTTGGATGTATTTGAGTAGAGAGGACCATCTTTAGAACAGGGTGTGATTCTCAAATCTAATGCCTTAAAAAATTAATTCAGGATGCATGCTAAAAATGCAGATTCCTGGATCCTACACTGGATCTAAATCAGAATTTCTGGACATGGGGTCCAGAATTGGAATTTTTAACAAGTCCCTCGATGTTCTTATAGTTTGAGAACCACTATATGAACATTTAATAAGTTAAACAAAAGAGAAAATAAAAATTAGTACAACTTTCAGAGAACTGAAAGAATATTGCTCTTATTCTGCCATTGTATTTGGATTGTTATTAGGAATTCTTTCAAAAGTAATGTTTGAAAGATAATTCAGTCAGTGCCAGTTAATACTTGGTTATAGAATATTTTGCCACTGACATTTGGACCCTGTTGTTACGTAAACCTTCGAATTTTGACAGGGGTTTTCTCCATGTTTAAGAAAACAATATTTAAATCAGATTTCCACTGAGAAGATGCTTTTCAGAGAGAATATCTGGTTTTGGCCCAACTCAAGTTTTTATATATGGTGGTTTTTAGGAGTTTGCATTTTTTTGCTCCTGAAACTATTTTCACAGGGTCACCCATATAAAATTTTTAATAAAGAGTTGATTCATTGATGAGGTTATTCAGTGTTAGACTTTTGTCCTAAAATTCTTGCCATTCTGGCCTTTCTTTTGTGATATTTTTTCAAGTTCAGTTTTTAGTTTGGATAAATATATAAAGATCAAAATATAGCCAAGATTTGTTTCTTCTGTTAATTTTAACAGAACAAATTTAACTATATAAAGTTTGAGCAATTACCAGTTTTTTGTGTTGTTTATTATGTTTTGCTAGTGCTATTCATTGTGAATTAGATAAAAGATAGATAATTAGCATTTTATTCTACATAATTTGTGATAAAATAGTGGGTAGTTCCCTTAGTAAAATTCTTTCTTATCCTTCTAGTAGTTTGTGTGCCATGTAGTAATAATTGTCCACACTGTTGACAGAGCACATAGCAAATGGTGGGGTCAGAATGTTCTTGTTGGTTCTGAGATAGTGATTATCCAAAACTTTGGCTATACTTATATCAGACCCATTAAATACAGATTGTACCTTTAAGGTTTGTTCATTCTAGAAGTCAAAGTTCTGAAATTCCAAAAGTTATTCCACTAAGGCAAAGTCAAGATCGTTGATTTGAATCTATATTTTATTTAATAATTTATAAAAATCTAAAAGTTAAAAAAAACAACCTTAAATAACCAGAGTGAAAATCCTTAAGTATAACTTCCTTTGAGTTGTGACTGGATTTCGTGTATTCCTTTTACTTACTAATTTTTAACATGTTAATTTTCATATTAAAATATATTATGAATACAACTTTTGGGAGGCTAATGACATGTAGTATACATTTCAGAAATCGTAACAGAATATGGTTTCCAGTGTCCTGAGCAATGGATTTATTTTTTCCAACGGTGAAGAACTGGTTTTCTGCCAACTTTTTGTTGGTGTAAATTAAAACCCTCTTAATATACTGTATTCTAAAGTGACATTTTAATTTCACTTGTTCAAATACATAATAAATTCACTTGGTTCACAATTCGAAAGATGAAAAGGATGTACATTGAAAAGCTCTATCACTCTGGTGCTCCAACCACCTGGTCCCCTTTCTGGAGGTTACTTGTGTTAACAATTTGCGTATCATTCCAGAGATAATTTTCTCATTTACAAATGAGAGAGAGAGGGTGTGTGTGTGTGTTTTCTTTCTCTCTTTTTTTTTTTTTGCGGTACGCGGGCCTCTTACTATTGTGACCTCTCTCGTTGCGGAGCACAGGCTCCAGATGCGCAGGCTCAGTGGCCGTGGCTCACGGGCCTAGCCGCTCTGCGGCATGTGGGATCCTCCCGGACCGGGGCACAAACCCACTTCCCCTGCATCGGCAGGCGGACTCTCAACCACTGTGCCACCTGGGAAGCCCCTCTTTCTCTTTTTATACAGTTGTTAGCATATGAAACCCCTTCTAAACTTTGTTTTTACATTTTTGTGTGTGTATGTTTAAAGTTTGAAGTAGTGAACACAGTGGCGTTTATGTGATTCTTCCTTATACTTAGTGGTTTGCATATCTTTTTCTTTCTGGTTTAAATGCCCAAGAAGGTTAAGAGCCTATTTTGGTCATCTGTATTTTATTTAGAGCTTAGTACAGTGTCTTGGACACAAGTAAATGCACAGTATAATTTTATTCTATTCAGTAAATTCAACTAGTAAGAAAAAATGTGCACAAAGAGAATGGAAATAAAAACTGGGAAACAGAAAGAGAAACTGATGTAGATATTGAAAGCTTCTTAAAGTTAACTTGTTAGTAAAGATCAAATATAAAGAAAGGCTCCCATAGAAATAAATGTTTCCTAAAGAGGAGAGAAGAAAAAATGATAGGGTTGAATATAGAGAGATGGAATGAGGGTGAGAAATGTTGGGAGGGAGGTAGCTTTACAAGGAATTGCCACACTTTCTTGTTACAAACTGTGGTTTGCAATAGACTGAACACTATGTTTATAAACATTTTCCTTATATAGCTATAGGCATAATTGTGTGTGCCCCATGCTACAAATGTCAGGTAAAATAAAGCTTATACTGTTGTTCCTAAGAGCTGAATAGATTATTTTTTATTAGACATGTAATTAATTTACCAGTACATTTTATCTAACACTTCTAAAGTACTTTTACCAATTTTTGACTCCATTCTTTATATTGATTTAATTTTACAAAATATTTAATGGCGATTCTTTGGTGAGTGGAACCCATTTGAAAATATAAATCTTTTTACTACTCTGGTTAATCATCCATATTCGATACTTTATTATTTTTTTGCAAAATAACATTCTAAGTTCTGTATATTTCTTAAAAGAATAGTGATAAATTTGAAGTAGGAAATTAGAATGATTTCTAGGAAATAGCACATGTGTAATGTTTGTTGAGAAATTGAACAGGTATGTTTTAAAGAACTGTTTTCCACACTTCGGCTGCATTTTGCCTGTGTAGACAGCAGCTTGTCCATTTGTTCAGCCATAGGCAAAATCAGACAGATGTTAGCAATTAATGCCTGTATTCAAAGAAAAGGAGAATGAGTAGCATTGTCTCTCTTTTAGTCTTGAGTAGGGTAGTTTGTAGCTCTGATATCCATAATTTATGATTGCCATCTTTTTATCATTTAATTTAGTGCATCTCCATTTCTAGTCTTTTTGAACAAATGTATATTGCTTTGTCTCACTGAAGCTTAGTTCTTCCAAACAGTATTTGTTAACATATTATGTGGTAGCTAATGATGCATTCTTCTTTTGAAAGCTTATAAACCTTTTCAACATCATTAGTTATTAGGGATACATAAATCAAAACCACGGTGAGATACCATTTCACACCTTCTAGGGTGGCTATAATAAAAAAGACAGACAATAACAAGTGTTGGTGAGGATATGGAGAAATTGGAACCCTCATACATTGCTAGTGAGAATGTAAAATGGTGCAGCTGCTTTAGAAAGCAGTTTGGCAGTTCCTCAAAAAGTTCAACATAGTTACTATATGACCCAGAAATTCCACTCCTAGGTATAATACCCAAGGGAATTGAAAACATATACATACACACACACACACACACACACACACACACACACACGTGCATTAATGTTTATAGCAACATTATTCATAATAAAGTAGAAACAACCCAAATTTTCATCAGCTGATAAGCAAATGTTGGTATGTCTGTACAATGGAATATCATTCAACAATAAAATAAATAAAGCTTCTATATTTGTTATAAGGTGGATGAGCTTTGAAAACAAAATGCTAAGTGAAAGAAGCTAGACACAAAAGACCACATATTGTGTGATTCTATTTTTATGAAATGTCCAGAACAAGCAAGTCCATAAAGATAGAAAATAGATTAGTAGTTGCCAGGGAATAGAGGGAATGGTGTGGGGAGTGACTGCTAATGGGCACAGGGTTACTTTGCAGGGTGATGAAATGCTCTGGAATTAGATAGTGGTGATAGTTGTATAACTTTCTGAATATCCTAAAAACCAGGGAGTTGTACACTTTAAAAGAGTGAATTTTATAGTTTATTAATTTTATCTCACTTATAAAAGAATATAACAAAACTTTTAATGCAACTTTAATAAGAATGTTCTGTATTGTTGGTTATATATTAGGCTTCAATCCTTCAGAGACCAAGATTCGAACACCTGATGGGAAAGTATGGCAGGAGGCTGAGTTTCAAAACATGAGTAGAGAACTGTATCGTGACTTAGCACTTCACTTTGCAGGTGCGTGTAGAGTGTTCCTAGGTTTTGAGTGTTTTATCATGCATACTGTCTAACATGCAATACTTAAACATAAAATTGTCACCAAACTAAAGATATTTCCCTTTTCTAACTTCATGGTATACTAAAGTAGTGATGGTGTCAGTTGTAAGGCTCTTTTAGCCTCTGGGCTCTGTTCCAGGGTTAAAATTAGCATACATAGCTGATGAGGCAGAAACTAGGCTATTTTTAAACTAAGGGTCTTTCTGAGCTGGGCTTGTCTGATCTGAAGAAAACATAGTAGAGTCTAGTTGAAATTCACTTCTACTAGACCTCTGAGGTCTTTGAAATGGTCAGTAATTTGGCAGGCAGCAGATAAGATAACTAACATGAAGGCAAAATGCAGGAAGAGAAATGAACATTATAGGAAGGGAATAATGTTAGAGGATTGGAAGGAGGAACTTATGGAAATTGGAAGAGGGAAATAGGAAGGTCATACTCATAATGTTACTACTATTGAACACCTTGTATGATTCTGGGCAAGATGCTACTGGGTACTTAGTCTTCTGAATGTTTTACGGTTGAGGAAATGTAGGCCCAAAGAGTAATTTTCCCGAGGTTGCATAAAGTTAAGAATTGAAGCCAAGGTTCAAAACCAGGTCTGTCTGACTCTAAAGCCTGAGAACTTTCTAGTAAGCCCCAGTGGAGATTTTGCTAATAAATATTGTGGCATTAACTGTCCAGTCCAATTTTCCTACTGTTACTGTTGGAACACTATTTTCAGAAATTTTTTCCCATGTGGAGAGGAAAGATATTAGTTAAGAGCAAAGATTTTGGAATCAGTTTACAGGGGTTCAAATTCTGGCTCTGCCACATATTAGCTATTTATACTATCTATGTTATATAACCTCTCTTCCTTGGTTTTCTCATCTGTAAAATAGGAATAATAACTATATAATTCATAGAACAGTATCATTATAGACTAGTGGAATGACGTATGTCAAAAAACTCTTAAAGAGGTCTGTGGATTATAATCTGCCTTCTCTTTTGATATGGTGGGTGAACTCTGCCTGGTCTCCTATCTTAAACAAACAAACCCATCTACTTGTGTTTTATATTCCATTTGCTCTTGTGTATTGAAGGACATTACTTCAGCCTTGTTTTCTTTCTTTTGCACCATCAAGTTTTCCCTCTCTACGAGGTCATGCCCATCAACATACTGTTTGATAACATGCTGTTATCTCAGCCATCATAAAAGAACCCCTCTTTTGGCCCTACTCGTTTTAGCAACTACCTTGTTTCTCTTCTTTTACTTAAAACAGAACTTCAGAAAGTTGCCTTATCTTCGTTGTCTCCAATTTTTCTCCTCTGTTTTACTCTTGAAACCTTTCTGTTAGGTTTTTGCTCCTACATGTCTGTGGACTGCTGTTATCAAGGTCATCAATGACTTCCACTCTTCCACATTGCTAAATCCAATGTTTAATTCACATTTGTCAGCCTACTTGATCTCTCAGCATCATTGGGCATCACTGATCACTTCTTCCTTGAAATTCTTCGCTTGGCATCTGTGTAGGATACCATAAGTGTCTAAGTCTAGCTGCTCCTTTTCAGTTGTTTTTTTCCTAATCGACTCTGTGATCTCTGAACATCAGCATGTCCTGGTCTCAGTGCTTGGATCTGTGCTTCTCTTTTCTTTATTTTTCTTTTCTTTTTTTTTTTCTCTTCTTTACTCCTCCACCCCTTTCTTTTTCCTTTTTTGTTTTTTAAATTTTTTGTTTATCTATATACAAGCTCGGCAAGCTCATCTAGTCTCAGGACTTTAAATATGCTCTGTTGCTGATGATTCCCAAATTTAGGTCTCTGGCCAGACTTCTCTGAACTCAGATTGATATCCAGCTGCTAACTCTGCACCTTCCCCTGGATGCATAATAGATTTCTTAAGTTTAATATATCCAAAAATGGAGCTAGCTAACTAACTAAATGGGGTCATGGTACACCCCTTAAACTTATTCCTGTGGTAGTCTCTCCATTTTAGTTAATCTTATCTTTCTGGTTGTTCAGGTCCCAAATCTTGAGTCATCCTTGATCACTCTATTTCTCTCACACCTTATATCTAACATTGTCTGAAATATAACCACTTTCCCCTACCACCTAGGTCTAAGCCCTCCACCATCAGTCTCTTGGTTGGATTACTGCAGTAGCTTTCTAACTGGTTACCCTGCTTCTGCCCTTCTTCTAATGGGTCTGTTTTCATCGCAGCTGTGAGAGTAACCTTGTTAAAATTTAATTTAGGTCATATCACTCCTTTGCTCAAAAATTTCTTATCTTATTTTTGAGTAAAACCTGAAGTTCTTACAATGAGCTATAAAGCCCTACATGATCTTGCCCTCGGTTATGTCTCTTGACCCTAGTTCTTTCTGCTCTTCTCTTTGTTCACTTCATTCACACTGGCTTCCTTGCTGTTTCTTAGACACTAAGTATGCTCCTGCCTCAGGGCCTTTGACTCACATTTACTTTTTCTTTGCCCAGAATGCAGAGCTCTATATGTATTTTAAAGTACATTTATCCAGATCTGTGATTGAGATTAATTTTCAAATTTATATGTTCAGTTTATTTCCCCAGATTGGAATTTAAAAATTAGTGAGTAATTTATGTGTGTGTGAAAAACCTTGACATATTTCACTAGCATAATCATAAAAGGGCCTAATGTAGGAATATTGAGTATTTTATAAAGTTTTACTCTAGAAGGTCATGAATGTCTCAGTTAAGTAGGAATTTTTAAATGAAAAGGAGTCTGTGAAAGTGTTCACCTCTGAGATTCTATAAATGCGATGATCTAGCTTGGAAAGCATTACTGTTGCAGCATCTTCTAGTTTGTGAAAGCGAGGTGACTTTCTCAAGGGTTTCTTGAAAAAAATAACAAAGAATTGGAACCTAACAGTGGAGTAATGGTGATCTCTAGACTTTGCTGTAAGAGGACTTGGCATTGTAGCCTTTGGGTCAAAGAAATAGCATCAGTGAAGGTTTCTCTCTCTCTGCCTGAATCATATACTTTATACAGATTTTTCATACTGGTGGGGAGGATGAGTGGATAGGTAGCAATCGTTATAATATTTGCTATATATGTTTCTGCTTTTCAGGTGATAGCTCTATGAAAGAAAAACCTGCTGAGAAAAGTAAAGAGAAGAAAGTGGTCAAGCCAGTACGAAAAGTCCAAAAGGTAGCACAGTTATCAAGTCCAGAATGCAAAACAGGTTGGTTTTCTCAATATCAGGCCCATCCTAAAGTTACATATTAGTGAAATGGCATCTACACGGAAATAAATGTTCTCATTATTCGACACGTGCAAAAATTCAGTATGTTTTATGTATCATTATTTTGTATATGTGTGTTTGAGGTATAATTGACATAGAGTAAGTTATACATATTTAGAATGTATAGTTTGATAAATCTTCATGTATGTGTATACTCATCAAACCATATATTCACCATGATACTGAACAATGCTCCCCTCCAATTTTTTTCTATCATTATTTTTAATAGAAATTAACCAGATTAAAGGTAATGATTTTTATGTAGTGAACTTTTATATACAAAGGGATGGCTTATGACTGTAGCTAAGTTCCTTCACTCATTCTCATAAGAGAATAAATGTTGCACAAGAAAAATCTGGCAGTCCATGCTAGTAGTGATCAGGCTGGACTCTGAATAAATCAAAAAGGGGGAAAAAGAGAATTCCCTAGTTCCATAGTGATTAACATTTCAGGCTTGATCCAGATTGCCTGGGATTTATAACCTGGCTCTATAACAAATAGTTAACAGTGATTACCTTTGAAGGGGATGGTATTACAGGGAGTTTCACATTCTATTTTACAGATATATAACAAAACTACACACTACTTTTTAATGCATAAAACAATGACATTCAAAAAGCAAATATCATCAACACTTTAAATTGCCCTCATTATAAAACTTCATAAAAATATATTTCAATAAATACAGCTGTTTACCAAGAGAAAAAATTTTCATTTATTAGCTTCAGATTGTAAAAAAATTAACAGACCATTATTTCAAAACAGATGGTAACATAAAAAACAAAAAATGACGTGAAAGACCATTTACAAAATAGAAACCATTAAAAAAAACTGAAATAAATATGTAAAAGTGTTTAAATGCAAAGCAATATAAGAAATGTAATGAAAATGAAAATAATGAAGTAGCACTTTAAACCTAATTAAATTAGAAGAAAATACTTTTATATTCATAGCCAAAGCTGGTAAATTTACAATAAAAATCACTCTTATAAAAATCATACTTATACCATGCTTGTTGAAATATCAATGGATATAGTTTCTCTAAAAAAAAGAAAAAATAGTATTATATGTCAAAGTGCTCATTTTCCTTGATCAAATAATCCAAGTAATATATCCAACAGAAAGAAAAAAAATAAATGAAAATGTTCACTGTATAATTTTTTATAATATCAGAAGTAACCTAAATATTGAATGGTAGATAGTTAAACTATGTTTCTGTTAGAAGGAGTATTGTGTGGCCACTTCAAGTTATAATTTCTGTAAGAAATAACAAATATTCTTGTCATAAGATGCTAAGAGAAAAAGGTAAAATTTTATGGATACAATGGCTACAATCACCTACTACTGATCTTTAAATTACTGTAAGGAAATACACAAAATAATACTAGTACTTTGTTTAAGTAAGGGCAGTGGTTTTTAATCTGTCTTCTTCTATTTTCCAAGCTTTCTGTGATACTATTTTATTGATTTATAATTTTAAAAAATACCATTTAGAGTTTCATTTGAAAGTTTAAATGGAAGTATACATTTAATGAAAACATCTATTATTAAAAAACATGAATTATAAAGGTGTGCTATTTACTTTAGAAATGTTTTTGTACCTTTTTATTAACCTTAATCGGTCTATCTAAAACATTTAAAAGGTTTTAAGTCTATTGCTCAGTCTATTTATACAGAAACTTTATGTGAAAGGACTTTCCCTCATAGCACTTAAGAAAACACAAAACCACCCCCTCACGTCCCTGCGCATTTCTGCGGAGGCTAGGATGCCTGACAAAGTGTAGCCTTTTATCTTGTTTCAGGATGCATATTTATTACAAGTGCTCTGGTTAAATATTGAAAAGTTACATGCTGTAGTTTAGCATTTTGCCTTTGTAATTTACAGAAAGTATTGCAGAAAATAAACTTTTGTTTCATTTTGCAAAAAAAACCCTTTATGTTCTTAAGCAAAATGAGAGAGCAGGCTTCTCTTCAATTTCAGCTTAATTTTCTGAATCAAGAGCAAGCAACCACGAATATACTGGGTAGCTATTTATAAATGTTGGCTTCCAAATATGCTGGGTGGTTATTTCTGAATTCTGGCTTTCTGGAATAGTCTCATGTAGTCATTGGTAGAAAAAGAGGACTTTCACTATAGATAAACTCTTAATACAGCTTTAATACAGTTTAATGACTTTCTGTCTTGGTCACTGGCACAGTACACACATGGAAATTAGCCCACCACAAAACTGGATAAATAGAATCCAAGATCAGTATTTGTAAGTTATAAATGGTCCCAGTGCTTCATTTCAAACTATGCCCCTGACAACTAATATCACATGAAAAATACTTCATTATACTTTTTTAACGTAAGAATTAGTGTAGTTTACATTCACATAATTCATGTTCTGAGAGCTAAAATTTAAGTTGCAAATTCAATCCAATATATATATTTCTTTTTTTTTTAGGTAGCAGTCATCTGATAAGTACATCTTCTTGGCGAGATGGACAAAAATTAGTAAAAAAAATTCTGGGACCTGCACCTAGAATAGAGCAAAAAGAGCGAAGAATAGCATCAAGTGACAGAAGTGGAAGAGAAAGAACTACTAAATCTGGTGAGTAATTAAATTAGTAAATTAAATTACTCAACCATTAAAATTGTTGAGCAAAGCAATTAAAAGTTGCTTGTGTAAGTACTTTGAGAGGTGAAAATACTCTTTTAAGAATGCTCTTAAGACTTTGCATTATAATTGTGAATGTAGCTCAAAAAAGAAGAAATTGGGCTTGTCTGTGGATAATTTCCATATATAGATGTTATGATGATCTTTATTAAGAATTCTGTTTGTGTTATATTAATTACATTTAGCTGTCATTATGAATAAATAACAAAGCATCATGTAATCAAATCTTATTAGACCTTTAGAGAATCAAGTCCAATCTGTCTTATCTCCACAGACATAAACACAGGTAGACATTCACAAGGTTGGATTTTTTTTGTTGTTGTTTGACAGATTAGGAAACAGGCTCTGAGAGAGAAGTGAGTTTTCTCAAGGGTATACAGTCAGTGGGTGACAAAATCTGATCTAGGTCCACAGGTCTTTAGTTTGACCCTCAAGTCCATTGCTGTTTTCTTTTTGAAACGTCTTGAGTGCCATTTGAAATAACTAGTTACTTTTTCACTAATGAACACTAATTTTGGGAAATGAAATATAAATACCTACAAGCCCGCTTTCCTTTTCAATGGCAAAAATTTGCCTGAATTTGAGCTTCTGGAATGGATTCAGTAAGAGATGCAATTTGGTATATAGAAGTCAATATATATTTTGTGTTTGTTCCTGTTCGCTTTCATCTAGCTTATAAATAAACTCACACCGTCCTTAGCCTAAATTTAAGCCACATCAACACACATTTAGATGATAAAATGATTGTTTTTTTATATATTTAATTTTTTCTGTTATTCATTGGAGAGTTGTGGCAGCCTGTAACATTGTCAGGTTTTTTTTTTTTTTTTTTGTGGTATGCGGGCCTCTCACTGTTGTGGCCTCTCCCATTGAGGAGCCCAGGCTCCGGAAGCGCAGGCTCAGCAGCCATGGCTCACGGGCCCAGCCGCTCCGCGGCATGTGGGATCTTCCCAGACTGGGGCATGAACCCGCGTCTTCTGCAACTGCAGGCGGACTCTCAACGACTGCGCCACCAGGGAAGCCCACATTGTCAGTTTCTTAACAACTATTTGAGGGTTTGGTGAGGGAGAGAAATAGTAACATTAAATATGCATATGAGAGAGAAATAGTAATTCTCTGTTCATATTAATAAATATTCATATCAACAGCAAGATATGTCCTTATTTCAGAAATATTAAAAGATGCACTTTTTAAAAATGCTGAGGAAGTATAGTTTCTAAGAGTATTGAAATTCTTCTCTTACTGTTTTTCTTTCCTTCTAAAATATTCCTTAGGAGACTTTATAGGATATTTGAATTTGAGTTTAAGATAAAGCGAAATTCCTAATTTTCTCCTTAGTGTGATAAATCTTAGGAATGAATATAGAATTTTAATACATCAGTAACAGTTCATACTTTGTAGGGGGTCATATTGGAAGAGCAGAATCGGATCCCAGATTGGATGTTTCACATAGACATCTTCCACGAAACTCAGAACGTTCAAGAAGTAGAGTTCGGTCAGAAAATAATGTAAAGAAATTAGTTCCATCTCTTCCAGATAATAAACAGGAGGAAAATGCTGCCTTAAATAAGGACTTTTTACCTGTTGAAATTCGTGGAATTCTTGATGACCTACAGCTGGATTCAGCAGCTCAGGCTGCAAGGCAAGAGACAGGAGAGTTACAGAATCAGAAGCCATCACCATCAATACAAGCTCCTAGGAGTCATAGCCCAATAAAAAGAAAACCTGACAAAATAACAGCTAATGAAGATCCCCCTGTTATTTCCAAAAAGCGTCACTATGATACAGATGAGGTGCGACAGTACATTGTTAGACAGCAGGAGGAAAGGAAGAGGAAGCAAAATGAGGAGAAGAAGGCTCAAAAGGAGGCCACGGAACAGAAGAACAAACGATTACAGGAGCTCTACCGGAAACAAAAAGAAGCCTTTACTAAAGTGAAAAATGTGCCTCCTTCTGAGCCATCAGCAAATAGGCGACTGCAGGAAACTTACTCCAAATTGCTTCTAGAAAAGTCATTGCTTGAAGAGCCAACTCATCAACATATGCAGGAAACACAGGTAATAGTGACAGAGATACAAAGGGAAGTAATTCATGGTTAGGAAAAACTTACTTGCTATACTTTTAAAAAATTACTCACCATTCCTAATATTCAGACATATGCTCAGACAGTATTTATAATAATGATGGCCTTTCCTGAAGTTTATTCTAGATAAATACGATTGAAAATAAGTGCTCAGTTAGTTTCCTAGAGTGATTGTTACTGATCTGTCTCATCACTGCTGTTAGTTATATCCTTGCCTAGTTTTTACTGTATTACTGAGCAAAGTTAGACTGTATTAATAATGAAAAGCCTAGTTTGTTATCTGTGTTGAAATTAGAGAATATCCTACTTTAGTGTGCTAATTTTATGACTTTTGCTGTTGTTTTTAAGGGTAAGAATAACATTTGAGTCTGTACCATATACCACATACTGTTTTAAATGTTTTACAGGCTTAAGTTTCAGTAAATTCTCACAGCCCTGAGAAGGGTAGGTACTACTAGTATTTCCACTTATTAGGTGAAAAAACTGAGGTTTAGAAAGAGTATTATTTCCTCCGAATTATGCAGTGTTAGGTGCCTTTGTTGGATTTCAGGTATAATTTTGCTGTTAACTGTAATGGCTGCTTTTAAGACAAACTAAATTTGAATTGGTTTTATTTGAGAGAAAAAAGCTCCTGCATTTCGTGATCTTTGTAAAGTTGAAGCAACTTAATATTTATTTTATGTGCTCCTTGAATATATCTTTATGATGGGAGTCAGATAACTTTGATGTCCTTTTTTCTTAGACCAGACCAGGGTATCAGCCATCTGGAGAATCTGACAAAGAGAACAAAGTGCAGGAACGTCCCCCAAGTGCATCTTCCAGTAGTGACATGTCTCTGTCAGAACCTCCACAGCCTCTTGCAAGGTAAAAAGGGGAGAATGAAAGATGATTAAGGTTCTTTCTTTCCACGATATTAGTATAGTGGTCTATGCTCAGTGAATTTTATTGATTGACCTTCTTGTGAAGAAGAGGTTTATTTAGAAATTGGTTAATATCTTCTGATGGATATTTAAGCATGGTATACATCTTTACTTACTGCATGCTCTATTCTTTTGTTCAACTCTTGCCTGTTCTTTAATATCTGGTGTAAATATCAGTTCTCCTGGGGATCACCTGCAGTTGGAAGCATTCTTGCCTTCTCTGATGTAAACACAGATAAATGTTTGTCAGATAAATGAATTACAGTGAAATTAATAGTTTTAAGTATTTGTGTTGAATATTTTTCAAAAGGCATTTCTGTATCCATAACTATTCAAAATTTCTTCATATGACTCTTATATCAACATATCTTACCTCTCAAAGACTATATTTGGATATGCATATGAACACACGGACAAGGACTAAAAAGGGATTTGATTTGAATTCAGATTGGTGAATGAGGGCTATTTTACCTTAAATTAAGAAAAAAAATTTTTTTTTGCTGTAAAGTGTACAGTAAAGTAAAAAGAAAAAAATAACAAAAAACCTATTTGTCCATGAAAGTTAAGATGATTTTCAGATTACATGGTTATAAGTTATACTTTGAAATAACCGTTTTGGGAATAAAAATCAAGTCACTTAACCAGTTTTGGGTTAATACATATGATCCTCTCGCCCCCTTGCTGCCCCCTTCACCTCCCAAGAGAATAATAATATTGATAAAAATAGCTAACGTTTATTGTTTGTTACGTTTCAGTCTCTGATCTAAGTACTTTGCTTGTATCATTTTATGTAATCCTTGTAGTTCTTTGAGTTCTCTCAGTTAGTTTATGCTTAAAAGCACAGCATTTCTTCTCCTTGCCCTTCATGTTCCATCATTCTGCATTAGCTACCTGGAAAGCTCCAAATTACCTACCTGACCTTGAAGACCTTGAAGATCTAGCTCAAAAATCAATTTCCTTGGCTATCAGAGTTCATTGTTCCCTATCTATACCCTATTCAACTTTATATATCTTTATATTAGTACTTAACGACATCGTGTTTAGCTGTTTATTAGTCTCTCATCCCTGCTAGATCTTCTGAAACTGAAGAGTAAGGATTAGGTCATAACTGGATTAAATCTTTCCATTTTTGTGTACTGCTATTCCTTTACCATCAACATAGAGCCTGCCACAAGATTATCATTCTAAATACTTGAATTTAAAGATCTTGGGTTTTTATTCAGCAGTACCTTTTTATTTATAACTTCCTTTGTATTTCTGTTTCTACCAGCTTAATTTGGGCACTAATAACCTCACACCTTGCATTTGTAATAGTCTATATTCTGTGATATAGAATCTATTCACTAGTCTTCCTTTATTCTGCTTTCATAGCAGTCATTCAATATACAAGACTGCTACCACATAACCTTCAACCAAACCTTGTATTACATGCCTTTCATTTCCCTCATCACCCTGGTTACCCTCCTCCAGATGATTTTTTTTGAACTTAATTGGTAGGACTTCATATTAATTCATACTAGTTTGGTCTAAGGTTGCAGCCTGTCTAAATAACTTTGAATCATAATTCAATAATTTGTTGGGTTAGCCATGCCTCCTAACCTTCTGTCATCTACAAATTTGATAAGTATGTCTTCATGTCATCATCCAAAAATAATGGACAAGACCAAGGACAAAACCTCATGTTATTTTTTCTAAGGATCTTCTTAATAATTAACACCAGTCTTTAACCTTTGTATAGTATTCCTTAGTATACAGGGAGGTTGTCTATAATCTGGAAATATAAGTGAATTATATAATGTCATCTAGGGCATCTTTATTCTGTTTCTAGCCTTTAAGGATGCCCTATCAATTTTTCTTAGAACTAGATTGTAATAATCTCATTTCTTTAGTATGTACAATGTTAAACATAACTGTTTGGTGTTTATTAAATATGTGTTGGTTAGAGTAATATCATGCCTACAATCTTAAGCATTTCTCTTTTATGTAACATTATTTTTAAAGAGAAAGGTAGAGCCAATATTGTAAAAAATTTTGTCCACGGAGTTTTAAGGGTTATAATGCCTTCTCCTCAATAGTTTAAAAAATGTGTCTTAGTTGAAGAAAGCTGTTTACAAAACAGTACGTATGATAAGATTTCATTTTTGTGAAAATAACATGAAACACAACATACATGTAGAAAAATGTTTAGAAAGATATAATTATTTTTTTAAAAATTATTTATTTATGGCTGCATTGGGTCTTCATTGCTGCGTGCAGGCTTTTCTCTAGTTGTGTCGAGCAGGGGCTGCTCTTCGTTGCAGTGCATGGACTTCTCATTGCAGTGGCTTCTCGTTGCAGAGCACGGGCTCTAGGCGTGTGGGCTTCAGTAGTTGTGGCACTCAGGCTCAGTAGTTGTGGCACACGGGCTTAGTTGCTCTGCAGCATGTGGAATCGTCCTGGACCAGGGCTCAAACCCATGTCCCCTGCATTGGCAGGCAGACCTTAACCACTGTGCCACCAGGGAAGTCCTAGAAAGATATAATGAAATAGTGATAGTGCCTCTTTCTCATTGGTTAGCTATGAGTGATCTTTATCTTTTTTATTCTTTGTCTGTCTTTTTTTGTGTGTGTGTGTGCAGTGGCTATGCATTACTCTTATAATCAGAAAAAACAAAACTTAAAAAAAAGGTGGCTTAGTTATGAGGTCCTGTGTTAACTAACATATTGTAACTTTCATTTCCAGAAGGGATTTGATGGATCCTACATGGATGCAGCCTGACAGACTGAGTCCACGAGTCCACCATTCTCAACCACAGCCTCTTGTTGGAACAGCTGGAAATTTATTTTCCCATCTCTTGAGTCTAGAGCATGTAGGAATTTTGCATAAGGATTTTGAATCCATTTTACCAACTAGGAAGAATCATAATATGGCTTCAGGGCCATTAACTTTTACACCTCAACCATATCTGACCTCACCAGCTGCTCATCCAGATGCCTTGTTAAAACCTAGTGCTAGCCAATATAAGAGTAAACTGGATCGTATTGAAGCCTTGAAAGCAACAGCTGCTTCTTTGTCCAGCAGGATTGAAAGTGAAGCTAAGAAATTAGCTGGGGCTAACATTAACTATGGGTCAGTATGGAACACTGAGTATGATGTGCAGCGAACACCCCAAGAAGATGGACATTGGACCAAGGCTATAAGTCCACTTGTGAAAGAGGATGCAGAAGATGTTTTCTCTGCTCGAATTCAAAAGATGCTGGGAACCTGTGTGTCTCATGCAACTTTTGATGATGATCTTCCTGGTGTAGGCAACCTTAGTGAATTTAAAAAGCTTCCTGAGATGATAAGACCTCATAGTGCCGTATCAAGCTTCAGAATGAGATCCCCTGGTCCCAAACCAGAAGGGCTGCTGGCACAGTTGTGTAAGAGGCAGACTGACTTTTCTAGCTCTGATATGCAAGCTTGTTCTCAAGACAAAGCCAAAATGTCTCTTGGTTCCAGCACAGATTCAGTGAGTGAAGGGCCTCTTCTTAGTGAGGGTAGTCTCTCTGAAGAAGAGGGAGGTCAAGATGCACGGTCCCCTTTGAAGTTAGCAGAAATCTTAAAAGAAAAGGAATTTTGTGCTGGAGAAAGAAATGCTTATGAACCCATCAAAGAGTTTCAGAAGGAAGCTGAAAAATTTTTGCCACTCTTTGGGCCCATAGGTGGTACACAAAGCAAAGGACCATGGGAAGAATTGGCAAAGGGAAGTCCACATAGTGTCATTAATATTTTTACAAAATCATATAAATTATATGGAAAAGGTGAGAAAAATAAGTAACCTTTGTAATATTTGTATGTTATCTTAAGATAAATTATTTCACAATTCTGCACAAGATAATATTTAACTGTAAATTTTCATCATTCATTACAAGGATAGTAGAGATTTATTATTGTCCAAATTAATCTGAGTTATCTGCAAGCTTCAACTAGAGTATTCTAATTTAATCTTTAAAATTTTAGTTTTTAGCTGTTATTGTCATAAAACAATGGTTGGTGGTTATAGAAATTTTAGTCTAATTTAGAGAAATTCTTAGGTGATGTTCAGGATTGGTATGTATCAAGTGTCTACTAGGTTTACTGTGACCAGAGTTATATATTTAGATAGAAAATAAGTATATTTCTTAAAACAGTGATTTGTGTGTGAATCACTGGGAATATAGTGGTCAAGGATTGAGAGGGGCAACTGCAGTAACATTTCTAATGTGGAAACAGATCTATTACTGTTTGTCAAAACTAATTTTAAAAACAGACTTTGAGAGTAGTGTAGCTATATATTTGGATCCTGAAACAATAACTTTTAAAGTTCCCTTCTTATCCCTGAAATCCTGCAACACAACTTTTCCTTTTCTGTGGTGGCCTCAATTCCTTCAAGTCCCTTTCTCTGTTCTTCTACTGTAGGTGGATTCTACACATCTTATGCTAGTATAACCTTAGAATTCCCAGGTTGGAGAGTCAGGCTGAGCCCAAAGTCAGCCATGGATACTGTGGTTTTTCATTTCCATCAACATATCTGACAAATGAATTGATTTCATCTGTTCAGCTTATGCTTAATTGGGTATCCCATTGCATTTTCCTAGAATTTATATTTAGCCACTTTGGTATGATCTTGTGCAGACCTATATGTGCTTTTGATCTCTTTTGTTTAACACTTATTTCTATAGGTGATAGTTTTAAGGTTCTTTGGATATTAAAGTTCTTTTGGTTATAGCAAAATGCTTTTAAATCAACACCCTCCATTTTTTTTCACAAGAAAGTTGGATTTGTCCTTAAATCCTTCTGTTAGATTTTCATTAAGATATTATACTGAAATGTTTAGAGTTGAAATGATCTGTTATCTGGGATTTGTTTCAAAGTAATATTTGGGGAGAGTTACAGATGGAGGGAATAGAAAGTTTAATTGAAACTAGATTGGTCATGTATTGATAATTGTTAAAGGTGGGTGATGGATGCACTGGTTTCATTATATGATTCTCTCTACTGTCATGTATGTTTGAAAATTTCCCTAATAAGAAGTTAAAAATGTATTGTTAGGTATAAAGATAACTTGAAAAGAAACCCTAATGAAAGCAAACTAAAATGACCCTAAATCCGTGTTGTTAATCTCCAGGTTATGGAAAGCGTTGCTTATAGTTTTTTAAATTTTTGTTTTAAAACACATTTTAATTATTACTTTTGACAGGATTTGAAGACAGGTTGGAAAGAGGAACATCAGCATCACGGTCTTTGAATGCCATCACAACCCCTCTAAGCAGCATTTCATATGAAGATGATTTTGTCTCCTCTGCAGGGAGTGGGACTTTGACAGAAAAAAAGTCAGCTCTTGAACCCAAGTAAGAAGAATATGTTGACAATATGGAGCAAAATCTGAAGAGTGAGAAAAATGTACAAATGAGAACTATGGTCTGAATATTTGTCAAATTTTCCTTGTTTAAAGATAGCATAGTGGTTATTAAGAGCGTGGGCTCTGGATCCAGACTGTGTGGGTTTAAATACTGGCTCTCCTAATTATTAGTTGTTTGTCTTTGGGCATATTGCTTAATTTCCCTGTGCCTCAGTTTTCTTCTCTGTTCAAGTGTTATGAATATTCAGTGAAATACAAAGTATGTAGAACAGGGCCTGGCACATAATAAGCAAAATACAGGTGGTTAAAGCAATCTGTGAATCCCCAGTAGAGGTTAGTATTGGGAAAACTATCCCATGGTATATTAATATGAGATGATTAAGAAATGGTTTTCTGTGATAGAATTGAAGATGACTAGATAGACCCTTGACTTCATGATCCTAAGTAATCAGTAAATTTTTTTATAATTGGGATAACATCTAAAATTTTGCAAATCTTTGAAAAATAGCAACATTATAACATTAATATTTATTGAGCACTTAATGTACAAGGCACTGAGAGGACTGCGTGGGCTTTACCTGTATTAACTCATTCTTACAATAGCCTGATATAAGTATTTTTGTTATTATTCCTACTTGAGAGAGGAAACTGAAGCACTAAGGTTGTTACTTGTACAGCATCATATAGTAAGTGAATCAGATTTTGCCAGAGAGAATTTCCTCCCTAAATTTTGTTACCGTACAAAATAATCTGTAATTACTCACATGCAGTGTAACTTTCTTCACAAATTACAAATTGTAATGCACATAAAATTATTGGATGATCTTTTAAAAATTAGTTATATCTAGCTGGATTAATAAAAATAAATATTATTAAGATTATAGCAGGAGAAGTATAATTTTAAATTTTGAACTTTAAAGAAAAGACTAATTTTTAAATCAAGACTTGCAAGGATTTAATTGTATTGACATTTAATATCACCAGTCAATATGATTTATTGCATTTTTTTCTCAGTTGAAGTAGAGCATATTAAATTATTGTTCCCTATAAGATTATCAGAAGGAAGTTAATAAATTATAAATTTGAATAGAAATTGAGGCCACATTTTTCAGTATCCAACATTATATTTTTTTCTCTTATGTGTCTGAATTACCCATTTTTATTGGTTTCACTTCAGTAAAAAACTGCCTGAGACTTTTCTCAGTAATAAATTGAGCCATAGGGAATAATCCAGGTTTCTGGTAGTAAGAAACCAAGAAAAGTGGAAAGCGTGTTTGATTATAGTTATATTCTCCTTGTGACTAAATAGATTTAAAAATATCTATAGTTTGAGCTGTGATTTGAGACTTTTTATTTCTTGCTTTAACCACTATTACTTATTCTTTGACAGTATTGGTAGTAACAGTTTAGGGGTTCAGGAGGATCATTCTAGCAGAAAGTCTGCCTATGATCTTTCCTCTGTGGATGTTACCTCCCAGCACTCATCAGGGGCCCAGTCTGCTGCGTCATCTCGTTCATCTTCTTCTTCTAAAGGAAAGAAAGGAAAAAAGGAAAAGATAGAATGTAAGTGGAATTCTACATGGTAATTTTTTTCTCTTACCAGTGACTTTGTGATAGTGATCTAAAGTTATGATTTCATTTCATAAGTTAGATGAATTCTTTATGATAATGTAATTGGCTTTCATATTTATCATTACAACAATACCTTTTGATATATGACATTATAAATCTTACGCTTAGTACAAAAGGAATACATTAACAATGATAAAAAATTAAGGATTGTAGATAAATAATCATGCAAGAAACATAAATCCCTATTGATTCTTCTGCTCAGAGGTAACTACTATTAATGTTTTTGATGCCTATTTTTCCAGTATATACATAAAGTCAGGCACACTTCCACATACATTTTTATTTAAAAAACAGAAGTGAAATCATATTGTCTTGCAAGTTCTTTTTTTTTTTTTTTTGCGGTACGCGGGCCTCTCACTGTCGTGGCCTCTCCTGCTGTGGAGCACAGGCTCCGGACACGCAGGCTCAGTGGCCATGGCTCACGGACCCAGCCACTCCACAGCATGTGGGATCTTCCCAGACCAGGGCATGAACCTGTGTCCCCTGCATCGGCAGGCGGACTCTCAACCACTGCGCCACCAGGGAAGCCCTGCAAGTACTTTTTAAAAAACTTTATATCATGTACATTTCTGAGTGTTATTGAATAAATATAATACTCAAGTTTCCTTATCTATAAAATGAAGATGATAATAGATGCTTTATATGGTAATTTCGAAGCTTACATGTATAATGTGTACATCTCATTTGCTCTGTAAGCCTAGAGGTGAGAAGATAACAGTAATTAGGCAAAGGCTTCTTAAGCTCACCGGATGGTCCCTAGGGAATGATTTTGCCTCCAAAACTATTTTTTCTGATAGTAAAAAATTGCTCATTGAGTTAAGAAAAAAAGGGGGGGGAGGAGAAATCTGTAAATATAGAAAATATTTAAAAATTAAAAATCACCTGTATTCCCTCTACCTAGAGATAACCAATGTTAACATTTTTTTAGATTTTATTTTAGTTTATTGTGGTAAAATATACATAATGTAAACTTCATCATTTTAACCATTTTCAAGTGTACAATACAGTGCTGTTAAGCACATTCACAGTGTTGTACAACCATCGTCATTACCTCATTCCAGAACTTTTTCATCATCCCATTGCTGAAACTCTGAACCCATTAAGCAGCAATTTCCCTTTCCTGCCTTCTCTGAGCCCCTGTTAACCACTGTTCTACTTTCTGTCTCTATGAAATTGACTACTCTAGGTGCTTCATATAAGTGGCATCATGCAATATTTGTCTTTGTGTGTTTGGCTTATTTCATTTCACATAATGTCTTCAAATTTCATCCATGTTGTAGCATGTGTCAGAATGTCCTTCCTGAATAATATTCCATTATATGTATATACCACGTTTTGTGTATTCTTTCATCAGTTGATGGATATCTTGATTGTTTCAACCTTTCGGCTATTGGGAATAATGTGGACATGAACACTGGTGTGCAAATACTGTTTGAATCCCCACTTTCAGTTCTTTTGTGTATATACCCAGTTGTAGACTTGCTGGATCAAAAGGCATTTCTATATTTATTTTTTTGAGGAACTGCCATACAGTTTTCCATAGCAGCTACAACCTTTTACATTCTCACCAGTAGTGCACAAGGGTTCCAGTTGCTCCACATACATACTAAAATGACCCTTGTTGTTTTCTGGGTTTTTGTTTTTTTTGAAGAACAGACATTCTAATGGATGTGAAATGTTAACATTTTTAGTAAGAATCCTTCTAGACAATCAGTAGGCATATGTAAATAGAAAACGTTACATGTACAAGATCACATTTTATGTGATTCTTTTTTATGTTAGTGGGTTACAGATGCCTTTCTGTGTTAGTAAATATGGATAACCCTTTGTAGTGACTACCTAGTGTTCTGTTATTTGAATATATTGTAATTTATTTAGCCAATTCCCCATTGCTAGACATTTAGGTTCTTTTTTCTTTTTTTTCCTATTATAAACACTGCTGCATTGAATATCCTTACAAATGCATCTTTATGCATTTGATCTGGTTCTTTCCTTTAAGAGAAAATCCTAGAAGGGAGATAATGGGACACTGAGTATGCTGTGCTTAAAATTTGGATACATTTTGCCAAATAGCTCTTCAGAAAAGCTAGTGCCACTTTATATTTCCAATGTGAGAGTGCTAGGAATAGATTCTTTTTAAATCATTTACCTAGTATAATTCTCTTGCAGATTGGAAGTGTTCTGAAAGTCTTTGGCAGGAACATTAGACATCATTTTATCAACACTTCCCAAAGCCTGTCTTTTCTTGTGAAATACTGATTTAGTGCAATAGGCTGTTTCATAAGTATTCTGAGGATAAAAGAGCTCCATGGTTCCATAAACTTGGGAAAAGCCTTTAGAGTGAAACAGGTTTCTTTCTTGCAGGATTCATCAACACTTTTATTTTTTTTTCTTTTAATTTTTTACAGCTGTATTAAGGGATAATTGACAAATAAAATTGTAAGGTAATTAAAGTGTACATCGTGATGATTTGATATACATATATATTGTGAAAGAATTCCTTCCATCTAGTCCATTAACTAACACATCCATCACTATACATATATATTGGTGAGAACATTTAAGTTCTACTCTCCTAGCAAATTTCAATTATATGATACGGTGTTATCAACTACAGTAACCATGTTATACATTAGATCCTTGGACCTTATTTATCTTATAGCTGAAAGTTGGTAATCTTTTACCAATATCTTCCTATTTCCTCTACCCCTGACAACTACTTTTCTACTCTGTCCTTTTACGAGTTTGGATTTTTTAGATTCCACATATAGGTGATATTATACAGTATTTGTCTTCCTCTGTCTGACTTATTTCACTTAGCACAGTGCCCTCAAGGTCCATCCATGTTGTCACAAATGGCAGGATGTCCTTCTTTCTCATGGTCGAATAATATTCCATTGTATATGTACCACCTCTTTATCCCTTCATCCACTGATGGACGGTTGTTTCCATATTTTGGTTGTTGTGAATAATGCTGCAATGAACATCAGAGTGCATATATATTTTCGAATTAGTGTTTTCATATTCTTTGGATAAAATCCCAGAAGTGGAATTGCTGGATCATATGGTAGTACTACTTTAGTTTTTTGAAGAACCTCCATACTGTTTTCCCTTTAGAAAACTGTCTATTCAGTTCCTTTGCCCATGTTTTAACTGGATTGTTTGCTATTGAGTTGTGTGAATTCTTTATGTATTTTGGATATTAAGCCCTTATCAGGTATATGATTTGTAAGTATTTTGCTATAGGTTGTCTTTTTATTTTGTTGATGAAGACAAAATGTGGAAGTTTTTTAGTTTGATGTAGTCTCACATATTTATTTTTGCTTTTGGTGCTTGTGCTTTTGGTGTTCATCAACACTTTTAATGTGCTAATATGGATTATTAATTTTAGGATGAGGATGAGGCTATAGTATGAAGTATTTTTCAAATTTATTTGACCACAGAATCAGTTCTTCTGTCAGCATGTTACATTAGAATTGAGCAGAATATGTTTTGGGAAATGCTGATCTTGCTCAAAAATGCCGATCTTTGTTATGTTAGTGTCTCACCTAAGGTTACTAACTAGTTACTGGCGAAGCCTAGATTCTGGCTTCTAACTCCTGAATCAAGTGTACCTTCTACTGCAATATATTGTACAAGTTAAGATATCATGATATATTAAATATATGAGTATAAACAATATGATTCAGTATAGGTTTTAAAAATTATAATCTAAAACTTGGTTAGATGAAATACAGGTACTGTTTTTGGCTTTCAGTTTCCCTGATCCCTCTCACAATGCCTTAAAAAAAAACCCATATATTTTACTTCCCACAGCATCAACTTAAGCTTAGTACTTTATCCCAAAGTTCTAAGATGTGTAAATTTTTTTGTATATGCTCCATCTGGTGGTGGAAAAGATTGTCTGCATGCTCACTCAGCTCCTTCCCAATGTAGTTGAAAATAGTTGATAGATTAAAGTGGTAATCATAAGAAAAAATTATTTATCTTAATTTAACTTTAAAACATATAAATATACTTTCCTTTGGCAGTCTTTTAAACTGTGGGCAAACGTTTTCTTTGCATATAGGTCCCTTGTTTGGAGTTTAGGTCTTTCTTGCTTAGACCATTATATTGTCTACAATTTCTAGTTTTTTGAAATCAAGAACAATTTTTCAATTGTATATTTATGTTTGAAAAAATATATTAAATGATTGAAGTGTTTTTATTATAAGAGTGCATCTGTATTATGGAAAATTTAGAGATAAACAGTATTAACAGCTTGCTTCTAGCCTAGGGATCATGAATAGATTTTAGATTATAGAATCCTTTCTCACTGATTAATAATCGTCTAGATTATTTGTGTGTTTTTCTCCCCATTATGATAATGCAGTCAGAATATTTAATTCATTGTATATATCTTTACATAGCTTCCTAGGATGAATGACTATGAGTCAGGTGGAATTTCTGAGTCAAGGGCTTGGCTGGAAAATGATTTTTATATATTTTTTGAGTTGTCCTCAAGAAAGGATATATGAGTTTGCACTCCCATGAAAATGGTTTATGAATATTATTTCCTGTGTGTACTGAATGACACTCAAGGTTTCATTACTTTAAAAATATTTGCTAATCTAATAATGAAAAATGGCATCTCATTGAAGTGATTTGCATTTCTTTGATTGATAGTTGGCTTTGATATTTCTCATATGGTAAGACTGTTCTCCTTTTTCCTTTTTTAAACCAAATTTTAATGAAAAATTGTTACCTTATTACTATCACTACAGCATAATATAGCATAATTTTTAAATTAACCTATTTTTTTATTGGTAAAAATAGCTAACATAAAATTTGCCATTTTAACCATTTTTAAGCATACCATTCAGTGGCATTAAATTTATTCACACTGTTTGCAACGAAGTTTCACTACCATAGGTCTCCAGAACGTCTTCATCCTCCTGTACTGAAACTCTGTACCTATTAAACAGTGACTCCCTATTCCTCCCTTTCCAGCCCCTGGCAGCCACCGTTCTACTTTCTGTCTCTATGAATTTGACTAGGAAATTTAACCATTGTTAGGTGTCCAGTTCAGTGGCATTAAGTACATTCACACTTTTGTGCAACTATCACCATTTTATCCATCTCCACAACTGTTTCTTTATCCTAGACTGAAACTCTATACCCACTAAATAATAACTCTCATTTTCTCCTGCCTTTAGCACCTGGTAACAGCTGTTCTACTTTGTGCATCTCTATGAATTCGCCTACTCTAGGACCTCATATAGGTGTATGATCATACAGTATTCGTTCTTTTGTGACTGGATGGCTTATTTTACTTAGCATAATGTTGTCAAAGTTCATCCATGTTGTAGCATGTGTCAAAATGTCCTTCCTGGGCTTCCCTGGTGGTGCAGTGGTTGAGAGTCTGCCTGCCGATGCAGGGGACACGGGTTTGTGCCCCAGTCTGGGAAGATCCCACATGCCGTGGAGTGGCTGGGCCCGTGAGCCATGGCCGCTGAGCCTGCGCATCTGGAGCCTGTGCTCCTCAACGGGAGAGGCCACAACAATGAGAGGCGCACGTACTGCAAAAAAAAAAAAAGAAAAAAGTCCTTCCTTTTTAAGGCTGACTAATGTTTCATTGTATGTATATACCATGTTTTGTTATTGCAGTCATTGTTGAAGGACACTTGAGTTACTTCTGTCTTTTGGCTATTGTGATTATGCTGCTGTGAACATGGGTGTGCAGCATAATTGCTTTTTTCTTTACTTTTCCATTTTCTTTTGATCTTTAACCATATATCTGCATTAAAAAAATTTTTTTAACTGTCATTAAAATGTGCACATGATTCTTTTTTCTGCTTTTTTTTTTAACCTAGCAAATATTTTTCTGTGCTGCTATTGAAACATATCATCAAGATGAACAATGCCCTAGACTTAGAGTCATGAGGCCTGGATTTATGTCCCATTTCTGCTATCGACTGTGTATCCTTAAGTTATTTAGCCTCATAGATCTCTAGTTAACCTCATCAGCAAATTAATTATATGGTACCCACTTCATAAGGTGTTTAAGAGCAATAAGGTAATATATATGCAGTGCATTTTAAATTACAGAGTGCTATTTAAATATTCAAGTTACTATTATCTATATAATATAGACAATTCTATTGTTGGAAATGTAGGTTGAAATTTATTTAACTTATTTAACTTATTTTTGGCTGTGTTGGGTCTTCATTGCTGCGCACGGGCTTTCTCTAGTTGCGGTGAGCGGGGGCTACTCTTCGTTGCAGTGCTCGGGCTTCTCATTGCGGTGGCTTGTCTTTGTTGCAGAACATGGGCTCTAGGCACGTGGGCTCAGTAGATGTGGCTCTCAGGCTCTAGAGCACAGGCTCAGTAGTTGTGGTGCATAGTTGTTCCATGGCATGTGGGATCTTCCCAGACCAGGGCTCGAACCCATGTCTCCTGCATTGGCAGGCGGATTCTTAACCACTGCGCCACCAGGGAAGTCCCGAAATTTTTTTAATTTTAAAGTTATGCATTGAATGTCACGCACAATTTGTGTTTTGTTTGTTTCAATAATCTCCTTAAGATACCCCTGTAAGTAAGATTATTCTTAGAGAATATGAACAGTTTTATGAATCTGGCTACTTAGTTCTTGCCATAGAGTTTTTTGAAAGGATTATGGTAGTTCAGTTGGCAGTTGATACCATTTTTCGCTTACCTCTGGGTTTTATCCTTAAAAAATTTCCTTTTGGTTACTTTTTTATAGGGATAGAATAGTACTTCATTCTTGTTTAATATGTTTGTCTTTCTTTTTAAACGTTTGATCTAAGAACAATTTATTTTTTAATAGCAAGTGGGAGATATTAATGGAAGAAATTTCACTTTGCTTAAATGGAAGCAAAGAATGAAGAACTGCTTTATCTTACATATGAAAAACAAAATTTTTTAAAGTCCATTTTAAGATAGTCTGTACTTTTTGTTATTTGTACTTTTTGTTATTTTATTGAAATCTAGATATCAGTTATCTCTCAGTAGCTTCTAATATTGGGAATCAGTTTTATAAGAAATTTACTTTACAGGGCTAGATTCACTCACTGGAAATATTCAGAACTCACTTCTTGACGAAGAAAAAGTACACTCTAGTTCAGAATGTGGCTCTCATCAAGGAAAGAAATCTGGGACCAGTAGCAAACTTTCTGTTAAAGATTATGAGCAGACTCTTGACACTGATAGCACTTTGGAGGATCTTTCTGGGCATTCTTTGAGGTAAAGTAATGCATATTTTATACTGTAATTCATATTTAATTAAAGTTACAATATCATTGATGTTCAGAGAATTCACTTAATAAATTTATGGTTTTTTGTGGTTTTGTTCATAGCTCTAGTCGTTATCTATATTTTAGAATATAGTCATCTCTCACCTAAACAATTACAACCACTCCCACAGGAATTCTCTGCCTCTAGCACAACCTACCTTTCTATTCTAAATGCCATTGCCACAGTTGTTTTCTTGACTCAGTCCTTTGACCAAGCAACTACTCTCCTTAGGGTACTCTGGGAGCTCACAGTTACCCCAGAGATCAACATTAAGAGCTTAACTTTATTTGAAGTGTTATCACTAGGCTACCAAAGACTATCTTATTTCCTTTGTTTATACAGTTTTCTTCTCAACTGTATTCTTCCACTCTTTAAACACAACCACTTAGTGTTCTTTTGGTATCATTGTTTATTTGTACCTCTGAACTTTTCTCTTCTGCTCAACTTATTAGATGACTCAAGCAGATTTTGAAGTCTCACTCTTACATTGATTATGGAACTTGTACACTCTGTTTTTTTACTTCTTTTTAATATCATATATTATGCACTTAGCCTATTGCTTACACATAACTATTGCTTTATGTACAGTTCCTACTCTGTCTCCATGACTTTTTATCTGCTGCACTGGTTTTGTCCTTCTGGAAATTTAAGCTCTGAGAAGACATGAATATTTCTTTTTTATTTTAAAACTATGTGCTTTTTCTAGTACAGTGTCACATACAGATAATCATTTTTAATGCTTTCATGTTGCAGATAATGCTGTATCATTAATACCATCGTTGCTATGTTTAAAGTTGAATTTTAATTTCTTTGTCAATGATTTTGGAATTCAGAAAACTTCACCTTTCCTTAAGAGACACTCTGATGATTTAATTGGCAAAATCTACAAAGTTAAACATTTCTGAAACAGAATCCATAGCCAAATAAGTTGATAAATGCCCCATACTGTAGTCTAGCCCCCCACTTTTCCACCTGTGGAGATTCACAGTGGATAAAACAATTTGAGGTTTTGATACAAAGGAGTCCAGATTTTAAAAAAATTATTTAGCCTATTTTTTTCTTAACTTACATGGCTGTAGACACTGTCTACACACTCTTTCCCTTTGTTTCCTTTTTATTTTTTGGAAAACTTAACTAACATCATTGGAAACGCTAATCTGGGGAAGTCTCTGCAGAACAAATATAAATTCATCTTGTAAAACCGTAAGGTGAGATTCAGACAGAGTAGTTTGTTTTGATGTTGTGTTGGAATTCTTTCATGGAGATCTATTAGGAGACAGAAGTAATGATAATTCTTTTTATGTTCCATAAATGAAATTGTCAGACTGTTAAAAATGTATTTCTCTAAACCGTCAGTAGAAAATTAAAGGTCACTGAAAACAAGTGAGTGCCTCTCAAGACTACTTTTATTCAAATATTTAAATGCTGGTATAAGAGAAATGTTTACCTTTGAAAACCATCTCATAGTTTTATTAAAGCTAAAAGTAAGCTTGCTTTAGTATGTTGAAATATGCTAACTGCTAACATGCTTTATAGGGTATTTGAGTAATTTAGTCAGTAAATAAATGGTTAGTGCAAGGCAGCATGCTTCTTGTTATGAGAAACAATACCTTTAATGAGCATAATTTCTCAAAGAGGGGCTAGATGTGTGCCTTGTGTCCTTGAGTTGTTTTCATCAAATTGCTATGACAGGTTACTTCTTAGAAAGTTCAGGAAAGAGCTATAGCATTAAAAAGTGGACAGAAACAAATGGACATATATAAAGTATTTAGAGATGGTTAGTATGAAAAATTTTTGCTGTGACTTTTTGGTTAAGAGGAATAACGAGTAATTTTTGTCATTTAAACATTTTTAACACAAAATGGTATTTTATTCTCTTTCAGAGATATATTTTAAGATGTTTTTTATAAAATAGGCTTGACCTTGCCTTTTTGTATGGTTGTAATTTTATTGCTGTATAAGCTCCAAGTATTCTAGAGGATTTTGCCTGATACTACAATAAGTGATTCATGATAAATGTACATTGTAGAGGAAAGAGTTAAGTGCCAATTTAATCAAGAGACTCCTTTTCCATATTATTTTGGGCAGAGTTTGTCCCTAGCTTGTTCCCCACTGTAAATCTAGCAGTAAGAGGAGTATTCATAGTCATTCACTCAGCATAGCGACTCTGTTAAATGAATAAATGCCTGAATCACAGCTTTTTAAAGCTAATGTTAATAAAGTTATGCATGTTGTTCTTATTAATTGTTTAGATGGTTCTTGAAGTAGTTTTCCTTTCTATAATGTCTTTATGAAACAAAACTTCTAGTGTCTCATCAGACAAGGGAAGATCACAGAAAACTCCAACTTCTCCCCTATCTCCAAGTTCCCAGAAATTGTTGCAGTTTGACCTTCCAGGAACTTCATTAGAAAGATCTAAATCCTCAATAGTAGTGACTCCAACTATAACAGGATTTAAGCCTAATGCAACTTTTGCTGATACGAACCTAGCTGCCAGCAGAACGACAGAGATGGCTTCAACACCAGGCAAGTAGATGCATGTAGCTGTAATTTAAAAAATAAGGTATTAATTTTTTTCTGAAAATTTCTTTTCTTTCAATTAAACCATAGAGAAATATTGTTTCAAGTGAATGCAGTTACTTTTTGAAAACAAAAATTGTGCCTGAAAATAAATATTGAAAAGTGTGAGAGATTCAATAGTGGTGACTTTTCCCATTTTGCCAGCATTATTCAAAAGACACTTGAAAAATGTATCCCATATATGTACTCCTAAGTGTTCATAGGTATATATGTATTATGTACACATGCATGTATGTGTGCTCATCCACACACAAAAGAAGTAACTATTAAGAAACATTGTACTAATAAGTCACTCTCTTTCCTAAAGAGGAAAGCAGACTTGTTTTTGGACCTTAAAATGAGAAATGAATTTTAGAAATCTGAGATGTAATTTCATGGGAACTTTGATATTTGACAATTATATGCCTTCCAGGTTCTAAGCGCTTTTCTCCTGCTGGCCTCCAGCATCGTATGGCAGCAGAACTCAGTTACTTAGGTGCCATTGAGGAGTCAGTGCGCCAACTATCAGATGTAGAAAGAGTTAGAGGCATTTCACTTGCTCAGCAGGAGAGTGTGTCTCTGGCTCAGATCATAAAGGTATTTGTGGAGTTTTCTGCATTTTTTTCTCTTTTCTTTGCTATTTCAAATACTTTTAATGATGAGTTAAAAAAACAACAACTTTAACTTGCCAAGTAGAAAAAAATAGTCTGTCATACAGTACCTATAAATAACCCTGAGAAAAACTACCATATGCTAAAAAGATAATTAAACATGCAGTATTTGGCAGCAGAACAATAATACAATCATTCTCTTTCAAATACTTCATTTTCCACATTCTCTGCATTTTTCATGACTGTGAAAATCAGCTTATCAAACATTTTCAGTATTTTCTCTTTTTTGTGACAGGTCAGAAATGGTTGAGCTTTTGTTTCTTTGTTTTGTTTTTTAATACTTTATTTGTACTAAAAAGAAAAGTTTCTGAGATCTAAGTATTTGGTAATGCCAGGATAATAGGACTTTCCCTTAGCTAACAAAAATCCAGTGTTCCTTGGTGGGAATGCTATTGGTATATATATTTTTAAACTGAGGTAGTATTTAAATATAATAAAATACACAGAATTTAAGTGTATAATTTGATGAATTTTGAACATGTAACAACCATCCTAATCAAAATATAGAACACTTCAGTCACCCAGAAGTTTTACCCAGGCCCCTTTTCAGTTAATCTCCCCTCCTAGAGGCAATTAGTATTCTGATTCATATCACCATAGTTTATTTTTGCCAGTTCTAGAACTTCATAAAATGGAAGTATACTTTGTACTCTGTTGTGTTTAGTTTATTTTATGCAATATAACGTTTTTAAGATTAATCCATGTTATTGCATCCATGGTGTTGCTTTTGGTTTTTTTGCTGAGTAACATTCCATTGATGAATATATCACAGTTCATTTATCCATTCTCCTGTTGATGTACATTTGTATTAATTCCAGTTTTTGGCTACCATAAGTATTCCTGCTCTGAACACTTTTTTGCAATGCTCTGTATACAACACGTATTTTTATTTTTCTTGCCTAAATACCTAGGAGTGTAATTGCTTGGGTTAAGTGTATGTTTAACTTTATAAGAAACTGCCATTCTGTTTTCCAAAATAGTTGTAACATCTTATACTCTGACAGCAATATATGAGAGTTCTAGTTGTATTATATCTTTGCTATCATTGTGTATTGTAGTGAGAGTGAAGTAGTATCTCATTGTGGTTTTAATTTGCATTTCTTTTATGATTGATGAGATTGATCTTTTAGTATATTTATTGATCAAACTTACGTCTTCTTTTGTGAATATCTGTTCAAATCTTTTGCCTATTTCATGATTGGGATGTCTTACTTATTGAGTTGTAGGAGTTCTTTATATATTCTAGAAACAAGTCTTTTTCAGATATATCTCAAATATTGCTTTTCATCCTTGATTTGCCTTTTCATTTTTTTAAACTATGTCTTTTGAAGAGCAGAAGATTTTAATTTTGATGAAATCTAGTTTTTAATCTTTTTCTTTTATGGGTAGTGCTTTTTGTATTCTAAGAAAACTTTGCCTGCCCTAAGATATTAAGGTACTCTAACAAAGATATTCTTTTATTTTTTTCCCAAAGCTTTATAGTTTTGGCTTTTATATTTAAGTGTGTGAACCATTTCAAGTTAATTACAGGTTGTGAGGAAGGGGTCAAAGTTAAATTCTTTCCTCCCATATGGATGTTTGGTTGTTCTAGCACCGTTTTCTTCAATTACCTTGGTACCTTTATCAACATTTAAGTAATCATTTATGTGTTGGTCTATTTCTGCACTCTGTTCTTTTCCATTGACTTATTTGTCTAGTACCATACTGTTTTTCTAGTACCATACTATTTTACTATAGCTTTATTAGTACCATGCTATTTTTGTTTCTTTTTTTCAATTAAAAAAAATTTTTATTGGAATATAGCTGATTTACAATATTGTGTTAGTTTCAGGTGTACAGCAAAGTGAATCAGTTATACATATGCATATATCCACTCTTTTTTAGTTTTTTTTTCCCATTTAGGCCATTACAAAGTATTGAGTAGAGTTCCCTGTGCTATACAGTAGGTCCTTATAGTAGGTCCTCTATTTTATATATAGTAGTGTGTATATGTCAATCCCAATCTCCCAATTTATCCCTCCCCCACAATGAGTCTTGAAATCAGGCTGTAATTACTCCAACTTTGTTCTTCTCAAGATAGTTTTGGCTATTCTACGTTTTTGCATTTCTACATAACTTTTAGAATCAGTTTGTCAGTTTCTACAAAAAATTTTAAAAGCCTGGTGGCATTTTGATTTGAATGACATTGAATCTATAGATCAGTATGAGGAGAATTCACATCTTAGCAATATTGCATCTTCTAGTTCATGAACATAGTATCTTTTTCTGTTTGTTCAGGTTTTTAAATATTTCTCTCAGCAGTGTAATTTTCAGTGTAGCGGTCTTACACATTTTAAAAATTATTCTTAAATATTTTATGTCTTTTGATAATAAATGATTTTTTTTAAATTTCATTTTCTAGTTGTTCCTCTTAAAATACCAATAGATAGTTCTTTTGTATGGAACTGTTCAACCTTCCTACATTCCTCCCAATAAATAACAGTAGTGCTGTCCATTCATCGTGACAGTAAAAGCTCTCCAGACATTTCCAAATGCTCACTGGTGGACAGTGGAGAGGGGCTGATACCAACTTTATTAAAAAAATCACTGGATTGAGGAAATGCAGTTGTCATTGCAGTTGTCATCCTTTCCTTGAGATCTGAAAAACCACTGACGTTATCTACCATTTTAGGGATACATTATATCTCTGGGTTTTCAAACACGGACAGGGCATTGTATGACTTTATATACAGCCTTACCACCTTTAGAGAACCTATATTATTTAGCACTATACCAGAAGAAATGAAAATATATAAATTTATAGATAACATCGTATGGAATAATTGTAAGAAAGAGTCCTGTTAAGAAGGAGACATTTTGGAGGGCAACATTTTTATGAAGCTGCTCCTTCAAAGTCAAAATAAAGGAATCATAAAATTGTGAGGGGTGAAGCATTATCTTTATTCTTATATTTAGGATGTTTTAATCTCCTCCAAAGAGTTAGGTACCATAGCTTTTCTTTTAAACCAGCTTTTTGATATGAGTTCTTAGTCGTGCATGTCTTGGAAATTTTTTATATTACTCCATTATTTGATACACAGTAGGTGGTCACTAAATATTTAGATAAATGGTAAATGGTTGATGTCTCCGCTATTTCCTGTCTTTCCTTTAGGCTCTGATTAGTTGCTTCAAAAGATCTGTGTTAGGAAAACAGCATTCTATTTAATTTAGTTTCTGCACTGAAATAGTTTAGTGTCTTAGAATTAATAGTTGATCATTTCTTTATTTTGAAGGCACAGCAGCAACGCCATGAAAGAGACTTGGCCCTTTTGAAATTGAAGGCTGAACAAGAGGCTCTGGAGTGTCAGAGACAATTAGAAGAAACCCGAAGCAAAGCAGCTCAGGTAGCTTCTTTTGCAAATTTCTATCCTTGAAATCACTTTAGTATTCTTTTAGTTATATAGGAATAAAAAGGAAAGATGTAAATAATGTTTTAGTACATTATACCACATGAGTTAATTTCATGTCATTTGATTCTTGTAGCAACCCTGTGAGATTAAGTAGTCAAGGCCTATCCCCAGCTTAGAGGAATGGAAACTGAGGTACACAGTAGTTACTTGTCTACAGACACATCAACTTGTGAACAGTGGAGTTAAGACTTAAACTTCAGCAGTGATTTTAAGATTCCAGATTTTAAAATCTAAATTTTAAGACATGAAATCAAGATAGTAGTCAAAGGTTTTGGGTTTTTTTTTCCTCAAGGCATTTGATCCATGAAACAAATTTACAAGTTAAAACTAATGTGGGTGGGATGAGACTGAGACATAAAGTAAGTTCTCTTGTCACCCTCTTTTATTAACAGGTCCATGCGGAATCATTGCAGCAGGTGGTTAAATCACAACGGGATGTAACTGAAGTCCTGCAGGAAGCAACTTGTAAAATAGCTGCTCAGCAAACAGAGACTGCTCGCCTGACCACAAATGCAGCACGCCAAATCTGTGAGGTGAGAGCCACCGAGAACGCTTTTCCTTTTAGTTCTTTTTAGTCAGTCTGATTACCTTTGGTCTTAGCAGTCATGGGTTTCTAACATCTAGCGAATGCATACTTTTGATAAGTGACTTTCAATGAGGGCCATACCCTATAGAAATGAGGCATCATTTATTGTAGTGTGTTGTCCATGTGAACAATATAGGGGGCAGAAAAAAGATGCAGAAGAACTCTATATTTTGGCCCCTGAGTAAGCTTTTTAAAAAAATATCAATTTTATTGATGTGTAATTTACAAACAATAAAATATATCCATTTTAAGTATACAGTTTTATGAGTTTTGACAGATAGATATAGGTATCTATATATATTTCTTTATCGTATCTATCTATTCCTCTGAACACCACCATAATCAAGAAATAAAACTTTTAAGAGTATTGGAAATATTCTTTCATGCCCTTTGCAGTCAGTCCCCAATCTTAGTCCCATGGAGCCATGGATCTGTTTTGTATGAAGATGTTTCATTGTTACCCAGAGTGATATTAGTGTCCTTTTTTTTTTGATTATACCAAAGATAAAGCCAGAAATAGTTTTACTGCTTTCTCTATATAGGATATCATAATCTATAAAGTTACAGTTTATTTTAGCAGTTACTATTTAGGACTGTTTGTGAAATGATTCTGTTATTTAAAAGCCATGAACCTACTATAATGATGGGTACCATGGGGTTGTGCAAATAAGTATAAAGTCTCTTTTCTCAAGAAAATTTTAGATTACAATTAACAGAGATTTCAAAAACACTTCAATTCGTCAAAGCAGTGATTGAATAAATACCAAATGAATAATACATGGCAATAATGGCTAAGCATAGGGAAGATGTACTTCACATTGTTGGTCAGAAAAAACTTAGGTAGGAAGTTCTAATTGAATTGATTCTTGAAGGAAGATTTAATTTTTGGTTTACTGTGGCTTATTTTGGATTTGAAGGTTTTCTGTCTAATAATTCATAGATTGTTATAGCTGGGTGAAACCTTAGAAATCATGTGGTCTAGCTCTATTTTTATAAGGAAGTTGTTGAAACTTAAAGAGTCTAAATGACATGCCCACAATATTTTACCTAATATGGCAGAATTTGCTTGCTCTCAATCCAGTGATCTTTCTAAGACACTCTGCTCACTCTCAGTTCTTGTGTGATGTTACCTTTTTATATCTACTTTGCCTTGTGTGTGTTCATATTTAGATGGCAGAGTTGACTCGAACTCATATCTCAGATGCCATCACTGCTTCAGGAGCTCCCCTAGCAACGCTATATGACCACCAGCGGCAGTATGCTCCAGACTTCGTGAAACAACTAAGGACAAGAGCTGAAACAGATAGGTTAATATCCAGTCATTCAGCAAATATGTCATGAGTATCATGTCCCAGGCACTGTTGTGGGTACTGGAAATACAGTTATGGGCATACAGTCTCGTGGGGAAGAGAGACATTAATCAAATATCCTTTAAGTGAATGAACACTTACAAATTAAGCATTATGAAAGAAAGGAACGTATGTCTTTGAGATATACAACAAAGGAGGTCAGAGAAGGTTTTCCTGAGGAAGTAAAGCTTATGGTGAGATCTAGTGGATGAAAGGGAGTCAGTGATGTAAAGGAGGTAAGGAATAGGCAGGTCAATACATGCAAAGGTGGAGCAGAAGATGAAGGAAGACCAAAGTGACTGGGGGCAAAGGGCAAAGAGGAGAATGGTAGGAGATGATGCAGGGATCAGATTATGGTAGGACTTTTCAGATCTTACGGATTTTGGAGTTTATTCTAGGAGCAATGTAAAGTCATTGGAGAGTTTTTTAGGCAGGGCTGGGTGATGTCATGTTTATGTGTACTTTTTTAAAATAAATTTATTTTATTTATTTATTTTTGTTTGCGTTGGGTCTTCGTTGCTACACGCTGGCTTTTTTCTAGTTGCAGCGAGTGGGGGCTACTGTTCGTTGAGGTGCGCGGGCTTCTCATTGTGGTGGCTTCTCTTGTTGCGGAGCACGGGCTGTAGGAGCGCGGGCTTCAGTAGCTCTGGCACGTGGGCTCAGTAGTTATGACTCAGGGCTCTAGAGTGCAGGCTCAGTAGTTGTGGTGCACGGGCTTAGCTGCTCCGCAGCATGTGGGATCTTCCCAGATCAGGGCTTGAACCCGTGTCCCCTGCACTGGAAGGCGGATTCCTAACCACTGCACCACCAGGGAAGTCCCATATGTGTATTTTTTTACATCACATTTTGACTGTCTCTAATTCATAGATTTTAATTCTCTATTCACATTCATTGATACTTGGGGTGATTTGTGTTTATTTCTCCTAATAAATAGAAGATATTCTTTAATGTGTTGTACACTTTTCTGTGAGCAAATGCCTTTCTTTCTCAAATACTTTGCAACAGTTATTTCATAATTTCTATTCATTCAAGATTTTATCTCATGTTAATATTAAGCAGTACTTAAAAATCTTTCTCTTGTTTGAGACTTTAAATGTTTTAATCAGTTTTTATTTTCTATGTAGGAAAAGTCAATCTGGTCCACTCTCTCAGAGTAAAGAAGGGACCCTTGACTCCAAGCATCAGAAGTTTTCTCCTTCATATGATAGTTATTCTGAGTCTTCAAGACACAAGAATCGCGATAGAAGGTAAAAAGACTTTGATTTAATAAAGTCTGATAAATGGCTTAGACATTGCTTGTTTTGGATTCCTTAATCTTGTTTCTTTAAGCGAAATAGTGTCTTCCCTTCTGTTCTGGCTTCCCCCATTTAATTAGCTGATTTACAAAATAGTTGTTCCATGTAATAATATAGCTACCATTCCTTGACAGTCGACATTGTACAAGTACTGTGTAAGTTGTTCTTCCTGCATTTAATCTTCACAACAATCTTCCAAGACAGATATCCTCTTTTTATAGATAAGGGAACTGAGGTACATGAAGATGTTAAGAAACTCACCCACAGTCACATAGCTAGCGGCACACCAAGGAATTGAACCATGGTTTGTCTGGCTCCAAAGCACGTTGCTTTGCTGACATCCATATTTTTTGACATTTCTGTATGTACTAATTTTTATCATTATGAAAGAAGATTGACTACTTTGTCCTTGTACTTGGCACAAGTATTAACATCTATAATTTTCAATTGGGGTTCTGTCCTTGGATTAAAAGGTTTTAGAGGCCTCTTTCCAGCATTCTTAGAGGTAGGATACCTGTATTGTCAAAGTATACTAAAGCCTCAATTTAAAAATTAAATCATGAGACTAAAAAACATGAAGATTAATGTGGGGTAAGTACCAGCAGTTATTAAGTACTTACTCTGTGTCTGGAACTATATGACTTTCATTTAACCTTCACTGACACTTAATTTAGGCCATCATCTGAGTTACTGCAGTGGACTCCTAATAGGTTTCCCTGTCCTGTAACCTTTTCCCACTTCATACATTAACCACATGGCAACCAGAGTGATTTTTCTAAAATTTGCAGCCAATTGGTTACTTACCTGTTTGAAACTTCAGTGTTTCCTCAGAGCCACTTAGTATAGTGTGAAAGTCCCTTTATTATTAAGTCTTTAGTCTATCTCCAGCCCTGTCACTTGGCATTTCCCCTCTTACCATATTCTACTGGTTCTAACTACTTCCATTTCTCTGAAAAGCCATGCTCTCTTTGTCTCCTGTGCCATTACATATGATGTACCTTCTTTCTGGACCCTCCCCGCTCCATTTCATTTAGTTTACTTTTACTTGCCCTTTAAGAATCAGTATTACCCCTCATCTGCTTTAGAGATCCCTTCTGTGTTCTCCCACAGCACTCCGTGTAACTATTACAGCCTTTATCACCTTCTATATTCTCACTCCTTTACTTATCACTTGTAGACTAGACTTGGAATTCTTTGAGGGCTTCATTTTCATCATCCCCAAAAGAAACCCTGTACCCATTAACAGTCACTTCTTATGTCCTTTTCCAGCCTCTGGTGACAGCTAATCTACTCTCTATTTCTATTTTATATGGATTTTTATCTGTTTTGGACATTTCATATAAATAGCATCATACAATGTGTGGTTCTTTGCTACTGGCTTCTTTGACTTACCATAATGTTTTCAAGGTTTGTCTATCATGTATCAGTACTTTATTCCTTTATATAGCCAAATAATCCACTGCATGTATATCCCACAGTTATCCATCAGTTGATGGACATTAGGATTGTTTCCACTTTTTGGCTCTTATGAATGGTGCCACTGTGTACATTCATGTACAAGTTTTTGTGTGGTCATGTGTTTTCGTTTCTCTTGGGTATATACTTAGGAAAAGGATTGCTGGGTCATAATAGTAACTCTGTTTAACATCTTGAAGATATGCCAAACTGTTTTCCAAAACAGCTGCTCCATTTTACATTTTCACCAGGAATATAAAAATTTTCCACATCTTTACCCACACTTGTTGGTAGGCTAATGAAGACTGTGTCATTCTTGTATCCCCAGAGCTTAACGAAATGCCTGGCACGTAGTAGGCAATCTACTACATGTTTATTGAGTGAATGGTGTGTAACTGCTAAGTGGAAGAATTGAGATTAACCCCATATCCTACTGACTCCAAAGCACTTGCAGTCTCCTGCATTCTGTCTTTTACCTTATAGCTTTATTATACAGTTTATCCTTTCGAAAACATTTATTAAGCCAGAAAAATAATTGCGTAATATTCTGATAAATACTGTCGTAGAAATATGCACAAAAAAACAGTATAAGCACAGAGACAGACCTTCCTTGGGAGTGGAGAAGGGGTCCACAAACAATCTGCAGAAATGATACTTCAACTGAGTCTTGAATTCATTAGGCAGAGAGGGAAGGAAGGGCATGTCACAAGAGGAAATAGCTTATTCAGAGGATCTCAAAACCTGGCTTATGATTGGCTATATATTTATCTTTAGTGAATGGATAAATTAAGGAAAGCAAAGAGGGAGGAAGGAAAACACTGAACTTGAAAACAGGTTCACTAAGCATTTGGAAATTTGAGGCTTAAAGTCAGGGGAAGGGTGGAGCTAGTGATACAGATTTGAGGCTCATTCCAAATGATAGCAGTTGAAATTATAGAGATGCATAAGATTGTCCAAGGAGAGTATATAGCATAAAGGAGAAAGGAACCAAAACCAAAACCCTAGGAAGCACAGTCATTTTAAGAAAAGGTAGAAAAATTAAAAGGAAGCGAAAGAAACACAGGAAAACTTGCTAGGGAGATAGGAAGAGAAGCAGGTGGGAGTAGAGTCAGGGAATATAAGAAAGGAGAACCCTTTTATTTATCATTTAATTTTGATATAATTTCAAGCTTACAACAACTTTGCAAGAATAATATAAAGTTCCCAAATATCTTTCATCCAGGTTACCCTAGTGTTAACACTTTACCACATTTGCTTTAGTGAACTTTTAAAAAAGGAGATAAGAGGTTCATACCTCTGATATTGTAGAAAAAGAAATTATCTATTGGATTTGACAATTAGAGTTTAGGTGGAGTTTACAAGAACCGTTCCAGTCGAATAGTTGGGAATTGAAGCAGACTGCGATAAATTATGAGGTTTATAATTTAACAGCAGATAGAAGCCTCTTTTCCCAGTAGATTGATTTTAAAATGAAAGGAAAAAAGGAAGTGATAGCCTGAGAATAGTGGTTCCCCATTATGACTATTTAAAAGTGAAACCTTCCTTTCTTCTACTCATCTTTCCTGAAACAGTTTCTTCTCAGACTTATGTCTACGTAGCATTTTTATGTTTTACATCTTTCGTCATTTCATATCTTGATCATAAGGCACATTTCCTTGGCCAGATAAGTTTACTTTGAAGTTATGATCCTTATTTTGTTACCTTTATTTTTTTTCTGGTTTGTTTCCATAATATCCTTAAACAGGAGTAGTAGTGGTAGCAGCCGTCAAGAAAGTCCTTCAGTTCCATCTTGTAAGGAAAATGAGAAGAAACTTCATGGTGAAAAGATGGAAAGTTCTATTGATGAACAGGTCCAGACTGCTGTGGATGATTCTCTACGAAGTGATAGTGTACCATCTCTTCCCGATGAGAAAGGTAACTTTCTTTGCACATGTATGTATAATCATTGTTTGGAGAGGCTTCCAGAACCCTTTGAGATATTTGTGACTGAACTAATTAATATAATTAAGCAAGGTTTTATGTCTGATATTAAATGTATTCAGGTGAAACTGTTTGAAGGCCATACACCATACCAGTAGTAACCTTGCTAATATTTTACATGGTTGTGTGTCATGATTCTGAGGGGAGGCAAGACTAAATCTAGGTGATCATGCATGTGAATGGAATATATACTCAGTACTGAAAAAAATTACTTTTATCCTATTGTAGATGTGTAACGCGATCATAAAAAGGAGAATACATTATTAGAACTTTAAATTTTAAACAATATAATAAGGTACAATTTCTTATAAATGATAACATCAGATATATTAAATAGATTAAAATTCATTACTTTTCCTGGATCATAAATTAAAGCTGTACTCCTATCAAATCATGGGTAGTAAATAATATAGCAAAGAAAACAGAATCTGGCAACAAATGGCACCTTTAAGACATTAAGTTGGTAAATTAATGGCCTCCATTCTAGATTTATTTTTTTTTATTTTTTTATTTTTTTGCGTTATGTGGGCCTCTCACTGTCGTGGCCTCTCTCGTTGCGGAGCACAGGCTCCGGACATGCCGGCTCAGCGGCCATGGCCCACGGGCCCAGCCGCTCTGCGGCATGTGGGATCCTCCCGGACCAGGGCATGAACCCGTGTCCCCTGCATCGGCAGGTGGACTCCCAACCACTGCGCCACCAGGGAAGCCCTAGATTTATTTTTTAAATAACTGGTCATTAAGTAGTGCTTTTGATTGATAGTGTAGAACCGTAGTCTTCAAAGCAGGATAGGCAAGACAGTCTTTGGAGTGTAAGAAGAAAATATTTAAATTAAAAATTTTTTCATCCTTTAAAACTCTTTTCTGTAAATTTTATAGTGAATATAATATAGGGATATAGTAGTCTATAGTTACGGCAGCCCTAGCTGATTAATACAGATGTTGGTACCTAGAAGTTGGGGTGATGCTATAACAATTACTAGAAGTGTGGCAGTTGCTTTGGAACTGGATGACGAGTAAAGGATAGAAGAGTTTTGAGGTTCATGCAAGAAAAAGCCTACACTGCCTTGCAGAGATTGTTGGTCATTAAAGGTGATTCCGATGAGGTCCAATAAAGGTGGAGATGAGGAACATGTTATTGGAAACTGGAAATGAGGAACATGTTATTGGAAACTGGAGGATAGGCAGTCCTTGTTATAAAGTGGCAAAGAACTTGACTGAACTTGTTCTAGTGTTTTGTGGAAAGTGGAGGTTAAAAGTGGTGACCTTGGATATTTAGCTGAGGAGACTGCTAAGTAAAATGTTGAAGGCATAGCCTAGTTTCTTCTTACTGCTTATAGTAAAATGTGAGAGAAGAAATAAACTGAAGGAATTATTAAGCAAAAAGAAACCAGAATTTGAAGATTTGGAAAATTCTCAGCCTATCCATATTGTAAAAAATGAGAAAGTGAGTTCTGGAGAGAACACCAAGGGTGTGACTGGACAGTTACTTCCTAAAGACATTACCCATGGATTTAATCAGCCATCTCAGCATGTTCAGCAGAAGCCAGGCACAGAGATGGGGTTAGACTAGCAGAGACACAGCCAGTTTGGACTAAAGGGCAAGAGACAGGATGAAATATAGGAAAGCTTTCAGACTTCTGGGATTCTGTGGGATGGGACAATAGAGCTATCCAGCTGTGGACACGCCTATCTTTCAAGAAAGCTAAGGTGGCTAGAATTCATGGGGCAACCAAAATCCAAAGAAATTAAAACATTGAAAAACTCGTATGAAGAGGAAAACGGGAAAATCTAGGTCACTTTGGTTTGGCAATGATTTCTTAGGTACAACACCAAAAGTACAATCCATGAAGGAGGAAATTGATAAGGTACACTTTGTTAAAAACTAAAAACTTCTGCTCTGTAAGAGACATTATTAAGAGAATGAAAAGCCACAGACTGTTAGAAAATATTTGTAAATCACATTGGATAAAAGACTTACATCCAGAGTGTATAAAGGACTTTTAAAACTCATCAGGAAAATCAGCAACCCAATTAAAAAATGCGCAAAAGAGCTGAACAGACACACTTCGTTGAAGAAAATATACAAATGGCAGATAGACATGGGAAAGGTCTTCAATATCATATATTTATAGGGAAGTGAAAATTAAAATCTCAATGAGAGGGCTTCCCTGGTGGCGCAGTGGTTGAGAGTCCGCCTGCTGATGCAGGGGACAGGGGTTCGTGCCCCGGTCCGGGAAGATCCCACATGCCGCGGAGCGGCTGGGCCCGTGAGTCATGGCCACTGAGCCTGTGCGTCCGGAGCCTGTGCTCCACAACGGGAGAGGCCACAACAGTGAGAGGCCCGCGTACCGCAAAAAAAAAGAAAAAAAAAAATCTCAATGAGATACTATAACTTGCCTATTGGAATAGCTAAAATCCAAAATAACAACAAATTGGTGGCAAGGATGCTGAGCAGCAGGAACTTGAATTCATCACTGATGAGAATGCAAAATGGCACAGCGCCGCTGGAAGACATTTACACAGCATTTTATAATGACCCAGCAATCACATGCCTAGGTATTTGCCCAAGTGATCTGAAAACTTATGTCCACACAAAAATCTATACGCTAATATTTGTGGCATTATTATTCATAATTGCTAAAAAAAAATTGGAAGCTATTCAGGGCTACTAATTGAATATCTACTGAAAACTGTTATAATGATAAAATCTACTTGCTCCATATTCTTTTATTATAGATTCAACCTCTGTTGCAACAGAATATTCCCTGAAATTTGATGAATCCATGACAGAAGATGAAATAGAAGAAAGATCATTTCGATCTTTACTACCTTCTGAGAGTCATCGCAGATTTAACATGGAAAAGAAAAGAGGCCATCATGATGACTCTGATGAAGAAACTTCCCCAGAAAAGACTACACTGTCCTCTGCCAAGGTGTGTTTCAGTTTACCTGTGGAGATACTTCATAAATAGTTGTGGATGTGTTCTCTCAAAGGTATGAGGAATTATTTTGTACTTGAACTCAGTTGTCAGCTACCAGAATGATTTTCCTGAGATATCAATTTTATGTTATATTTTTGGTATAGATTCTGGCTTTGCTTCCCTTATAAAGTAGCTTACAAATTATTCCTTGGAATGATATGTAAGGCTTTTGAGGATCTGAGCCAAAGTTATAGCTAGCTTTTTCACTTACTTCACCCTTACAACACTGTATTGCATTTAAAAATTTTCATTTATATCTTTCTTCTTATTAAATTGTAAGCCTTTTGAATAACAGGGGCAAATTCGTACCCAGTTTTACACCCCTGGGACAATACCTAGCTTACAGTAGTTGTTTGTTAAAATTTTATTGGGTGAATAAATTAGCAGATGAATGTTACTGGCTTTCACATGCCTTTTTTTTGGAAGAATGTTCTTTTACGTGGTTGGCAGCCTTTTTATATACATAATTATTTTTATAAGTGCATACCTCTTTTAATGAAGTTAATTAAGTTCCAGAAGGTTTAGATGGTGATAAACACGACATAAACTCTCTAACTCAGGAGCTGAGCATGCCATTCTCAGGAGGACAAGACAGCTTTTCTAAATTTACTATGGAGATGGTTAGACAGTATATGAAAGAAGAGGAAATGAGAGCAGCTCACCAGTCTTCACTCCTGCGTCTCCGTGAAAAGGCCTTGAAGGAGAAAACTAAAGCTGAATTAGCCTGGCTAGAGCATCAGAAAAAGTAAGCTCTTTCAGTGAACGTAGTTTTGACTGTTCGATTTCTCCTTTCATGAAAAGGAAATGCCTTGTTTTCAGTGAACATAGTTTTGACTGTTCGATTTCTCCTTTCATGAAAAGGAAATGCCTTGTTTTTAGAGATGTTTTTGTTTCCTCATCTAATTTAATTTGATCAACCCAGTTTCTCAAGCTAGAAATACAGCAGTCATCCTTGAATCATGTTGCTTTCAAGACATCCTAAACATATAACATTTTCTTTGCATTTCTCTTTTATCACTTAACTGACTCTTACATTGTTATTTTATACTTAATTCCTTTACTATGTTATAAATTTCTCAAAGCTATTTTATCTTTAAAGGACATAGTCTAGGGTTTGCATGTATCATATATCCAATAAAATATTTCTTGGGTTAGGAGTTGCTGCATGCGGCAACTGTTTTCCACATTTGAAAATGCTAAATGGGTTAGAGATTTGTTAGTGGTTGAGAATTCTTGACATTAGAATAGAAATTCAATCTAATCTTTGTCTCAATGGGAATAATTGCAGACATCTACGAGATAAAGGAGAAGATGATAAAATGCCCCCACTCAGAAAGAAACAACGTGGTTTGCTCTTAAGGTTGCAGCAAGAAAAGGTATGTTAGGAAAAACACTCCTTTAAGAGAACGGAAGGTGACAAGTGAGATTGTGGAATCTATTATTTTGCCTGATCTTTTTTCTTACTATCACATTAAAGGAGATTTAGTTGATATTTACCACTGTTGATACCTACTACTATAATTACAGGAGTTGCTTAGTGGCCTATTGTATTTCTCCTAAATTAAGGTTGTGTTTTACTGCTAACTGAATACAATATAGAGTAAGACCTTCTGCCTTCATTTACTATGTAAAATAAAGTTGTGCTTTGATATGCATATTTTTAAAATTAAGATGTTTGTGAGTCTAATTGGATTAATTTTTTAGTTACTGTTTCCCCAAACAGATTTTCAAGACATATGAATTACAAATTGACAAATATTTTGGCTTAATGGACTCAGAAAGACGTGGCATTTGTATCCTGGAGAGGCAGCATGGTGTAGTGGTTAAGAATTCGGGCTCTAGAGTCAGACTGCCTAGATTAAAATCCCAAACCTTCCAATTATTAGTTTTATAATCTTAGAAAGTTACTTAACTTCTCTTTTCCTCAGTTTCCTTATTTATAAACCAAGCATAATAATGATAACATACTTTGTAGGGTTGTTAAGAGGAATAAATGAGTTAATACATATAATAACTTAGAACAAACCTTGGCACAAAGGTAAGTGCTCAATAAATGTTAGTTGTTATTATTTGAATTCCAGCTTCGTCTGTTGCAAATGCGTATTCATGGTCAAGTTTAAGTAACTCTCTGAGACTTAGTTTCCTTATCTGTTGGAGTGAGATTTTATTTCATATGGTGGTTGTGAGGATTAAATGAGGTAACATATGTAAAATCTGTTTCACGTTGCCTGGTAAGTATTTAATAGATTCTAGTTTTCTTTTCCTTTATTGACCTGTTTTCAGGTACTAGCTACTGTGTTGGATGATCTGTGAACTTAATCATTTGAGTTATATATTGGAATATTACTTAATATTTTTTTTAAAACTTTGTCCTAAGAGGAACTCCCTGGCAGTCCAGTGGTTAGGACTCGGTGCTTTCAGTGCCGGGACCCGGGTTCAATCCCTGGTTGGGGAACTAAGATCCCACAAGCTGCGTGGCATGGCCGAAAAGTAAAAATGAAAAATAAACAAAATTTGTCTTTGATTTTTCAGTAGATTTACTATGATTTGCTTAGGTGTGGTTTCTTTTGCACCGATACTATTTAGAGTTGCAGAGCTTCTTGAATCTGTTGTTTGTAGTATTTCATCAGTTTTTGAAAATTATCTCTTCAGGTGTTGCTTTTGTCCTATTCTCTCATTCCTTTCCTTCAGAAGCTCCAAGTAGACAAACGTTAGACCTTTGGACAATATACCACGTCTCTGTTCTGCAATGTTTTGTTTTTTGTTTTGTTTTGTTTTTGTTTTGTTTTGGGGTTTTTTTGCGGTTTGTGGGCCTCTCACCATTGTGGCCTCTCTCGTTGCGGAGCACAGGCTCCGGACGCACAGGCTCAGCGGCCATGGCTCACGGGCCCAGCTGCTCCACGGCATGTGGGATCTTCCCGGACCGGGGCACGAACCCGCGTCCCCTGCATTGGCAGGCGGACTCTCAACCACTGCGCCACCAGGGAAGCCCCTGTTTTGTTTTAATGTCATTCTTTAAAACAGTAAAACAACCACGGCAACAACATCATCAACTACAACAAAAAACCACTGTGCTTCTGTTTAGAAAGTTTTTATTGACCTGTCTTTGAATTCGTTATAGCTTCTGCACCGTGATGTGTACTGTTAAATCTATCCAGTGAGTTCTTAATTTGATTTCTTTTTTAGTTCTATAATATCTGTTTTGTTCTTTTTTATAGATTTTAATTCTTGTTGAAATTCTCTACCTTTTCATCTGTTTTTTGACCTTTTTCTGTTACTTTTTGAACACATTATTCATAGTTATTTTAACTTCCTTATCTGCTAACTCTATCATTTGGACATCTTTGTGTCCGCTACTATTGTCTGTTTATATTTTTTATTATCATATGACCCTTTTTCTTAAGATGCCTAGTAATTTTTTTTATTGAATGCTGGACACTGTATAAATAACTGCAAAGGCTCCAGATGATGTTATCTTCCCCTAGAGAGGATTTATCCTTTTCTCTTCTATGCAGTTAGAGTGGTCAGCTGTTCACTTTATTCCACTCAGGGGCTGAGCTGGGTTGGCATTGGGTTGCGGACTTGGTAAACCTCAGTCTAACACTCAGTTGTGACCCCAAAGGGATTTCCGTTGAAAACCAGGTTAACCGTTTTTACCAGCACAAGAGGCTGTTGGGGATTTCTGCTCTGCTGTTGAGAGGTTTCTGGCTTAATTCCTTAGCCTTTTTGCCTATGCTGCTTTAGAATTGGTGGATGTTTTGAGGTGAAGACAGAGTTTGAAGGCTGAAGTCTTAAGACTTAAGTTTAAGACTTAACTGTCTTGGGTCTTCAGTTTTTGTCACTGCAGTTCTCTGTAGCTGGTGGGAGTGTTAACTGGTGTAACGACTTTCAGAGCAGTTTGACTATAACTAGGTAAATTGAAGACACAATTTATGACTCAGCATTTCTATGTGTTGGTAAATATCCTAGAGAAGCTTTTACAGTATATAGGGAAAAGTGGAAACTATTTCTTCAGTAAGAGAATAGCTGAACTAGGGCATATTTCTGCAAGAAAATATAACACTGCAGGAAAAAAGAATGCATTAAAATAAGAAGTGTTTAATAATGATAATGTTCTGTATCTCTGCTATCCAATACAGTAGCTACTAGCCACATGTAGCTTTTTTTTAAAAAAATTACTTATTTATTTTGGCTGTGCTGGGTCTTAGTTGTGGCACGTGGGATCTTTTTAGTTGTGGCATGTGAACTCTTAGCGGCGGCATGCATGTGGGATCTCGTTCCCTGACCAGGGATGGAACTCGGCCCCCTGCATTGGGAGCGTGGAGTCTTACCCACTGGACCACTAGGCAAGTCCCCACATGTAGCTTTTGAGTACTTACAATGTGGCTAGTGCAACCAAGAAACTGAAATTTTAATTTCACTTAAAATTAATCTCAATTTAAATAGCTACATGTAGCTGTTGACTACTGTATTGAACAGGACAGCAGTAGGTCTTATCAAAGATCATAATATTGGGACTATCCTGGCAGTCCAGTGGTTAAGACCCCACGCTTCCACTGCAGGGGGCACAGGTTTGATCCCTGGTTGGGGAACTAAGAATCCCTCATGCCATGCAGTGAGGTGAAAAGTTTTTTTTAAAATTATAATATTAGTTATTACAGAAAAACAAGATGCAAAAGAATATGTACAATATGATACCATTCTTGTAAATTTTTAAAAGTCACCAATTAGTAATATATGTTCCATGGAATCACTCATGCATCAAAAGTACACAGCACATGTAGGGATGATATACTTCTGGAGAGGAAAATGGAAAAAGAGATTGGGGTAGAGTTTAGTTTTCTCTCTAATGAATTAATTTTGAAACAGATTTGAAACAAATGTGCAAACTGTTCAATCCCAGTGGTGGGGGTTCGAGTGACTAATTTTTCTGCATGCTATGTTTATAGGAGGCCAGAATGCTTTTTAAGTAAATGTGCAAAAAGTATTCTTTGATCCAACTAGCTGTTACAGACCAGGGTTCTTGGCCTCCTTAATCAGTAGAAATTGATCAGAGGCCAGACAAGAAATTCAGGCAAGGCTTTATTGGGGCCCCTGCTGTAGCAGGGGGGAGTGAGAACAAACAACAGGTTCCCTTGCTTGCTTGCTGCTTTCGGAGGGCTGGCGAGTTGGTTCCTTATGTGGGGTGAGGGTAGGGGTGTGTCCAGGGGTCGGGCGGGAGGGGCGGCATAGGTGGTTTGCCCACCCCTTAGGTGGTGCTGTGTGCAGGGGACATGTGCAGCACCCTGCTTTTGCTCCAGGCTCTTCAAAAGTGGCAGTTGGTTATTTTGGTTTCTTTGTATCTTTTGGGTCCAGAATTTGCCCTAGCATGCAAGCAGTTATTTTTGGTCCCATATAGTTTCTTTGTATTTATAGCTTAAGGAGAGGTGTCCAGGTGCAAGCTTTGCAGCATTGTAGCAAAGGTTCCCAGGTCCCAGGCCTGTCTCACAGCTACCCCTAGAAAGTTGCCCTGTAGGAGTAAAAGCACCAGAGTGTGAGGATGTAGGTACTGAGATACTTACTGCAGTTGTATCAGTAGGGATTATTTTGACATGTAGTGAGATGGCTGTGAGGAATTTGGCCACATATCTTTGCACAGCTGTATCCAACAGGAACATATTTTCCTTATTCTTTTTTTTTTGAGGTGAAATTCACATAAAATAACCGTTTTTAAATGAATATACCATTAACCATTTTATTTATTTATTTATTTTTAAAATATTTATTTAGGCTGTGTTGGGTCTTAGTTGCAGCATGTGGGCTTCTTAGTTGCGGCATGCAGGCTCTTAGTTGTAGCATGCATGTGGGATCTAGTTCCCTGATCCAGGGATTGAATCCGGGCCCGCTGCATTGGGAGCATGGAGTCCTACCCACTGAACCACAAGGGAAATCCCACCATTAACCATTTTAAAGTGAACAGTTTACTTGTACAACCTTATGGCTTATTCTTGAGAGAGATGCAAACACTTTCCCCTTAGAACCCCTTGAAAAAAATCTTTTCTTTCTTCTAAGCTTGGATTGGGTGAAATTATACATTAATTGGTTTAGAAACTCAGGCCTAAGCTAGTAGCAGTTTTCAAAAGGTGTTCTGTAGAGCTCTGGGGATTCCTGAGACCCTTTCATGGGTCAGGGAGATCAAAACTATTTTCATAAGGATAGTGAGATGTGAATTTGCCCTTTTTTGTGTTGACATTTGCACTAAATGGTGCAAAAACAATGGTGGTAAAACTGCTGGTGCCTTAGCACAGATCAGGGCAGGGGCACGAAACTGCTAGTAGTCATTATATCTTCCACTGCCACATACTTGCAGCGAAAAAAATCTAGTTCTACTAAAGAATGTCCTGATTAAGTAGTAAAAATTATTAATTTTTTTGTGTTGACCTCTGAGTACTTGTTGTTTTCATATTCTCTGTGACAGGAATGGGAAGCCCACAATTAAGCACTTTTCCTAGATACCAGAGGAAGGTGATTAACTCATGGGAAAGCATTTGTGTAGTTTGAATTGCAAGCTGAGCTAGCCAGATATTTTTCATGGAATATCATTTTTACTTGAAAGAGTTATTCAGAGACAAACTATGTTTGTTCAGACTAGGGTATTTGACAGTCATTTTCTCAGAAATGAACAAAGTGTGCTTGTCACTTCAAAGAAGGCAACTGACAGTGTTTGTTGCCAATGATAAGGTTCAAACTTTCAAGCAAATGTCAGAATTTTGAAAAATTTCTGTCTACCACCTAATACTAAAGAAGTTTTTTCGAGATCACAGTGATATTAATAAATGTGATTTGGGGGGATTGCATAATGAAATATGTGAACATTTGGAAGATCTGCATAACTGAGTGAACTAAACATTTTCCAAATGAGCAATGCATGGTATTTAAAAAAATCAAGCCACGGAGATGGGGAGGGATAAATTAGTAGTATGGGATTGACAGATACCAACTACTATACATAAAATAGATAAGCAACAAAGATTTACTGTATAGCATAGGGAACTATATTCAATATCTTGTAATAACCTGTAATGGAAAATAAGCTGAAAAAAAAATTAGTGTATAACTGAATCACTTTGCTGTACACCTGAGACTAACACAGTATTATAAATCAACTATGCTTCAATTAAAAAAAAAACAAACCCAAACCAAAAAAAAAAAAAAAACCAATCCAGACAGTAAAGAGATGTGCAAACATCTACATACTATTTTCACTAATTTTGTTTGTTTTGAAAATTATAGTTATTTTCTTCAAAATGTCAATAAATGCCATTGTACACTCATGAGAGAATGAGAGTGAAAAGGCAAATAATGTCTTGTCTTAGTATTATGAAGATAGTTTGACCCTGAGAGTCTCCAGAAGAAGAAGCTTCAGGGTCTTTGGACCATACTTCGAGAACTGGTGCTTGAGAGGAATTCATACACGTGCCCAAGTAGACAAAAAGTATAAGGCTGTTGATTATAGTATTGTTTGTAATAGTAGACAACAACCTTATCTAACCATAGAGGTAATAGATACATGAAATCTGTATACCTCCAGTGTAAATTTATGCAGCATTTAGGGGCAAATCAACATGGAGACATATAAAAGCAATGTTTAGTAAATAAAGCAAGATTGAAAAAATATATGATATAACTTATAAAATATTTTAAAACATACAAACCAAACAGTATATATTTTTTTGCAGGTAAGTACAAATATTTGTAGAAGAATTTTAAGAGGATGTATACCATGGAAGGATATATACCATGATAGTGGTTACCTCTAGGGAGTTGGAGCAGGGAATTGTAGACTGGTGTTATCTGTAATCTTTTATTTCTTTATGAAATTAAAGACTAAGAGAAAATATGACAGTATTAACAACTGTTAATTTGGGATTTTGGAATTAGATGTTTATTGTGCACTTTTCTGCATTTTCAGATAGTTTAAAAGATCTCTTTTTAAAATTTAAATAAATTGTAACAAGTTATTAATACCTTTATTATGCTTACTTTATTGACAAGAAAACGGATTACAACAAATTTATGAAAAAAATGGACAGTCTGTTAAATTTTATTATTAACAGTGAAGTGTATCATTTTTTGCCCACTATTAGCAAAAGAAAACAGTAATATTCTGTGTGGAGAGAGTTTGGTGCAATGTAGTCTTAAATGTTTCTGGTGGCATTTTATGTGGAGAAAATTCTTTTCTGAAAGCAATTTTAGAAACTATTCTAAGGGCCATAAAATCATTCATTCTCTTTGACTTGTTTGTCCTACTTTTTGGAATCTCTCCTAAAGAACTAATCCATAGTATGAAACAATTTATAGGCATTAAAGCACTATTCGGAATGGAGTTTAGCAATAGAATAATGATTACATCAATTAGTTTACTTGATATGCAGTTATTAAACAAATAAATGTAAAGACTAAATGGCACTATGGAAAAATATAAAGGGGTATGTTAAGTTTTAAAAAGGGATATGAAATTATCAGTCTGTTGTAATTATAATTGAATTAAGGAATCATGTTAAATTATTTTAGAGTGATGGAGTTATGTGACTTTTTTCTTCCTCCACTGCTTAAAAATTTTTCAATATTATTTTTATCTTGAAATGCTGTATGTATTTATTTTTGATATATGTGATGATTGGATTTTCTTTTTAAAATATTATTTTGGACTTGTCTCCTCCAAATTTCAATCCCTCGCCTAACTCTTTAAACTTTAGGCAGAAATTAAACGTCTTCAGGAAGCCAATAAGGCAGCTCGGAAGGAAAGACAGCTGATTCTTAAACAGCAGGAGGAGATAGAAAGGATCCGACAGACCACCATAAAACTTCAGGAGAAGTTGAAGTCTGCAGGGGAGAATAAATTGGTAAATTACATGAAATTATTATTAATTTGTTTTCTGCCTCATGTTGCTTGCTAATAACTAACTCTACCTCATCTTCTAATGTGGTGGGTGTGTTCATTCTAGCACTGTGATATAGTAATGCACCAGGATAAAGTTCTATGTATGTGCCTTTATGTAAAGTGAGTCTTTTTTTTACTCTCATGGGATATTCAAGTTTTGAAAGGGACATGTAGGTCATATATTAGTTTAAAAATGTTTTCCATTTATGAATTCAGTTGGGACAGAGAGCCTTGTTTTTGCTTATCAATCCAAATATCAATATCAATATATATTCCTCAGAATTAATGGGAATATATTCAATCCAAATATATTCCTCAGAATTAATGGGAGGAATTAATTATTTTTGCTCTTTACATAATACTTTTGTCAGCTCTCTAATGCCTAATATAATGATACAAGGTTCAAAGGAAATATTCAGACAAAAACAAAATTTGGACCTATTCTGAAATACTGTAAAGTGTCAATATAGTGTTGGAAAACTCAGCCTATATAGCAATACAGTTAAATAAATCTCTTAATATTCACTGCTTTGATTTTTAAAATACACTTTAAATTTTGAAACAGTCTCAGATTTATAGAAAATTTCAAACACAGTGCAAAGGGCTTTGATTTTCTCAGTCGAGAGTTATGTTGCCAACAAATTAATATTGACACATTAGTTTTCATTATCTCTTTAATCTCTTTCAGTCTGGAAAAGTTCTTGACTCTCATGACCTTCACACTTTGGAAGATTACATGCCAGATATTTTGTAGAATGGTCCTCAAGTTGGGTTTGTCTGATCTTTCCTCATAATTAGATTCAGGTTGTGCATCTTTGGCAGAAATATCACAGAAGTGATGCTGTGTTGTTCTCTGCATTCAATCAGGTGGCACCTGATTTTGATTTATCTCATTACTGATGATGTTAACTCGAACACTTGATTAAGGTGGCATCTACCATACTTCACTGTATAGTTACTCTCTTTCTCTTTGTAATTAATAAGTGCATTGCATGAAGGTATTTTGAAGCTACATACATTGCTGTTCTTCGTCAAAGTTAAATTTATTCTTTTATTTATATCAGTGTGAACTCACGGATTCGTGTTTTACTCAGCATTATAATCTGTTACTATCATCATTTGTTTTGATGCTCACTTTTTCTCAAATTGGGCCATTAGGAGCCTCTTCAAGCAGGTTTCTGTGTCCTTTTGACATGTACCCATCAGTCTTTGAGCACTTTCATGTTTTCTGGAACAAGATGTTTCAGGGTCATCTTTTACTTTCCCTGCCTCTGCCTTGGAATCAGCTGTTTCTCCAACGAGGCTAGTTATTTAGAAATCAAGATCTGGTGCTAAGCATGCTCACTGCTATTCAGGTTTTGTTGCTCCTAAGCAACAAATCTAGGGACTATATAAGTACATGTATATACATTTTACTTGTGTGATATAATTTTGTCCTTTAAGTAATACCTTAATTTCAGCTATTTTACAAATACTGTTTTGAAGATAAATTAATTTTGAAATGACAGTGTTTAAATCAGTTTGAGATCTTAAATTCCAGTATAATTATAATACTTTACTACCCCCTATTGTTTGCAGGACTCTCATAGTGATGATGATACAAAGGATAATAAGGCAACCAGTCCTGCTCCAACTGACTTGGAGACCCGCAGTCCTTCCCCCATTTCAATCTCCAGCAGTGAAACTAGCAGCATTATGCAGAAACTGAAGAAAATGAGAAGCCGCATGGATGAAAAGTAATTCATTTAAAAAATATATCTTCTATTTACACTGAAAGTAGTAGCAACAAATAATATTTTTAATGTATTTCATTAGATTAGATTGATACAACATAAAATTTTATGGATTCAGTTGCATTTTAGCAGAGTTATTAAGTCATCCTAGGAGTCAGTTAACTGTAGACCTTATTTATAAAACAAATTTTCTTGATCTTAAATAGAGACAGGTTTCTTATTTTAAAAACCAAAGTAGTATTTGCACATATACCCATGACAGCGTTTTCTCCTTTCTTTTATTAAAAGTTATGAGTAAGTGTGAAATTTTTACCTTTTCTGAAATCTGAGGACATATCCACTGACTTGAGGGAGCAATTTAATGGTATATCTTGAGATCTCATCCTGTGACTCTGACAACTGTGAGGCTTACTCAAGTAGAAGAGTGAAATTTTAAACTTGTGAGTGGGTCTGAATTGCTCGATTAAAACCAGAAAGTCTGAAATTCTCCTGGGATGTTGAATGATTTGGCAGTCTACCATTCTTCTAAAACATTTCTAAGCGTTATTTTTTGAAGACTCTTTTAAAGAAAGCTACTCTTACTTAGATATAGCTCAATTATGTGTCAGCTTTGACCGTACCAAGTGACATTTACATGACAGTTTACTCCTTTGCGCGTACATTTGATTAAATACACTTATAAAGTAGCTGCTTGTGGACTATTTTCTACCTTTTTTAAGTATAGAAGAGAGGTCCATTAAAATTTTTGTTGACTGCTCTTTTATTTTAAGTTAGCAATTTGAACCACAGATTAAACTTAAGTTGTATCTTGATATCCTTTGGCAGTATACTGCCCATCACCAAATTTAATAATACTCTATGTTTATATGTGACATCAACCTATGATTTAGTTATTTTCTGAACAGTCAAGCAGTTGTAAGTCAAACCTTACTTTCTATAGGTACAGTGTTGTACACTGGCACTTCATTGCTTAATTGAAATTGCACTTCAGTAACTTAAAATTGGCCTTTGATAACTTAAAAATACCTAAATTGATTATGAAGATGTTTAAATAATAAATAAAAATTTTTAAAATAAAAAATATAAGGGGGTGAAAACTGAATAGTTACAAATGTGTAAGTGTACCTTTTGTATGATTTCCATGGGATAGACCAATTAAGACTATTCAAATAGGAATTCTTTTTTACTTCCTGATAAAAATTTCCAGTAGCCAGTGTGAGACATACTGGATTGCTCCAGGGATCTTTGAATTCAGAATAATCTATCTCATAAATTTTTATAACTGATTTGGCATTTTATATCTGCCTCTAAATGCCTTTGGATCATAAATGTTGGAGGAAGGACAGCTTCAAGGGAAATTTCTTCATCGATTCCTTGCTTGTCTATACCAGTAAAATCTTCATTGCTGGTCTCTATGAATAATATTCCAATAATTTTAATCACATCCATGGAAGGAACTGCTAATCCTATTCTGTTTGTGAGATTAGTCAGTTTATATGGTGTTTATTTGAGATTTGGTTAAAACTTTAAAAACCCTAAATAACAAGTTAAAGGTTGAATTTATTGACTTTGTTCTAAGTTTTGTTATTTATTTTCTCAGAGCCCAAAATACTAAAGACCTAGAATTTTTTTTATCATTGCTCTACCTTCCTTTGTCAACTACTGCAGTAAACTTTTGAGAAAAGGCCTTGAAGCATTCAGTGACTTATTGATTTGTTGTTTGAAGCAATGCAGTTGTGTTTGTGGTTGGGCTGGGGTAAGGACAGTAGTTGCAGAGAAATTAGTTTTAATGTTTGGAAGATGATGCTGAAATTTGAGGATGAAGTGGAGTATTTTCCAAAATTAGCAGTGCATTAAAAACGGAGATCACTGTTAATTTTTTTTGATCTCCATAACAAAGCGCAGTTGGTCCTTGAGCAGCGTGGGGGTTGTGTTAGCAATGCTGCCCTTCCGCGTAGATGAAAATCTGCCTAAAACTTGCGTAGTCGGCCCTCCATAATCGTGGTTCCTCTATGTATGTGGTTCTTCTGTATCTGTAGTTCTATATCTGCGGATTCGGCCAACCACAGATCATGCAGTACTGCAGTATTTACTACTGAAAAATATTCACATGTAAGTGGACCTATGCATTTCAAACCCACTCACTGTTCAGGGATCCACTGTAATGTGAAAACTAATTTTTGAATACCATTCAGGTTACCAAAGCTTCAGAGTTACTTCTCTTTCAACAATGTTGGAATGTCAGCTCAATAGAGTGAGTTAATTTTGTAGTCATTTGCTACAGTAGATAACTAATAAAATTATTTGAGCCTTTGCTACTAGGCACTATTATTTGTTTTGTAGATTAGAAAAGGCCATCTTCTAAGAGATTACTATTTTACTAATATAAAACACTTGTCAGAAAATAGTCACCCTTCTCAATAAGTTTAGCTAACTTTGGGAGGAACTTTTTCATATATATTACTGTTTATTGTTAACTCTCTGAACTTTGATTCTGTGATAAATATTTTTCTGAAGTGGTCAAACTATTCTTGGCTCCAGTGAAAAATTTCCTTCTTTAATGTTTCACTGAGACAACAATGCCTTTGTTAAAGTTTGTATTTCTAATCTATGGCTTTTCTTTTTTTTTAAATAAATAAATAAATTTATTTATTTATTTATTTTTGGCTGAGTTGGGTCTTTGTTGCTGTGCGCGGGCTTTCTCTAGTTGCGACCAGCGGGGGCTACTCTTTGTTGCAGTGCACGGACTTCTTGTTGCAGAGGCTTCTCTTGTTGCGGCGGACAGGCTCTAGGTGTGTGGGCTTCAGTAGTTGTGTCTCGCGGGCTCTAGAGCGCAGGCTCAGAAGTTGTGGCACACGGGCTTAGTTGCTCCGCGGTTTGTGGGATCTTCCCGGACCAGTGCTCGAACCCGTGTCCCCTGCATTGGCAAGCAGATTCTTAACCACTGCACCACCAGGGAAGCCCCTCTATGGCTTTTCTTTGACCTGTGTACTGAGTTGACATTTTAGAAATAATTTCCATTTCTATAGTTAAGAGCAAAAGAAATTTAAACTATGAAAGAGGTTAGTAATAATGAAAATATGTTTGCAAAAGCCACAGACTGACTAGCCCTCAGTTTTTTGATAATTATTGGTAAATGAAATCTGAGTTTTGTTTACTACTGTGAGGGGCATTATTTACAGTATAAAGCTGTGAAACATATTCAGGGGAAAAAAACATACAGTTGACTCTTCCTGTTAATTTGCCAATTCTGTTTTAGGAAAATTATTTACTGAGCAAATGAAACACTGAAGGAATGGTGTTTATCTTCTTCTTTAAGTGTTAAAATAGGATACAGTGCGTTTTTTTCTTTCATTTGTTAATAGCAGCTTGTTCTTCTGTATTATTTATTAATTATATACTTATTCCCTCAGCAATTATTTTTTGGGAAATGTGTGAATCTAGTAGGTTCTGAGGGATAAGAAGATGAATCAAACATAAACCCTGCCCTTGAAAAGCTTATAGTATAGGTGGAAAAAAGAAGAAATATCAGGTTCCTTTAGTGAAGTATATAAAAATCTATTGCTAAGGAAGCTCAGAAGAGGAAGAAATTTTTACTGAAAAGAGTATATATATCAAGGAAATTTTCTTGATGAGTGTTCAGAGTTAAATACTTTGCATTTGCAAGTGAAGGCTTTTGCTATTCCATTAAAGAAGACATTTTTATTAAAATTTTAAACAATGTATTAAATATCATTGCCTTAAATTAGAAATATAGTTTTCTTAGAGAAGGTTCTAGACTAAGTGTAGTGGATGAATAAATCCTGATAGTCTGATAGTGTGCTTTTTTTTTTTCTTCCTAGATTAGGGATGATGTACCTGTATTATTTAATTTATTTAAGTATATGCAGATTATTAAACAATTTAATAGATTTTGCTGTAGGAAAAATAGACTGTATTTTCTTTTAGGTCAGTACTATCCATATGCTCATTTATCTTCCTTTTTGAATATCATTTAAAATGCTTAAGTACTTAAAAGAATTGATCCATTTTATAATTAAAAGCACTAGTTTTCATTTTTACTTGTGACAGTATAGAGTTAAAGAATTGTTTAGATCCAGAAAGAATTTTAAAATAATTTAAGATATTAAGTTTTTATTTTGTTTAACATCTTTCATAATCAAATGATTTTAGAACTGGAAGTTCTATTTAAAATTTAGATCATAATTTTGCTTAAAAAGTGTGAGGAAGTACTTAAATGAAGAAGGAATCATAAAATGTTGGAACTAGTCGGTCCTTAGGGAGGTCATCTAGTATAGTCCCTTGGTTCTACAGGAAGAAATTGAGGCCTGCAGAGATTAAGTGCCTTGTCCCAGGTCAGGTAGCATAATGGCAGAGCTAGAAGAACTAGAACCCTACTCTCTGGACTTCAGCCAGCTAAAGTGAAAACTGAGTTAGCACATCTGCTTCCAACCTTGTAGTTTTTTTAAATAACTGCATTGATGACTTAAAGGTATCTCAGTAGAAATTGACCCTTCAAAATAGTATTTGTTGAAACTGGCAAGGTGCTCAGTGCCTGATTACTACGGTTGAATAGCTGCATAGCTAAAGTTTAGAGTGTAAAATTTTGACTTTAAAAGTGTATTACTTACTTTTGAATTTCTAAAGCTTAAACATTATAGGAACATAATTATTTCCATACTAGATTAAATCTATCATATGTCTCATCCTAGTCCAGTGTTCTGTAACTGTCAGAGGCCTTGTTGGGGAATGCCTTGATAATAGCCATAAAGTGTATTAGTAACATTTTCTATTAATAGTCATTTATGTTTCCATCATTCACAAATTTTGTTTATTTCTTACTTGTGCAGCATCTTGAAGGATTGTTAACTCTAGTGTGAAGTGCTACTGCTTCTTTTATCTCAATTTTATACAACTTTTAAGAGACACTTGAATTCTAGAATGTATGTATATTAAATAAGGAACGTGTGTTTCTGGGATGAAGTTCCAACTTTAAGTTAAACTTTTCTTACACTATCTCTTAAACCATTTTCTTTTTTTTTTTTTTAGCCATTTCTTTTGTTGTTCATTTCTAACCTAGAGCTTTTGAATATGCTTAATCTTTGTAAATGGAAAGTAAATAATTAGTATTTGTTCTAATAGAGAAAATTATTATCCTCTATATTGGATTGGACAAAAAAATTTAATATGTATTTTTTTTACAGTTTATTTCACATCTTCCAATGTTCTACTTTTTGTACTAGGTCATGCATGCATTTAGCAGTTATATACTTGAGAGGGTGGGTGATATTTGAATGTTATGAATAGATTTTTTTGGACCTTTTCCAAGTACATTTGTTTTTGCATAATTGGCATCAAAATAAGTTTATTATACATTCATAAAGAATGGCAAGGAAGATTGAAGTGTCTTATTGAAACTTGGCAAAATTGCACAAAAACTTCAGTGCAGAAAATCAAGGCAATCCAGATATGATAGAGAGAGAGAGAGAGGGAGGGAGGGAGAGAGGGAAAGAAAGAGATAGAGCGAGTATGTAACTGAACAGAGGGAAGGTGAAATATTAAGTTGTATGTGGAGAAACAGACGCTGAAATCATCTGTTATCTAAAGATATACATGTAGTCAAGATTCTACATACTTTTTAAAATTCAAACGAATGACTGGATTCATACCTAGATTTTCTCACTTCTTTGACTTACTGGTATTATTCCTTGCCCTTCCAAGGCAATAAATGTTGCCTTGATCTACAGGTTATTGTTGTGTGCATGTGAACAGGAGCATGCTCTGTCAAAGAGAATTAACCTTTCCAAACCTTTTATTAGACTTATTTATCCTTTCGTATATACAATGGTCTATTTACTATTTAAAAAAGAGAGAAACAATTGGTTTTTTCCTACTTTTATAAGTTTAACATATGGAATTTCTTCTTACTTTTAACCTTATTGATTGAATTGTCCACAGCATGATTTTTTTTTTTTTTTACTACTGGTAGTGTTTATTGGAACTAGCTTAGTTTATTCTTAATTATGCATCCTGGTTTTTTATAGAATGGGTATTGTATTTCAGTATTATTATTTAAGTGGGCCTTTGTTAAATATAAAGCAAGATACCTCCAGTAGGTCCTGTTGACAGTAAGTTTTATGTTGTAGATGTGAACAAGGTATTTTTACTATAAATTGACTTTTTAAACTATATAACTATATTCAAGCTTAGATTATAATGGTAAGGTTAAATAAGGCAAATGTACTGCTTTTTAAATTTAAATTCAAGCTTAAAATACATGACAAGGTACAGATATAAAAACTACTCGTTGAGAATTACATATGTATATACAATTGCTGATATGCTAGGTTCATGCCCATAATTGTTGTACTCTGTGTTAAAGCTTATGAGAAAACTTACTTAGCTTCACACTCTACTTCTCATTACTTTACTCACAAACAAATAAATTTACCTGAAAGTATACGTGATGGTTAAGCAGGAGCTGAGAAGAAAGGCACGTATATTCAGAAATCTTTGGTAAGATCTATAAAAGTATATGTTTTATATGTCACACAAAGTATAACACTTGCTTTAACTGAGTAGCTTATAATGTTATTCAGGAAGCATATTAAAAAGTTCTGCACTCAGCTCTTATGCTTTCCCTTTTTCATTCTTTCTGCCTCTTGATCTCTTGGTTTTAAAATCTTCCTCCTTATTTTGTAGACACTGCTCTCCTGTTCACTACTTCTTCTCTGTCTTTACGTCTCATCACTGGGCCTCTCTCAGTGTCTGTTTTCCCAACCTTCATCCCAAATTCCAGCTGTATATCTACAACCAGTTGGTCAGGTAACTTTGCACCTTTTTCAGTGCACTCTTTGATAGAGCATGCTCTTTTTGTTTGTTTTTATTGCTTTTTTTTCTTTCTTTTTTTTTCTAACAGCCCAGGGGCCTCTTGTCAAATGTCCCATAGATTTTACCTTTTTGTTTCCACGTTAATTTGACATGCTGATTGTTTAAGAAGTGGAGTGATAGTTCTTGTGCTTTTTATTAAGTGTTTGTTGGATATGTGAATGTATTTTTGTTGATTACCTACCACTACAGATCTAACACTTACAATATGAGCAGCCCACCTTTCATTTAGCTGTGGCGTCTACATTTGAGGAGAGCAAATAGTAGCTTTTTAACTACTCAAATAACTTCCTAAATCAGTTATGTCCCCTAACCCTTTGGAGCTAAGATATACTAGGCTGTTTAATTCCAGAGATTGGGTTAAATTGAGAAGTTTGAGGCATTTGGTGCATCCTTTTACTCAAGTAAATAAATAGTTATGTTTTATACATAAGGCATCTGACTGTGGTTCTCAGTGTTCTCTCCATGAAAAACAGGTAGACTGTCACCTGACATTGCATTTCCCAGGTAGTGAAAACCAAACTTACTATACCTGAAGCAAAACCAGACTGAATTTGAATATAAAAATCAAAAAGGGACATGAACAGGTTTTTTGTTTGCTTGCTTGTTTGGGATTTTGGGGGTTGTTTTTTTTGTTGTTGTTTTGGTCTTCGTGGTTTTGAGTTTGTGTGTTTTCTGGTCTTAGCCTTCAGAATAAATTCCTTGTATCTTCTGTTATGAAAAAGAATCACCTATGAAGAATGAATACATTAAGTACTATCAGTCATGGTTAGCCAAATATTCTGAAGATTTTTTTTCCTGAAATTACCCCACAGTTTTCCCTTTGCTAAATTTCCAAATAATTAATTACAAGTAAAATAAATAAATTCTCTTACTTGCTGAATACGATCACTTACCAAAGCTCGTATTATCTCAAAACTTTTTTCAGAGGAATACTATGAATGTCCTGTTTTATACAACTTTTTGATAACGTAATGAGTAATAAAGCTCTCAAAGTGATTTCTGCCTATAGATTTGTTCTCTCACTGTTTTTCATGGTGTAACCATAGGTTTCTGACAAAGCGAGAGCAAAAACTAATGCAAAGGCGCCAACATGCGGAGGAGCTACTAGAGTGGAAGAGACGTTTAGATGCAGAGGAAGCAGAAATTCGTCAAATGGAAAAACAAGCTTTGGCTGCCTGGGACAAAGAATTGATAAAACCTAAAACTCCTAAGAAAGAACTGGAGGACCAGAGAGCAGAACAGAAAGGTAATAAAGACTAACTATTCAGACTACATACTAAAAGTCTAATGTAACTGAAAGATTTACTTAATTATTTTAAAAAATGGTGAATGATTAAGGGTGAAGAAGGTGATACAACTATGAATGCTACAGATATTGAAAAGATAAGAGAATACTGTGAATACCTTTATGCTAATATACTTGAAAACTTAGAAGAAATGGGTAAATTCTATGAAATGGAAATGGGTTGTTCTAGGACCACGTGGGGTTTAACACCTACTAAAAATTGATAATGTGGTGAATTACTTAAACAGATTAAAGGAGAAAAATTACATGATATCTCAGTGGATTCAGAAAAATCACTTGATAAAATCCAAAAAAGCCTTTGGAATAAAACAAATAAATCTCACATCAAATTAGCAATAGAAGGGGACTTTCTTTACCCGGTATAGGATATCTATTAATGAAAACAAAAAACCAAACCTGCAGCAGACTTCATACTTAATAATAAAACATAGAAAGTTTTCCCTTTGAATTTGGAAATTAGACAAAAAGATGCTTATTTTCACTTATGGAGTGAAAGGAAGAAGCAAAACTCATTATCTTATTGAGAAGAGCAGATGAGAAGGCTATGCACATAGAAAATCCAGCATTTACATGTCAGTTATTAGAATTAGTGAGTTTAGCAAGGTTGTGGATATAAAATCCATAAACAAAACTCAATTGCATGACTGTAGATAAGCAGAAATTGGTTAGAAAAATCTAATTATTAAAAGATGCCATTTATAAATTTAACAATAAGTATTGAAGATCTTTACGGAGAAAAATTTATAATTTTATTAGGAGACCAAATTTTTTATTAGGAGACTAATTTTATTAGAGAAGACCAAAATAAATAGAACTTTACCATATTCACAGATAGCTGCAGTGTCATAAAGATGTTAATTCTCTCTGAACTTATTGGTAGGTTCAAGACAATTTAAATCAGAAACCTGGCAAGATTTCTTTGTAGGGTTTGACAGGCTCATTTTAAAATTTATATGAGGGCTTCCCTGGTGGTACAGTGGTTAAGAATCCGCCTGCCAGTATAAGGAACACGGGTTCGAGCCCTGGTCCGGGAAGATCCCACATGCCTGCAGCAGCTAAGCCCGTGAGCCACAACTCCTGAAGCCCACGCACCGCAACCAAGAGTAGCACCCACTCACTGCAACTAGAGAAAGCCCGTGCGCAGAAACGAAGACTCAATACAGCCAAAAATAAATAAATAAGTAAATTTATTAAAATAAATAAAAATAAAATAAAATTTATATGAAAGAGCAAAGGACCAAAAAGCAGAGACATTCCTAAAGAAGAACCACAAAATGCAGGAACTTACCAGTTTCAACACCTCTAAGAGTATAATAATTAAGACAATATGATATTTGTTATCAGAGACAAATAGATTATGAAACAAATAGCTCAAAAAAGATCTGTGCATATATGGAAAGTTGACTTCTGACACAGGTAACTTAGGAGACTAGTGAATAAAGGAGGGACTCTCCAATAAATTTTGTGCGAGGTAAAAATAAAGTTGGGTCCCTACATGACAGTAAAAAAGGATCGATCTCAAGGAGGGAGAAAGGTGTAAATGTGAAATTTAAACTATAAAACTTTTAGAGACAATATAAGAGAATATCTTTATGACATCAGGGGGAGGGAAAGATTTCTTTAACGTTATGCAAGGCAAAAATCATAAAGGGAAAGATTGATAAATTTCACTTTAATAAATTAAGAATTTCTGTTCATTAATACATATAAAGAAAGTAAAACAAAATAAGATATTTGCAATACATATGAGTGACAAAGGAATAGTATAAGAATATGTAAGCAACTGCTATGAATCAATAATAAAATGACAACCACATTAAAAAAAACAGGCAAAAGAGCAAATGGTTCACAAATAAGAAACTCCAGTCAGTAAACATATGAAAAGGTGTTCAACTTCGTTAGTAATCAGAGCATAAAAACCATAAAGACATACCATTGCATGCCTGTGTTCACTTCCTAGGGCTGCCATAACAAATTACCACAAATTTGGTGGCTTAAAACTTTTTTTTATTCTCTCGCTTCTGGAGGCCAGAAGTACAAAATCAAGGCTTTGGCAGGACTGTGTGCTCCCTCTGAAGGGTCAAGAAGACAGTTCTTTCCTTCCTTCTTCCAGCTTCTGGTGGTATGCTGTAGGCATTCCTCGTGTCTGCTTAACTAAGTCTCACACAGTCTTCTCTTACATGTCTGTCCTTCTCTTTTGTCTCACAAGGAAACCTGTCATTGAATTTAGGGCCTACCCAGATAATCCAGGATGATCTCATCATGAGATCCTTAACTTAATTACATCCGCAGACCTTTTTTCCAAATAAGATTATATTCACAGGTTTTGGGGGTTGAGACATGGACACATCTTTTGGGGAGCCATCATTCACCCCATTTAAAAAAATCCATCAAACCTGTTGGTATGTAGGTGGAACAAAGAACTGCTGGTGTGAGTGTTAATTGTTAAACCTAGTTTGAAAAACAGGTTGAAGGGCGAGGCATTAAAAATAATCAATAAAATGATAAAAATAATAAAGCCAGGTACACATGTCCTACAGTTCAGCAATTCCATTGCCAAGTATAAATCCTAGAGCAATGGTTCTTAAAGTATGGTCCATGGTCTCTGAGATCCTTTCAGAAGGTCTGAATAATACTGACATATTGTTTGCCTTTTTCACTGTGTCAGCATTACACTGGTAGTATAAAAATAATGGTGGGTAAAATTGCTGATGCCTTAATATGAATCAAGGCAGTGGCACCAAATCATATAATAGTCATTGAATTCTTCACCACCCTGTACTCACCATAAAAACATGCCATTCTTACATTTTATGTAATTTTAATTTAAATATTTAGATAATTTAAATATTAATTTGTTGAATCTCAATTTTGAGTACATATCTTTTTAATATTCTTTGTGACGAATAGGAAATATTCGTAAAGCACTTGTGTTTGCCAAAGCATGATGGTTATCCTGAAGAAAAGCACTTACTACAGTTGTTTGGTTTGCAAGCTGAACTAGCAATTTTTTCATGTAGTACCATTTTTACTTAAATGACTAACAAAATATGGTTATTCAGACTTGAGTATTTGCAAACAATGTTTCAGAAACACGTGAAGCAACTCTGACTCTTTAAGAAAAACAACTGATAGTGTTTATTGTCGGTAATAAAATGTAAACTTTCAAGTGAAGATTTAAGGCTTTTAGAAATGCTGTTTCCCCTACTGTGAGCTTGACAGCTTTCCAATACTTTAAAGACTTTCCTGGTATGAGTAATGATATCAAAGTCATCTTTTCATATTGTGTGATAAAATGTGCCAATATTTGAAAAGATCTTCCTAACTCAGTGAATCAATATTTTCCAAATGACCCGTGATGATTAGAAAATCAAGTATGGATAAAAGATCCATTTAAAGTGCAAGATAGGGGTGGAGGGAGACACTAGAGGGAGGAGATATGGGGAGATATAGATATATATAGATATATATAGATATATATATATCTCTGATCACTTTGTTTAAAGCAGAAACTAACACACCATTGTAAAGCAATTATACTCCAATAAAGATGTTAAAAAAAATAAATAAATTGCAAGACAGGCCAATGGATTTTAATGGAACAGATTATGAAAAGTTCACAGATATGGTTTCAGATTCCACATTACAGCTTAACATTTAAGAAACTACCAATTGTCCACTTTTGGTGTGGCATTAAAAAAGGATATCCACAATTACCTGTAAATACTGTTAAAATACTCTTCCCTTTTCTAATTATGTATCATTTGTGTGAGGCCAGATTTTCTGCATATACTTCAGCCAAATCAACATATAGCCACAGATTGCATACAGAAACAGATATGAGAATCTGTCTTCTGTTAAGCTAGCCATTAAAGTTTTTAATTTAATGTAAAATAGTTTCTCTCCTTTCAACTAAACTTTTTTTAAAAATGTAGCTATTTTGAATTTTAGAAAATGTCGTTTGTAACATAGGTTTTTTACTGTTATTTTTACATAAATTAATAAATATTTTTATTCCATTTTAATTTCTATTGTAAATATTGATAGATATAACTGTATCTATAACCATACAAACTAAAGCTTTTGGGGGTCTTCAGTACTTTTTCAGAGTGTAAAGTGTTCACTGAGGCCAAAATGTTTGAGGACTGCTGTCTTACAGCAATGTTTTTCGAGTTGTGGGTTGTCCCATTTGCGATGTATGAAATCCATTTAGTGGATTGAAATCCATTTAGTCAGCATTGTTTAAGGTTGAAATAAAATAGAAAATATCATTATGTCACACATAGGTTAAATATATTATGATTAAGGTAAAAAATCTGAAAGCCACTGCTATAGAGAACTTTTTTTTTTTTTCTCGGTACGCGGGCCTCTCACTGTTGTGGCCTCTCCTGTTGCGGAGCACAGGCTCCGGACGCGCAGGCTCAGCGGCCATGGCTCACGGGCCCAGCCGCTCCGCGGCATGTGGGATCCTCCCGGACTGGGGCACGAACCCATGTCCCCTGCATCAGCAGGCAGACTCCCAACCACTGCGCCACCAGGGATGCCCTGCTGTAGAGAACTTTTACATAGATAGATAATAGATTGATATAAATATATCTATCTGTACTTATATATATATATAAGTATATATCTAGAGAGAGATATACATATAGATATGTATACATATTTATACTAGGAGATATATATGACATTGTTCGTAGCAGCAGTATTTGAAATAGCAGGGATAAAAGGAAACCACCCACATCAGTAGGAGAATGGATAAATAAATTGTGGTATATTTACATATTATATCATGCTCAGTAAAGAAGAAAAAATTACAGCTAAACAAATCAACATACAAGAATCTTAAAACAAATCACAGAGGACTGCAAGCAGTTTGATTTCTTTTATAGAAAATTCAAAGCAAACAAAACTAAGTGATATATTATTTAGCTATTCATACCAAGTGGTACATAAAGAAAACCAATGATGCAATAAATATAGTTCATCTGTAGTGTTCCTTTTTTCTTCAGTTTATTCAGCAGAGGCTGACTTCTGTGTCAACTTCCACATCCTCATTCTGTAGCGTCAAATTCTGCTGCAGACTACTCCTTCTTGAAAGGAAATTTAACAGGACCGAGAAAAGAGATTCAGTGTCTCAGGTTTCATCATGGGCTGTAACAGAAGTAGAAAACATTTCTGACTATGCCTGGAAGGCAAATTAAGACTAGTTGTTGTTGTTCAAGCCTCCATTTGTCAGGAACTGTTGGCCTGTGTAATCTTAGAAAGTGTTACTGGGTAAATGTGATAAAACGAAGGCAATTTTAATCTCATCAAATATAGTTTAGGAATAGTGTATTTAATGAGCTAAAATGACATAAATAAAAGAAAAATTAAGAAAAAGAAGAAAATACATTATAATGAAATGACAGTGTACCCCTCAGGGCACATTGTTGCAATAGCTGAAGCTGACTAAGATCAAGCAGAAAAGTAACTTACTAAAGGCTGTGTATTTTATGGCTCATAGAATTTTTGAGATGACTGGAGAGCCAGCTCCACACCAAGCTTCTAGGAGCAGTGCTAAAACCACACCACAGAACTGGCCTGCTGAGAAAACTGCTCTAGCAGCTACTCAGCAGAGCCCTGAAGGAAACTGCTGTTTTGGTGTTCCCTCTTTGCCTGGCAAAGAATAAAGCCACCCTTTCTTTTTCCGCCAAAAAAAAAAAAAGAAAACTGCTATTTTGTATCATTTCCCCACTCATGCCACTTCTGCACCAGGGACTCAATTTTGCAACCACTGAGAAATCCACTGTCACTACCAAAAGCCACCTAAATTAGAGTCCACATGGAGCCACCTTCTTCAGGATACTCAATTTTAAAATGAAGTCTTCTACAGGGACATCAGATTGGAGACACCAGATTTCAATGCCTAAGTTCCAATGCCCAGCAAGGAAGGCTGGAAATTTCATTTTCTGGGTTCTGTCTTGGGTGACAAGAACTCATGTGGCAGGAAATTTATCAAATATCAGTGAGGGATTAAAAATAAGCTTGGGCTCCAAGAAACATGACATGTCCATTGTTAAGGAGTTTATTTAAGCCATATACCTTTCTTTCATAAAGCATTATAAAATATTGTTCAGGAAAGAACTCCGAGACTTTTTTCCAAAGCCTGATTTTTTTCAATGGCTACTAAACACTTGAAATTTGTCTAGTAGAACTAAGAAACTGAATTTATTTAATTTTAATATTTAAGTAGCAACATGAGGCTGATGGCTACCATATTGGACAACACCTGCAGATTATACATTTTAAAAAGTTTTGGTGTTTCTTCCATTTTGTTTTATGTCACATTATATAGGGTATATTTTAAAAGAAGTGCTGAAGATTGACTGCTATAGTCCATATTTTTTAAAAAGCGTACAAATGTTGCTAGACTCCTACTGACATGTAACTCTGTCTTCAGCAGTCAGGGATACAGTGAAATATTACCTCACATCTCTTAGGATGGCTGTTATCAAAAAAGACAGAAGAAAAAAATGTTGATGAGGATTTGGAGAAATTGGAACCCTTGTGCAGTGCTGGTGGGAATGTAAAATAGTTGTAACTGCTATGGAAATAGTAAAGCAGTGCCTCAAAAAATTAAGAATAGAATTACTATATGATTTAGAATTTCCACTTCTGGGTATATACCAAAAAGAATTGAAAACAAGTTCTCAAAGAGATATTTGTACACCCATGGTTATAGCAGTATTATTCACAATAGCCTAAAGATGAAAACCCAAGTTTCTAGGAACAGATGAGTGGATAAACAAAACGTGGTATATACATACAGTAGAATATTATTTAGCCTTAAAAAGGAAGGAAATTCTGAAACATGTACTAACATGGATGAACTTTGAAGACATGTTAAGTGAAGTAAGCCAATCATAAAAGGGCAAATATTGTATGATTCCACTTATATGAGGTACCTGAGTACAAATTCATGGAGACAGAAAGTAGAATGGTTGATGCTGGGGTTAAGGAGAGAAGAGAATGGGGAGTTATTATTTAATGAGTACAGAGATTCAGTTTGGGAAGGTGAAAAAGTTCTGGAGATGGACGGAAGTGATGGTCACACAACCACAACAGTGTGAATGTACTTAATGCCACTGAACTGTATACTTAAAAGTGATCCAGGGACTTCCCTGGGGGCACAGTGGTTAAGAATCCACCTGCCAGTACAGGGGACATGAGTTTGACCCCTGGTCGTGGAAGATCCCACATGCCGTGGGGCAGCTAAGCCCGTGTGCCACAACTACTGAGCCTGTGCTCTAGAGCCCGCGCACTGCGACTACTGAAGCCCGCGCGCACACTAGGGCCTGCGTGCCGCAACTACTGAACCCACATGCTGCAACTACTGAAGCCTGTGCATCTAGAGCCCGTGCTCTGCAACAAGAGAAACGACCACAATGAGAAGCCCATGTGCCGCAACTAGAGAAAGCCTGTGCACAGCAATGAAGATTCAACGCAGCCCCCCGCAAAAAAAAAAAAAAAAAAAAAAAAAAAAGGATCCAGATGGGTAAATTTTTGTATATGTATTTTTCCCAAAATTTTTTTTTTTTTTTTTTTTTTGGCTGCGTGGCTTGTGGGGATCTTAGTTCCCCAACCAGGTATTGAACCTGGGCCCACAGCAGTTAAAGCACCAAGTCCTAACCATTGGACCACCAGGGAAATCCCTTTTTGTTTTTTTAACCACAATTTTAAAAGAATAAATTTTTCAAAAGTCAGGAAGTATAGGAAGAGGTCTGGAAAGACACACACCAATCATACCTGACTGCCAGTGGTTTACTTTGAGGTGTGGAAATTGGACAGCTGAAAGTGGTTGGAGAGGATCATGTGAAATAATCACTTTACGTCCTTCTATACTGTTTGAAGTTTTGTTTTGTTGGGTTTTTTCAACTACATTCATGGACTACTTTTATAATTTCAAAAATAAGGTCAAGGGCCAAAAATGAAGATTTCCAAAATGAATTCTTCCGCAAAGACATCAGATTGGAGAAGCTTCTTCAGTGGTTCTCTCTCAGGAGGTGGTGGTACATTCATTTTCTTCTTTATACAACTTTTATACTGTCTGAACTTTTAAAATCAGTGTATGTTACTTATTGAATAAAAATAAAATATGTTAAGGGGTATAAAGCAGGAATGTAGAGGATTCTTCTCTTCCCTACTACCTAAAATCATTTTTTAAGCCGTTTAAAATTTTACCCACATTCTATCTTGGAGTAGATGAATATCCTTGAGGATTTTAAAAATTCCTTCCTTATTTATTCAACCATTCTGATTATACTACTCATTCACAATGTAAAAATGTATCATTTTTTTAATAGATCTTTATTGGAGTATAATTGCTTCACAATACTGTGTTAGTTTCTGTTGCACAACAAAGCAAATCAGCCATATGCATACACATGTCCCTTCCCTCTTGAGCCTCCCTACCCCCTTCCCTATCCCACCCCCTAGGTCATTACAAAGCACCAAGCTGATCTCCCTGTGCTATGCGGCTGCTTCCTACCAGCCAGCTCTTTTACATTCGGTAGTGTATGTATGTCAATGCTACTTTCACTTTGGCCCAGTTTCACCCTCCCAACCCATGTCCTCAAGTCTATTTTCTACCTCTGCCTCTTTATTCCTGCCCTGCAGCTAGGTTCATTAGTTCCTTGTTTTGTTTTGTTTTTAGATTCCATATATATGCGTTAGCATACGGTATTTGTTTTTCTCTTTCTGACTTACTTCATTCTGTATGACAGACTCTAGGTCCATCCACCTGACTACAAATAACTCAATTTCATTTCTTTTTATGGCTGAGTAATATTCCATTGTATATATGTGCCACATCTTCTCTATCCATTCATCTGTCGATGGACCTTTAGGTTGGTTCCATGTCCTGGCTATTGTAAATAGTGCTGCAGTGAACATTGTGGTACATGTCTCTTTTTTAATTATGGTTTTCTCAGGGTGTATACCCAGTGGTAGGATTGCTGGGTCATATGGTAGTTCTATTTTTAGTTTTTTAAGGAACCTCCATACTGTTTTCCATAGTGGTTGTATCAATTTACATTCCCACCAACAGTGCAGGAGGGTTCCCTTTTCACCACACCCTTTCCAACATTTATTGTTTCTAGATTTTTTGATGATGGCCATTCTAACTGGTGTGAGGTGATACCTCATTGTAGTTTTGATTTGCATTTCTCTAATAATTAGTGATGTTGAGCATCTTTTCATGTGCCTCTTGGCCATCTGTATGTCTTCCTTGGTGAAATGTCTATTTAGGTCTTCTGCCCTTTTTTTTTTAGAAATGAATGTTTCATTAATTTTCAGACTTTTTAAAATATAAATTTATTTATTTATTTATTCATTTTTAACTGTGTTGGGTCTTCGTTTCTGCACGAGGGCTTTCTCTAGTTGTGGCGAGCGGGGGCCACTCTTCATCACAGTGCGTGGGCCTCTCACTATCGCGGACTCTCTTGTTGCGGAGCACAGGCTCCAGACGCGCAGGCTCAGTAGTTGTGGCTCATGGGCGCAGTTGCTCCGCGGCATGTGGGATCTTCCCAGACCAGGGCTCGAACCCGTGTCCCCTGCATTGGCAGGCAGATTCTCAACCACTGCACCACCAGGGATGCCCATTCTGCCCATTTTTTTTTTTTTTTTTGCCTTATGCGGGCCTCTCACTGTTGTGGCGTCTCCCGCTGCGGAGCACAGGCTCCGGACGCGCAGGCTCAGCAGCCATGGCTCATGGGCCCACCCGCTCCGCAGCATGTGGGATCTTCCCGGACCGGGGCACGAACCCATGTCCCCTGCATCGGCAGGCGGACTCCCAACCACTGCGCCACCAGGGAAGCCCTTTCTGCCCATTTTTTAACTGGATTGTTTGTTTTTTTGGTATTGAGCTCCATGAGCTGTTTGTATATTTTGGAGATTAATCCTTTGTTGTTTCATTTGCAAAATTTTCTCCCATTCTGAGGGTTGTCTTTTTGTCTTGTTTATGGTTTCCTTTGCTGTGCAAAAGCTTTTAAGTTTAAGTGCCATTTGTTTATTTTTGTTTTTATTTCCGTTACTCTAGGAGGTGGGTCAAAAAAGATCTTGTTGTGGTTTATGTCAAAGAGTGTTTTTCCTATGTTTTTCTTTAAGAGTTTTATAGTGTCTGGTATTACATTTAAGTCTTTAATCCATTTGGAGTTTATTTTTGTGCATGGTGTTAGGTAGTGTTTTCACTTCATTCTTTTACCTGTAGCTGTCCAGTTCTCCCAGCACCACTTATTGAAGAGGCTGTCTTTTCTCCATTGTATGTTCTTGCCTCCTTTGTCGTAAATTAGGTGCCCATAAGTGCGTGGGTTTATCTCTGGGCATTCTATCCTGTACCATTGATTATTTCTGTTTTTGTGCCAGTACCGTACTGTCTTGATTACTGTAGCTTTGTGGTATAGTTTGAAGTTGGGGAGCCTTATGCCTCCAGCTCCATTTTTCTTTCTCAAGATTGCTTTGGCTATTCAGAGTCTTTTGTATTTCCATGCGAATTGTAAAATTTTTTTGTTCTAATTCTGTGAAGAATGCTATTGGTAGTTTGATAGAGATTGCACTGCATCTGTAGATTGCTTTGGGTAGTATAGTCATTTTCACATTATTGATTCTTCCAATACAAGAACATGGTATATTTCTCCATCTGTTTATGTCATCTTTGATTTCTTTCATCAGTGTTTTATAGTTTTCTGAGTACAGGTCTTTTGCCTCCTTAGGCAGGTTTATTCCTAGGTATTTTATTCTTTTTGTTGCAGTGGCAAATGAGAGTGCTTCCTTAATTTCTATTTCTGATTTTCCGTTGTTGGTGATAAGAATGCCAGATATTTCCGTGCATTAATTTTGTGTCCTACAACCTTACCAAATTCATTGATTAGTTCTAGTAGTTTTCTGGTGGCATCTTTAGGATTTTCTACATATAGTATTATGTCATCGTCAAACAGCGACAGTTTTACTTCTTCTTTTCCAATTTGTATTCCTTTTATTTCTTTTTCTTCTCTGATTGCTATGGGTAGGACTTCCAAAACTATGTTGAATAAGAGTGGCGAGCATGGTCATCCTTGTCTTGTTCCTGATCTTAGTGGAAATGCTTTCAGTTTTTCACCATTGAGTATGATGTTTGCTGTGGGTTTGTCATATATGGCCTTTATTATGTTGAGGTAGGTTCCTTCTATGCCCATTTTCTGGTGAGTTTTTATCATAAATGAGTGTTGAATTTTGTCACAAGCTTTTTCTGCGTCTATTGAGATGATCATATGGTTTTTATTCCTTAATTTGGTAATGTGGTGTATCACATTGATTGATTTGTGTATATTGAAGAATCCTTGCATCCCTGGGATATATCTCACTTGATCATGGTGTATGATCCTTTTAATGTGCTGTTGGATTCTGTTTGCTAGTATTTTGTTCAGGATTTTTGCATCTATGTTCATCAGTGATATTGAATTTTCTTTTCTTGTGATATCTTTTTCTGGTTTTGGTATCAGGGTGGTTGTGGCTTCGTAGAATGAATTTGGGAGTGTTTCTCCCTCTGCAATTTTTTGGAAGAGTTTGAGAAGGATCAGTGTTAGCTGTTCTGTAAATGTTTGATAGAATTCGCCTGTGAAGCCATCTGGTCCTGGACTTTTGTTTGCTGGAAGACTTTTAATTATGGTTTCAATTTCATTACTTGTGATAGGTCTGTTTATATTTTCCAGTTCTTCCTGGTTCAGTCTAGGAAAATTGTACCTTTCCAAGAATTTGTCCATTTCTTCATGGTTCTCCATTTCATTGGCATATAGTTGTCTGGAGTAGTCGCTTATAATCCTTTGTATTTCTGCAGTGTCAGTTGTGATTTCTCCTTTTTCATTTCTAATTTTATTGATTTACATCCTCTCCCTTTTTTTCTTGATGAGGCTGGCTAAGGGTTTATCAATTTTGTTTATCTTCTTAAAGAACCAGCTTTTAGTTTTATTGATCTTTGCTCTTGTTTTCTTCGTTTGTGTTTCATTTATTTCTGCTCTGATCTTTATGAATCTCTTTCTTTCTACTGACTTTGGGTTTTCTTTGTTTTTCTTTCTCTAGTTGTTTTAAGTGTAGGGTTAGATTGTTTATTTGAGATATTTGTTTCTTGAGGTGAGATTGTATTGCTATAAACTTCCCTCTTAGAACTGCTTTTGCTGTGTCCCATAGGTTTTGGGTCGTCATGTTTTCATTGTCATTTGTTTCTATGTATTTTTTAATTTCTTCTTTGTTCTTCAGTGATCTCTTGGTTATTTAGTAGCACACTATTTAGCCTCCATGTATTTGTGTTTTTTACAGTATTTTTTCTGTAATTGATTTCCAACCTCATAGCATTGCGGTCAGAAAAGATGCTTGATACGATTTCAGTTTTCTTAAATTTTCCGAGGCTTGATTTGTGACCCAAGATGTGATCTATCCTGGAGAATGTTCCGTGTGCACTTGAGAAGAAAGTGTATTCTGCCACTTTGGGGTGGAATGTTCTATAAATATCAGTTAGATCTGTCTGGTCTGTTGTGTCATTTAAAGTGTGTGTTTCCTTATCTATTTTCTATTTGGATGATCTGTCCATTGGTGTAAGCAGGGTGTTAAAGTCCCCTACTATTATTGTGTTACTGTCAATTTCTCCTTTCATGGTTGTTAGCATTTGCCTTATTTATTGAGCTGCTCCTATGTTGGGTGCATAAACATTTATAATTATTATATCTTCTTCTTGGATTGATCCTTTGATCATGAAGTAGTGTCTCTCCTTATCTCTTGTAGCAGTCTTTATTTTAAAGTCTACTTTATCTCATACAAGTATTGCTACTCCAGCTTTCTTTTGATTTCCATTTGCATGGAATATCTTTTTCCATCCCTCCACTTTCAGTCTGTATGTGTCCCTAGGTCTGAAGTGGGTCTCTTGTAGACAGCATATATATGGCTCTTATTGTTTTGTATCCATTCAGCCAGTCTGTATCTTTTAGTTGGGGCATTTAATCCATTTACATTCCAGGTTATTATCGATATGTATGTTCCTATTACCATTTTCTTCATTGTTTTGGGTTTGCTTTTGTGGGTCTTTTTCTTCTCTTGTGTTTCCCACTTAGGTTTCTTTAGCATTTGTTGTAAAGCTGGTTTGGTGGTGCTGAATTCTCTTAGCTTTTGCTTGTCTGAAAAGCTTTTGGTTTCTCCATCGAATCTGAATGGGATCCTTGCCAGGTAGAGTAATCTTGGTTGTAGGTTTTTCTTTCATCACTTTAAGTATGTCCTGCCACTCCCTTCTGGCCTGCAGAGTTTCTGCTGAAAAATCAGCTGATAACCTTATGGGGATTCCTTTGTATGTTATTTTTTGTTTTTCCCTCACTGCTTTTAATATTTTTTCTTTGAATTTAATTTTTGTTAGTTTGATTAATATGTGTCTTGGTGTGTTTTTCCTAGGGTTTATCCTGAATGGTACTCTCTGTGCTTCCTGGACTTGAGTGACTATTTCCTTTCCCATGTTAGGGAAGTTTTCAACTATAATCTCTTCAAATATTTTCTTTTTCTCTTCTTCTTCTGGGAACCCTATAATTCGAATGTTGATGCATTTAGTATTGTCCCAGATATCTCTGAGATTGTCTTCAATTCTTTTCATTCTTTTTTCTTTCTTCTGCTTCCTGGCAGTTATTTCCACCATTTTTTCTTCCAGCTCACTTATTCATTCTTCTGCCTCAGTTATTCTGTTATTGATTCCTTCTAGTGTATTTTTCATTTCAGTTATTGTGTTGTTCACCTCTGTTTGTTCTTTAGTTCTTCTAGATCTTTGTTAAACATTTCTTGTATTTTCTCAATCCGTGCCTCCATTCTGATTCTGGATCATCTTTACTGTTGTTACTCTGAATTCTTTTTTAGGTAGATTGTCTATTTCCTCTTCATTTATTTGGTTTTGTAGGTTTTTACTTTGCTCCTTCATCTGTGACATATTTTCTTCCCATCTCCTTTTTTTTTTTTTTTTTTTTAATTTTAATGAGTGGGATTGTGTTCCTGTCTTAATGGTTGTTTGGCCTGAGGCTTCCAACACTGGAGTTTGTAGGCTGTTGGGTAGAGCTGGGTCTTGGTGCTGAGATGAGGAGCTCTGTGAGACCTCACTCCGATGAATATTCCCTAGGGTCTGAGGTTCTCTGTTAGTTCAATGGTTCAGACTCAAATCTCCCACCGCAAGAGCTTTGGCCCAACCCCAGGCTCATGAACCAAGATCCAACAAACCGCCTGGGGCAGCAAAAAAAAAAAAAAAAGAACAGTAACAAAGTAAAAAATAAAGTTAGACTAGGAAACTAACAGATATGTTAGGAAGAATATAAAAATAAAAATATAGATGAATCAACACCTGGAAGGTATATCAGTACCACAATAGTAAAAAAGAGGAGAGAAAAGAAAAAAGGGTGGAGTAGGGGGGGAGGAAGGCCTTGGCTGTGGAGGGCGGGGCCTAAGCAAAGGCGAGGTTTGGGTGGTGGGCGGGGCCAATGCTCAGGACCCACAGGGCTGGAAAAGGCCCTGGGGGCTGTGACGGTTGGGGCTTAGGCTCAAGGAACAGAAGGGACCCAGGTGTGCCCCCCACCGCTGGTCTTAGAGGGCAGGGTACCTCACTGGGAGCGCAGCAGGCTTCCTGGGCTCAAGTGCGTGGGGCACACAGTGTCCTGTCCTTTCCTGCTCCTCCAATCTGGGAGGGTGCCTCCCCGCTGACTTTCCTGATCTCCCTGCATTCCCTCCTATGCCCCCAAGGACCTACGTGGCCTGGAGGGGGACTTTGGAGGACAGGGGACAGGCCTGGGAGCTCAACAGGCTCCCTCTGCCCAAGTGGGCGGGGCAATTGCCCTCCAAAAAGACATCTTTTAAAATTTTTAACTGAAATGCTTTTAGATGTTAGGTCATCCTTGTTTATTGAAGTGAAACATTCTTTGGGATATAGGTATTTCTTTTGCTAAATAAACTTATTTTATGAATTTCAGGCCCGAAGTCTTCAGTGATATTTTTGGAATTGAGTATACCAAATGTTATCAGTATTGACCCAAAGTGTGATATAACCTAATCTTTGTGGGACATTGTATCCATAGTGATAAAGAAGGAAAGCAGTGTACATTCTTAAGGTTAGACAAGTATAATGTCAAGAATTTTACGTTAAGTGTCAAAAGTATTTGTTTTTTTAGAGGAGAGGCCACAATGGACAGGAAATTCCAGAGGCAAGGCAGTACTACAAATTCTGAAAGTGCTGAGTAAAATTCATAATATATCTCCATCAGTGCATGCAGTTCATTCATTTTTATTGCTGTGCAGCATTTCAGTTTATAAATATACCACAAATTACTTATTTTACTTAGTTTTTGACTATTATAACAATACTACTAGTAACCATGTACATGTTTCCTGCTGCATGTATACAAGATTTATCTAGGATTTATACCTAGAAGTGGAATTGCTAGATCATAGAGTGTTTTCATCTTTGCCAAATACTCCCAAATTTCTTTCCAAAGTGGTTGGATTGATTCCGTTTCTAAATGAATATATGAGTTGTAATTGCCGTGCATCTTTACATTCAGGTTGTCAGTCATTATCATTGCTGATTATATGTTACAGATATCTTCTCTCAGTTTGCATCAGCCAAAATTCTTAGACTAGTGGATATTATAGTAAATGTGATTCACTAAGTGGTGGGATTAAAAATTATATCTAAATGCAACTAATGAAATTATGCTGAAAACAAATGTGAAGTTTAACAGATGAACATGTCCCTTGACCAAGATTGTGTACTTTTTCTTGTTTTCACCCTCTTCTAGAAATAGTGAGTGAAACAGAATCTCCAGTACCTTCCTACTCTCATCTACACAGTGAAAGCTCTATTCCAGAAGAATTGGGCAGCCCTGCTGTTGAATATATACCATCTGAACCTATAGTTCAGGAGCAGCCTGGAAGTCCAGATCACAGTATACTTACTGAAGAAATGGTTTTTTCACAAGAACTGGAATCTTCTACCTCACCTAGTAAACATGTAAGTTAATATATATTTATATCTTAAAGCTTCTTTAGAAAAAAACCTGCCTGAAAGGTATATTATTAACAGTTATATTCTTGCTATTAAAGGACAGCATTGACTATCACCCATACCTGTAACATATACTATATGACAGTTAAGTAGAAATAAAGCTTTTCCTTGACTCCTAAAGATTTATAAATATATGAATTTTAGCTTTAGGGGCAGTTATAAAATTATATGCTGTGAAGTTTTTAATATTTAGGGGATAGGAACTTCTAAAGTTTTTAATAAAGATAATATGTGAGACAATACAAGTTCTTATTATAGTCTGTTTTGTCATGTAATAGAAACAATAAGACCTTAAACCACACCAGTGTGCCTTTTCTTTTTTTTTTTTTAACATCTTTATAGGAGTATAATTGCTTTACAATGGTGTGTTAGTTTCTGCTTCACAACAAAATGAATCAGTTTTTTATATATATATATATATATATATATATATATATATATATATATATTTATCCATCTCTTCCCGCTTGCGTCTCCCTCCCTCCCACGCTCCCTATCCCACCCCTCTAGGTGGTCACAAAACACTGAGCTGATCTCCCTGTGCTATGCAGCTGCTTCCCACTAGCTATCTCTTTTACATGTGGTAGTGTATATATGTCAGTGCTACTCTCTCACTTCGACCCAGCTTATCCTTCCCCCTCCCCGTGTCCTCAAGTCCATTCTCTACATCTGTGTCTTTATTCCTGTCCTGCCCCTGGGTTCATCAGAACCTTTTTTTTTTTTTTTTTTAGATTCCATATATATGTGTTAGCGTACGGTATTTGTTTTTCTCTTTCTGACTTACTTCACTCTGTATGACAGACTCTAGGTCCGTCCACCTCAATACAAATAGTTCAATTTTGTTTCTTTTTATAGCGTAACAATATTAAATATTATAAGTGAACACAAACATTGTTAAAGCCTCTTTGTGTTTAAAAAAAAGAATCCATCTAAATTCAGTGTGTCTTAAAGTCACTTCTATAATAAGAAGTAATATTTATTGAGTGTTTACTTACCAAGTGCCAGGTAGTATGCTGAATGCCTTATGTAGATTATCCTCACAACAATTCTTTAGATTTTAAGCCCCACTCTGAAGCTTAGCAGGCTAAGAAACTTGCCCATAGTCACAGGGATAGGAAGTGGTGATAGCTAGGAATCAAATCAGACATTCTCACTTCCACTTGATATCAAGGTAGAAATTACACCCTTTGTAATAAATAATCTCATTTGGGCAGTCTTCTTATGCTCTTTTTCTTCCCTTCCCGCTTCCATTTCTCCTTCTTTCCTTCCATAAAAGTAGTACATTAGTATATTTAAATTTTTTTTCAGTTTTATTGACATGCAATTGACACACAGCACTGTGTGAGTTAAAGGTGTACAGCATAATAACTTGACATATATTTATATATTGTGAAATGATTACCACAATAAGTTTAGTTAATATCCATCACCTCATATAGTTACAAAAAGTTTTTTTCCTTGTGATGAGAACTTTTAGGATCTACTCTTTTAGCACCTTTCAAATATACCATATAGCAGTGTTAACTATAGTCATCATGTTGTACATTACATCCCCAGTACCTATATGTCTTATAACTGGAAGCTTATACTTTTCAACCAGCTTCACCCAGTTCCCCCACCTCTCCACCCCCACCTCTGCTGATCACAAGTCTGATCTCTTTTTCTATGAGTTTGGGTTTTTTTAGATTCCACATATAAGTGAGATCATATAGTATTTGTCTTTCTCTCTCTGACTTATTTCACTTAGTACAATGCCCTCAAGATCCATCCGTGTTGTCTCAAATGACAGGATTTCTGGTTTGTTTGGGTTTTTTAATGGCTGAATAGTATTTGTGTGTGTGCATGTGTGTGTGTTTGTGTGTGTGTGTATGTCATATTTTCTTTATCCATTCATCTGTTAATGAAGACCTACCGTATGATCCAGCAAATTCAGTTCTGGATATATATCTGAAGGAAGTGAAATTACTATGTCGAAGAGATATCTGCACCCCCATATTTAGTATTTTTAAAGTTAAAATGAATAAGGGGGTAAGTATCACTGATTCAGTAGCCACTCATAATTTATTATAAACATTTTTTAAAAGCATGCTTTTTTATAACTTTTTTCTCTACCTTTAAAAAGCCAAGATCTTATCCTTAGTATATTTTGCAAACTTTTTTCACTTTTTATTTCATAAAGTTATTTAAAACTCTTTGTAAATATTATCTTCAACTGGTTCGTATCTTGAATTTTAAATAGAATTTTACAACTGTATCACAAAACGGTTCCCATTTGATTTTCTGTTTGAACAGTCACCTCCTAAAAGCTGCACATCTGTGTCAAAGCAGGAGTCTAGCAAAGGAAGTCATAGAACTGGAGGACAATGTCATCTACCCGTCAAGTCCCATCAACACTGTTATAGTTGGTCAGATGAGTCATTATCTATGACACAGTCAGGTAAGACTAACAAGGAGGAGTTAGTTTTCTTTGCACTATATTTGAATTCCTCTTTAATAAGCTTTGTCTAACTGTATGGCTGGTAAAATGTTATTCTTTGTTTCATTTGTAAAGACTTTTTTCTTGCCAAGACTAAATGGCATAATTCTTTGCTTTTCATTGATAATTATATCCCTAATTACACCAATATGATAAATTGTTATATTCTTGGATGTTAATAGTCATTTATTCATCACACATTCTTTGAATTTTTGGTGTGTGTCAGGCACTGACTGCTTATGTGTTCCCATAGTGCTCTGCTCTTCAACTTGTTATACCAGGCAACACATAAATTGTAATCAAACTTTACACAGCAGGTTTCCCCTACTAGAATATAGACTTCTGCAAAGGAAAGTCCTATGTTTTAACAGTTGTAGCAGCAGGCCCTAGCAGGTACTTTGCATTGCACATAGTAGGTATTTATTAAATGTTTCTTGAATGATTTAATGATGACCGTGAGGAGAAATAGGAGGTGGTAGAGCAGGGTAGCATAAGACTAAAGGGAGGAAAAGTAGAGAAGAGACTGCACATGGCAGTGGGGAGCATTATCTGTTTTCCCATAACCTCTATCATACTGTAAATCTCTGTGGCATATAGATTACGAAAGAATAAACAGCCTTTACTCTAGAAGACTTGATTCAAGGCATTGATCGTGGGAGGCATATCTAGACAGACAATACTTGGTTTATGTAGGATTCTGAGAGAGATTAATACCATGTTGAGTGTATGTCTTTTGAGTTCATTTTCAGTTTTCTTTTGAGAGTAGACATTTAGTAAAGGAAAAGTGAAAAATACTATTCATTTTTTGATCTTTGATTCTATTCTGTACCCCCTTTGTTTTCAATGTTTTAAACAGTAATAAATCATGGATTTTTCCCCATGCCCATATTTATAGATCTCCTTTATTCTTTGAATAACTGCATAATATTTCAAAGGGTAGGTATACCATAATTTATTTAACCATTTCCCTAGTGATAGTCATGTAGGTTTTCTCAAAATTTTCAATATTTCAAATAATGCTGTAATGAACATCTTCATTTATATAGATCCCTGTTGAATATTTCAGTAGGAATAAATTCTTAGAAATGGAATTACTGGATCAAGCCAGTAATTAAAGTTGAAGAATGTTGTCTGTCATATTTAAATTGGTTTTTTTTAAGATTTATTTATTGTTTATTGTATTTATTTTGGGGTGTGTCAGGTCTTAGTTGCAGCACGCGGGATCTTTGTTGAGACATGGGGGATCTTTGTTGAGACATGGGGTATCTTCATTGTGGTGCGTGGGCTTCTCTCTAGTTGTGGTGTGCAGGTTTCTCTCTAGTTGTGGCATGCAGGTTTTCTCTTCTCTAGTTGTGGCGCACGGGTTAAAGAGCGTGTAGGCTCTGTAGTTGGCAGCATGCGGGCTCTAGTTGAGGCGCGTGAGCTCAGTAGTTGTGGCACACAGCTTAGTTGCCCCGCGGCATGTGGGATCTTAGTTCCCTGACCAGGGATTGAACCCACGTTCCCTGCATTGCAAGGCAGATTCTTTACCACTGGACCACCAGGGAAGTCCCTGTCATATTTATCTGTTGCAAGTGATTAGCATTTTTATATATTTGCTTTCATGTACTCTGGTGAAAAGTTACTGCCAGTAGAATAATATGTCAGTGGACATAAACTTGATACTTGGAAATATGGATTCTCATCATGGCTCTATTACATACTGATGACTCTCTTTAAGTTTCCTTCCCATATTAGATAATCTTTTCTATCTGTAGCAATGGAAAATAATATCTTAACCATCCTTGCATGAGTTATGCAACAAGGATTAATGATAATATTTATAAGATACTGTTTTATTGGTAAAACATATTTAAGCAAGAACAGCTTTAGAAAAACAGCTCTGAGATTTTTCAACTATAATGCCATCTACCTATTCATGATGACATCATTTATATGCAGTATTTATGGAAGTGGTAAATTTTAATGTAGTGGAGTTATATAATACCTTTCTCACTTAAGTGATGGAGAGTTTGTTATAAACCAAATTAATACAGTCAGCATGTGTCAGATAATCAAACTTAATTTTTTTTTTTCTTTTTTTTTTGCGGTACACGGGCCTTTCACTGTTGTGGCCTCTCCCGTTGCGGAGCACAGGCTCCAGACGCACAGGCTCAGCGGCCATGGCTCACAGGCCCAGCCGCTCCGCGGCATGTGGGATCTTCCCAGACCGGGGCACGAACCCATGTCCCCTGCATCGGCAGGCGGACTCTCAACCACTGCACCACCAGGGAAGCCCCCGAACTTAATTTTTGATTGAGTTATTCTGTCCATCTGCTTATTCTGTCTTGATGTGTTTCAACAAACTGAAGTATCATTTACCTGCCACTTCCCCTGTCCCCTCACCTTCCAAAAAACCCTGTAGGAGAGAATTTCATAAAGACAATGCATTCATCTAGAAAGTCTCTTGGATTAAAAAAAAAAAATTATAGAGATTCTCTTAGATGTTACTGATGATAAACACTGTTGTAATACTAGATTTGGGCATATATAAAATGTATTCCCATTCACTCTCATAGACTTTTACTTAATCTCTACCCTTCATTTGTAGGATTTTCGTTTCTTTAGTACTTAAAAATAAAAACATTTCCCAAGGTCTTTCATCTAAAACTTGAAGTTTCTCATCATCTGCTATTAAATCTTCACAATCATAGATGATAAAGATATTTTTATTTTAAAAAATCACTGTTGACATATCCAATTTTTAAAATATATTCATTTAAAATAAACTTTTTGGGGGCAGAGTTGAAACTAAGTCTGTGGGAGTGTAGTAGTCTCCTATAAAATTTTATCAAAGTAACATCTCAAGTTTTGGAAGCACATAAAGAATACACAGTTAAAAGAATACACAGCTGTAGAAGATGCAAAGATATGGGTTTATACTTCATTTTAGAAAGATTATAATTTTTTGCCCAGCCTACAGTCCTACCCCCAATTATTGTACTAGAATCATCAGTTAAATCACTGTAAAGCTTACCGCTAAGGTTCAGTCTTTTAACCCTGAAACCAATTGATTATTTTCTTCAGAAATTAAAAGAAAGCATGAGCAGGATATTCAGTTGATATCTCATCTCTACAACCTTTTTTAGTTTTAAACCAAAAAATATGTTACATAAAATATGGCTACATAAAAATGTTTGTTTTATGTGTGCTAGTACTACCACCATTTACTGAGCTGTAATAGTCGTCCAGGTACTGTGCTACATGCTTTATATACCTTATTTAATTTTCACATCAATTCTAGAAATTGGTAAGTGTCAAACACCTTACCGATTACTAGTAATAGATCCTGAGTTGAAAATGGCCTTTATTGTTACTTCATTTTATGAGTGTTGATCACTAAGTAGTAAACTTTGCCCATGCTAAGGGCTCAGTCTGATGCGACTACTGGTATAAGATGGATATAACTTCCTAGTATACCTTAAGTTAGGACATAAAAGTGGCAGGAACTTAGATGTCATTATTTGTAATCCAGATATTTAGATCACATTGCAAAAAAAGACTATTATCTTTTTAAAATAAATTCTGTGACTAGTTCTATGCAGTTTAATCTGAAGTGCTTGAAAAAACCTGATTGTTTATGATATAATGTTGTAATGTACATCTGAGTCTTCAGATTTGTATACAATAGTATTTCTCTTATAAGACTATTAAATGTCTCACTCATTAAATGACACCATTGTGTGATTCAGGGAGGAGGTGTGAGGAACAGTCTTTTTTTTTTTTTCTATGTAATTTCCATGTGTAGTGAAATAAACAGTGTTTTTAAATGATACTTATTTTTATAAGATATGCATGACACTTACAATGAAATGTCTTTTTCATGATTTTGCTATGACTGGACATCTACTTTGTGTGTATATATGTGTCTGAATTGTTGGGAAGAAAATAAGATTTAACTAGTTTCATTTCAGTTATTTTAAATATTTTAAGAACTTCCAAAGAAAGCTTACTGCAGAGTATATTTCTTTATAATTTTTCTCTCTCCTTTTATGTGATGTTAAGACATCAGCTGATGACTCACAATCAATTTAAAATGTTAAAATTTCACTTTGATTTTAATATGACTTAAAAACTATCAAACTACTATTAATAACCAAGAGGAATTACAGTTAAATATGGCTGTCTTGTCACCAGGAACTAAATCCTTGCAGAATGTCCAAAGTTTACTAACCAAAAGTTTTTCAACTTCCAGCTGCTTATCTTATCAAGAACAGGGTACCTTGAGATTTATTTGCAGTTTCAAATAGTGCAATTAGAAAGTGAAAACAGATAGGAAGACACCCACCCTCCCCATAGAGATTTAGGGGAAAAGAAAGGATGCAAATCACTAATAATTTTTTTCTGAAGCTCAAATTTTAAATGTTAGATTGACTTTACATTGGTGCTTTTTATTAATAGTTACTGAGTTAACTTTATTTTTAAGTTAAATAAAAAGATTCTGTATCTCTTTTAGAAACTACATCTGACCAGAGTGACATTGAAGGTAGGATCAGAGCCCTGAAGGATGAGCTGCGGAAAAGAAAATCAGTTGTGGACCAACTGAAGAAGGAACAGAAAAAAAGGCAAAAGGAAAGACTGAAAGCCCAAGAAGCCAGTCTAATCAAACAATTGGAGGTTAGAAATAAGAAGAAAGGGGTTTAATTTCAAGGCTAATATAAATGTGAACCCTGAAATGTTTTTAGTGTTGTTAATAAAGTAATGGATTAGAATTTTTCAATATTAATTTTGTACCACATTTTAACCTAACTTTAAAAAAAAATCTGAACAAACTCTTGCTTGAAAGATTAAATTAAATATTAAATTAAAATGTTAAATATTATAATATCAGGTATTAAAGTAAATAGTAAAAGTATTAAAATAAGTTTTTTTTCTAAAGAAGAAAGATTAGGCCTATGAAAGAAAAATTGATATCCGCGTCCTCTAAAGCAAAGAACCGTTAGATAAATAATCCTCGCTGTTGGAACTGTTACTGCCTTTTTTTTTTTTAAAGCGGAGTGGTGTTTCATGCCACACGACTTATTAGTACGACTCTTTGTACTGTTTGAATGGCTCCTAAATAATAACTCTAAACTTGACTTTCCTTAACCTAGCAACCTTCCCTGATCCTACCCCAGTCTGGAAACCTAGTTTTTATGTCTTCCTCATTCTGTTTTCTCCCATCCATTCAGTCACCAGATCCCATTGGTACTTTTTTCATAAATCTTCTTGCTTGTCCCTTTCCGTTCCTACTGCCATCAAGCTATTTGGGGCCCTTATGTCCTCTTGCCTCTGTTGTCTACATAGCCTCTTAAATGTCCCTGCCTCTGGTCGCTTCCCTATAGCTTACATGCATTCTGCCAGCCTAGTGTTCCTAAACACCACATTCATTATAGAACCGGTCTGAACTTCCTGCTCATCATAAGAATCCCTTCTCATGGCCTGACCTGATCATTCAGCTTCTATCCAGACACTTCCAGTAATAGCAAATTTCAGATTTTCAAGGCAGTTGGTTTCATCGGTTGGACTCGAGGTGCTCTAAGTGTTAGAAAGCTCTTTGTTATGCTTAGCCAGAATTTCTGTTCTTTTAATCATCCTTGTGTGGTAACACCAAACATGTGTCCTCCTACATTAATTAATCAGGTGCATATTTATGTGCTGGAAACTCAGCTAATTACTTTACACGTATTTTTCATTTTATCCTCAAAGTAACAAGGTGTAGATATTACTATCCCTCTTTTACAGATGAGGAAACTAAGTTTTAGTGAGATTAATGATATCCAGAGACACACAGCTCACATGTGTTAAAACTAGGATTTTAATCTAGCTCGAATTCCAAATTCTGTGCCCCTGCTGTTACACTACATTATCTTCCACATAGAAAATAGACCTGCTAACAGATCTGGAGAAGATAGACGTTTACACAGGCACACAATACAGAGATGGGAATGGGAATTGTAACTTGCACATATGTTTAGAAGTAAGAAAAAGTGGTTAAGATTCAGTGGCCATGCTGAGAAGTTCATGTTGGAAAGTAGTGAGGAACAAAATTTAAAAATAAAGATCATGTTCAGGGCCTTAGAAACCAGACTGATAAGTTTGGACTTCATCCTGTATAGGTCTGTAGCGTTCAACCTGACTATACATTAGAATTAACTGAGGAGCTTTTTTGAAAAATACAAATATCCAGGCTCACTTCCAGAGATTTTGATTTAATTGGTCTAGGGTGGGGCCCAGGATTTAAAAGTACTGCTATAGGTCATGTGGAGCCATTGAAAGCTAAATGAAATACTGTTAGATTGAATGGCATTGCCCAAAAAGTTCATTAATAGGTATGTCACCCGGAAGGATATCTAGAGAAGGATACAAAAGATCCATCTCATTCAACATTCTATTAAACGGTTTAAATAAAGGCAAAAGAAAGTTCTGTATTTAGATTTTACAATTATAGTATATGATAGAGAAATATATAATACATAGCAGTTCATACGAAAAAAACCTTTTGGATTTTATTTGATCACATATTTAATAAATGAACTACACTCATATAAGTATAGCTTTCAGATCTGAGAAATCATTGTCCTTATGTATACCTAGCTAGCCAAATCATCTAGCTGTAGTATATGTTTAATACCAGTGTTTATCAAAACATTGACAGTTCAGAGGAAGGTAACATAGACGGTGATAGTTATAAAAATAGTGATGTTAGCCTAAGTTTTAGGGAACTGCAGCAGTTGACAAACATCCATCTGCTCATTCACTCAGCCTTCTTTGAGCCAGACACTGTGAATAGGTACTGGACATATCGTGTTGAGCAAAACAGCTGTGGTCTTAAATGTGAGAGAAGTAAAAGTAGGGATTAATTTTAGGCTAGAAAACTGAGGAGGTTTTTCTAATAGAAGGAGGGCTTCCCTTAGATTTCATTCAAGTTAGAATTACAAATTAGTGAAGTTTTGTTTACAGAATGGCTAATGACTAAGAAATATTTTTGCAATTCTATATTATCATACTCCCAACCACTCCCTTCTCTCTCCTTGAAATTTGTATTCCTGAAGTGCTCACCCCTTAAGAAGCTTACTGCCATTGAAACTTAGTGTAAAGGCTAAACTTCTTAAAAATAACAGGAATGTATTAAGGCATCCTTTAAAGAATAATTATATAATTAGCTAAAGAAGTTTTTTAATGTGGCACGGCCTGAACTATTGCTTCAAAAGTATTAAACTTCTGTAGACTGAGACTGTCATTTCCTAATTGATATTAGTATTACAATTATACAGCTTGCTTATACATAGACTATTTCAAGAAGGCTATACAAGTAACTGATTTTAGAACTCTGGGAAATAATACTGATGCAGGGAGAAAGAATTTTATATCTTTTTTACGGTTTGAATATTTTACCATAAAATATACTATTTTATAATTTAAGATAGTTTAAAAAATTCTGTGTAGTGACTCCTTTGATTTTTCTAAACTTAGTCATATGATGAATTCATTAAGAAAACTGAAGCCGAGCTTAGCCGAGATTTGGAAACATCACCAACAGCCAAGCCTCAGATTAAAACGCTCTCCTCAGCTTCTGAAAAACCCAAGATCAAGCCCCTTCCACTACACAGGTAGAAATTTTTGATAACTAACCTATATTCTGCCTTGTTTGAGAAAGGAATAAGGAAAGGTTTTAAGTAGAAGCTATCTTTTAGGTAACTGTGAAATTGTAGAAGTGAAAATATTGGTTTATATTTTCAGTTTCACTAAAGTAAATTTGTTATTTATGATATAATCACAAATAGAATTTATAATAAGATACAGATTTTAAAATATATTTTGAATCCTGAAATCTGATGGGAGCTGTAAAAATAGTACTCTCCAGCATTGCTATTATAGCATTGTAGGTTGGTATAGTTGTTTTGGAAAACAATTTGGCAATGTTTCAAAAGTCAAAAACAATCTGTAACTTTTGACTCAGTAATTCCACTTCTGAAAATCTAGCTTGAGAAAATATGGGCTATCAAAAATATCTATTTACATGAATATGTTTATAATAACATCTTTTATATTATGTTTATAACATAAACACTGGAAGCAGCCTTTATGTCCAGAACTGGTGAATAGCCCAGTAAATGATGGTTCTTTCCAGGGATAGAATATTATGCAATCAGTGAATACAAATACAGAAGATACAAAGTAGCACTATTAGAATATATAATATGGCATATAAGAAAGTCAGGTAGTAATATTTAAACTAAATTTTGAGTGAGTAGAGGTTATATAGGTAAGTGGGACTGAGAAATAGGGGATATTTCAGAGAGAAGGGCACTCATGAGTGACCAGAAGCAACAGAGAGCTTGGCATATCATGGAAGCTGAACATCATAGGATGTAGCTGGAGTTAGGAGAAGAGACTGGAAAAATAAAAAACAAATTGTGATAACCTTGTACTCACGCATTCTTAGTAGTTTCTAATTTACTTTTTTAGAAGATGTGACGCTGTTAAATTTCTTTTAAAAGCATATTTTAGGATATTTTTTAGAAATATTTTAGAAATGTTTTTTAGAAATGTTATAGAGGCTCATTACAATTAATTTAGCATTACCTGGGTTTGAATCCTGACTCCAGTACCAGCTAGCTTTTTAATTTGGGGCAAGTTATTTAACCTGTCTGTGTTTCAATTTTGTAATAGGGATTTAGATCCCTATACCAACACCTGAGTAATAAACTTGTTATGAGAGTTAAAAGACTTAACGTAGAACAGGGCCTAGCACACAATTAGCACTATGTATTAGTTGTTATTATTATTGCTACTAGAATATTGAGGGAAGTGGTAAAAAGATAAAAGTTTAAATCGTATCATACCTAACTATCCCAAAACAACAAATGTCAACAATTAGATATATTTCCATCTAGGATTTTTTTTTTTTTTTTTTTTGCGTTACGCGGACCTCTCACTGTTGTGGCCTCTCCCGTTGCGGAGCACAGGCTCCGGACGCACAGGCTCAGCGGCCATGGCTCACGGGCCTAGCCGCTCCGCGGCATGTGGGATCTTCCCAGACTGGGGCATGAACCCGTGTCCCCTGCATCAGCAGGCGAACTCTCAACTACTGCGCCACCAGGGAAGCCCCATCTAGGATTTTTTATGCTTAGATTTTGTGTGTAATTTTGTTACTTATACATTTTTCCTTTATATTACATTATACATAAGTTTTATTTTAATTTCTACAATCCATTGAATGGTTTTATAGTTTTATTAACCAGAGAATGGTAGAATCAGATTTCTGTTTAGAGAAATCTTTCTGACTACAATATGAAGGAAAGATAGGAAGGGGTAAGTTTAGAAGCAGGGATAACAGTAGTCTAAGCCAGCCCTCAGATAATGCACTGTAATAAGAATAGAGAATAGGAGATCGATTTTTAGGAATTTTTAAGAAGTATACTTTACAAATTAAAGTGCTAGATAGGGAAGCAGGAAGAAGCTGGATGGCTCCCGTGTTTCTCTTAAATAGTAGTTTGTTGGGTCAAAGTTCCACTAACCTAAATGGAAAATTAGGTGTTCTTCGGTGGGAGTCTTATGATTTTGGTTTTAAAATGTTAATTTTGAGGTACCTGTAGTTCATCTAAGTGGAATTATCCAGGAAAGATGTTAGCTTTTTAATTTGGGGTGATCAGCATATAGATGGTGGTTGAAGCTATAAATATAACAACATTTGGGTGAACATTTGGGTGAAAAAGGTCTGCAAATTCAGAGAGAATAAAAGGGAGCCAAGTACTAAATATGATAAAATAGCAACATTTAAGGGGGTTATAAAGAAGTAGGAGTAGAAGCCAAATATTATGACTTAGCAAATAAAAAGAAAGCAAGAAAATGAAGATTGTGAATGTCAACTTAAAGCATGAAAGAGGACAGTAGCACCAGGTGGAGGAATAAAGAATTGAGGGGGAAAAGTCTGCTCAGTATTCTTTAACAACCTAAATGGGAAAAGAATTTTAAAAAGAATAGATATATGTATAACTGAATCACTTTGCTGTATACCTGAAACTAACACAACATTGTAAGTCAACTACAGTCCAATATAAAATAAAAACTTTAAAAAACAAGGGAAAAAAAAGATCGGGGTGGGGGTGGTGGGATTTTTTTGAGGCTTGAGGCATGCATATAAGCTGAGGGGGAAAAAGTCACCAGATTGAAGGACTAAAGATTGTAGGAAAAAGAATGGACAGTTGAAGAGTACCATCAATGAGGCTGTGGAAATGTATGGGATTTGGGGCAGAAAGAAGTTTGAACAAGTGTGAGAGATACACCTTTTTCTTCCTTGCAGACAGGAGGAAAGGCAGTTGGGATGGCTGTGAATATAGATAAATTTGTAGGTAAAAAGGTTGAAGATAAGAAGGGTCATGCTGATGGCCTCTGTTTCTCTCATTAAAAGAGGCAAGATCATCTACTGAGTGTGATGAAGGCCACAAATAGACTTGGTGGAAGTGGCAAAGGTTGGAATACTTCCTGCGAAGAAGAAAAAAGAAGCAGTTGTCTAAGAATTGACTGCTTTTTGTTACCAGTTATTACAGTATCAGCAATACATTTATTTCTGTTTATTAATTTTTTTACTTTAGATCTGAAACAGCAAAGAATTGGAAATCACTGACAGAGTCAGAACGTTCCAGAGGATCCCTGGAGTCTATTGCTGAACATGTTGGTATGTAACTAGAAAAAATAATCACATAGTATCTACATAGACTAAAGATTATACAAGTTACAAAATTCCACCTCTGCAGCTTTTTGGTTAAAAAGTGAATTTCTTAAAGATAATAGATTATTTAATATTTTAAGTTACTTTTACTTTTATTTTAAGTTATTTTAAGTTACTATTTTAAAGTGATTTGTTGGTTATGCCTAAGTTATGTGAATCAGTCTTTATTGTCCCAATAACTGATGAAAACTGAGGCATAAAGACATTAATCCAAAATGGCTGTGAGTGTATCATCATCTAAATTCTCCCTTAATCAGATTTTGTATCTGATTATATATATTTTCAGCCTATGCTGTTTCTCAGTGTAGTAGTTACATACATTTTTTTTCAATTTAATCCAAAGAAAGATAAGAACTATTGAAAATAAAGTGTAATTCAATGAGGAAATAAAACTGAGACATGAAAAAGCCTACCTAGTAACAATGACAAAACAGAGATTTGAATTTAAAACTTGTAATTCGTGGTTTGTTAGTTCATCAAACCTTATTTTCTTCTTATTTTGCAATTTTAGCTCTTAAAGTGCTATAGTTGCAGAAATAATTGATTTTTTTTCCTTTTTCACATTCAAGAGGTTAGTTGAAGTCCCTGCATTTGTCCTTCCTTCATTGCTTTTGTTTTCGAAGAATATATGTAATATCCATCATACAATTCTGTTTTTGCATGATTTGAGGATTAACATTTCCATAAACTTTGATCCATTTTTCTTTACTTTGTAAGTTGACAACACTTAAAAAATTATACCAAACTTTAAATTTTCAGTCATTTTTTAAATGTTCTGTTTATTGTTGGTACAGTATATTCTCTTAAAGGAAAAACTTACCTTATACTGTAACCTGTAAAACAGGTCCTATTTATTGACCAGAGCTTTTTCTCACCAATATTTAGCTTTTATTTAAACTTTGGTTCCAGAAATTGAATTAGATAATTTTGATGTGATCTTTTTTTTCCCTTTAAGATGCTGCATTGGCAGGTTCTGAGAGATCAGTGTCAGAAAGGTCTTTATCTGCATATGCAAAGAGAATGATTGAATTGGACAGTCGAACAGAAGAGCACTTTCAGACTTCTTCTCCAATTCTCAGATCATCAAGGAGAACCAGAGCAGACTCTGGAGATTCTCTAGAAAATGTCCCTTCATTACCTCTTCTCAAAGAATTAACTGCCTCTAATAGAATTCTTGATGTGTCAGATGCCAAGGTTGAAAAAGAATCTAGTCAAAAATCAGAAATACACGAAGTAGAATATGCAAAATTGGAGGAGAGTGCAATTGAAGATGCCTATTCTAAACAATCTAGGAAGCCTGATGTCTTCCTGAAACTAGACCTGGAACAGGGAGATTCATCTGAAATTCTTTCAAGGAAAGATCTTTCTTTAGATTCTATAAGTGTTCAGAAAGACTTAGTTAGATTAGCCATTGAAAATCTTCATAAAAAAGAGTCAGAAGAGAGACAGTCAGATCAAGATATGGGTCATAGTGCAAACATCCAATCAGAAAAAGACACTCACGTACAAAAGAATATAAAGGGCAGAGACTCATCTTGGTCAGAACATCTTTTTGCATGTAAAGAGATATCATACTCTGAAGATTTTGAAGTATCTTCTTTCAAGAAAGACATTTCAGCTGAATTGTACAAAGATGACTTTGAGGTGACATCTTTGTTGTCACTCAGGAAAGACTCTCAGTCTTGCAGAGAGAAGTCACAGGCAACAAGGATCTCTAGAAGTAGAGCCACTAGCTTTGATAGTGATGATGAAATCAGTGAGTGCCTCAGTGAGAAAAGCCTTTCTATTCATAGCAGTGTCCATTCTGAAAGGCTATTAGAACTCAAGTCCCCCACTGAGCTTATGAAAAGTAAGGAGCGCAGTGATGTAGAGCATGAACAGAGACTTACTGAATCCCCTTCCTTAGCTTCAGCTTCTCTTGCAGATGAGTTACTTGATTTCCACATCGGTGATAGGGTGTTGATTGGCAATGTTCAGCCAGGAACTCTTCGATTCAAAGGTGTGACTAGTTTTGCTAAAGGATTTTGGGCTGGAGTGGAGTTGGATAAACCTGAAGGAAATAACAGTGGAACATATGATGGCATTGTATACTTTGTGTGCAAAGAGAAGCATGGGATTTTTGCTCCTCCTCAAAAAATATCTCACATTTCAGAAAACTTTGATGACTATGTAGACATAAATGAAGATGAAGACTCTTATTCAGATGAACAATATCAATACTATAATCAAGAACAAAAAGATACAGAGGGTCCCAAGTTTGACAGAGAAAAGGATGCGATTGAGTGTTTTTATAAGGAATCTCAACCTAGTATGCATGACACAGAAGCCTCAGTTGATAGAAGCCTTAAAATAGAAACAGACAATATACAGGACATTTCTGGAGTACTTGAAGCCCATATTCACCAGCAGAATTCAGTGGATTCACTGATTTCTTCAAAGGAAAACAAAGACCTTGTTTCTGGTGCCACGGAAAAGGTTTCCACTGCTGTAGAAGACAATGCTTTAGGTAATACCTTTTCTGAAGAATTAAGGAAGCAACAGCAGTTTACCGAAAAGCAAGAGAACCTATATCCAGAAGTTTCAGAAAAGCTTTCTACCCCACTTCTGGACCTTTTAGCAAGAGAAAAGAACCAATTGGAAGCCCAGCTGAGGTCACCACCAAGTGAGGAAAAAAAGTCAAAGGAACAACTAGAAACAGTCAGCTTACTGACAGATAGTTTACTAAAAGTCTTTGTGAAGGACACAGTCAATCAACTACAACAAATCAAAAAAGCTAGGAATGAGAAAATCCAGCTTAGCAATCAAGAGCTTCTTGTTGATGATCAAAAGAAAGTACCACCCCAAGGCCTATCCCAGAATCTTGAGGAACAGTCACCAAGTGTTCCAGGTTGCTTCTTAAGGTCTGAATCGGAAGATGAGAAAGAAGAGATTTCCTCACCAGATATGTGTCCTAGACCTGTAAGTATTTTGTCTAGAGAAAATGTCAATTAACCTTGCCTTTATAGTACATTTTAATTCTGTAGCTCCTGATAGGTTTTTTGGTGATGTGTTATTTGTTAAACAAAGATCACTTCAGTAGTTTGTAAAGGCCATGTAGCTGTTTTTCTGTCTGAAGTATAATTGTCCTCTATTATGTCATGAGTGGTCACTATAGAGTTGTCATAAACACTGGCAGGTTTATGCTGGGTTGAAAACCCCTGTATACTGTCCACAGATTAGATTTCTTTCTGGATTCACTGAATAAATTTATTCCGTGGAGATTTCCATTGGTTCTCAACCCAGTTCTTTTTTGGCTATGAAATTATTTGTTCACATATCTACTCAGTCATAGTTGCCTTGCAGAAATTACCAGTTGTGATGTTGACTCTGGTAAAACTGAAATGTATCCATTATGACATATACTCAGACCATCAACTTATTTAGGTTGCCCATGGACAATTGAACAGCAGTAATGAATTTGAGTAACTTGAGCTAGATAATCACCAAAGGTGAGAATTTTATATCTCATTTCCATATCTCAGAAGCAAAACAGTTCTTCAGAAACAGAATAATGATGATACAAAAAGGAAAAAATGATCAATAAACATTTTATTAAAATCAGTTGTAAGGCTTATGTGAGCAGAATTACAGGAAGCAGGATAGTTTTTTCTTAAATTGTTCATTAGTAACCACCATATCGTTTCTACTTGCTTATTTACAGAGAAATAGTGAATATACAAATAATATATTTGCTTTGTCTTTAAAAAAAAAGCCCAAACTTGTTAAGTGATCTGAGGTTACTAAATGGTGCTCTGTTTGAATGGTTCCATTTCTGTAGGAGAGTCCAGTATTCGGTGCCAGTGGGCAGGAAGAGCTTGCTAAGAGACTTGCTGAACTTGAGATTAGCCGGGAGTTCCTGAGCGTGTTAGGAGATGATCAAGACTGGTTTGATGAAGACTTTGGTTTGAGCTCTTCTCACAAGATACAAAAGAATAAGGCAGAAGAAACAATTGTACCTCTAATGGCAGAACCTAAGGGAGCTCTACAAAAGCCATGTGAAACATTATTGGCAGTCCCACATACTGCGGAGGAAGTAGAAATTCTTGTACACAATGCAGCAGAAGAACTTTGGAATTGGAAAGAATTAGGTCATGATCTTCACAGCATCAGTATTCCTACAAAACTGCTTGGCTGTGCCAGTAAGGGTCTAGATATAGAAAGCACTAGTAAAAGGGTGTACAAACAGGTATGTAACATGGAAGGATAATTCTAATTTTTAAACTTCTCTCTGTTGTCTGAAATTTGGATTCTTAGCCATTTTAATTTGTTTATTTTTCTCTATCAAGGCGGTTTTTGATTTAACAAAAGAGATTTTTGAAGAAATATTTGCCGAGGATCCCAACTTGAATCAGCCTGTCTGGATGAAGCCATGTAGAATCAACTCTAGTTATTTCCGACGAGTGAAAAATCCAAATAACCTTGATGAAATCAAGGTAAACTGAAAAGTGTAGAGTATCTCCTTTCTTGATTTGCTCTTCATTTGTACAGATCTGTAAATATCGTAAAAGCAAGTATTATTATTATTATCTTCTATATTATTCACCATTCTGTCCTCAAGGCCTGTCCCATAGTAGGTATTCAGTAAATATTTGTTGATTCGTTCAGTCCATGAGCAGTAGAGGGATGAGGGTGAGAGGGAATCCCAAATCCTCAACTTTTTGCAGAACAGATATATATATATATATATATATTATAATATTTAAGAAAAAAATCAGCAAATATTCAGGGAGATAAATTATTGCAATTCATAGGAGTTTTAGGTGAGTTTTTAATGACTTAGAGATAGATATAATATTCTAAAAGTACATGAAAACATGTCATATATCAAACATGCCAACCCTAGACACGTAGATGTTAACTTTCCATCTTTGATTTTGGAGGTTTCAGATTGGTTACGTAGTTTTGAAATATGTGGGAGAGTAATGTGATATACAAAAAGTATTGCTTGTTGTCTGAGAAGCCCCTGAAAAGATTAAGTGCCCTTAAGAAAAGATTAAGAAAAGATTAAGCTACAAGGACTCTCAGCAAACCAACTTTAAAATCACATTGGTGGAGAGAGGGGGAAAGATGGCGGAAGAGTAAGATGTGGAGATCACGTTCCTCCCCACAGATACATCAGAAATACATCTACATGTGGAACAACTCCTACAGAACACCTACTGAACGCTGGCAGAAGACCTCAGACCTTCCAAAAGGCAAGAAACTCCCCACATACCTGGGTAGGGCAAAAGAAAAAAGAATAAACAGAGACAAAAGAATAGGGACGGGACCTGCACCAGTGGGAGGGAGCTGTGAAGGAAGAAAGGTTTCCACACACACTAGGAAAGCACTTCGCGGGTGGAGACTGTGGGTGGCGGATAGGGGGGAGCTTTGGAGCCGAGGAGGAGAGCGCAGCCACAGGGGTGCGGAGGCCAAAGCGGAGAGATTCCCGCACAGAGGATCGGTGCCGACCAGCCCGAGAGGCTTGTCAGCTCAAGCAGGGGCAGGCGGGGCTGGGAGCTGAGGCACGGGCTTCGGTCGGAGCGCAGGGAGAGGACTGGCGGCGTGAACACAGCCTGAAGGGGCTAGTGCACCACGGCTAGCTGGGAGGGAGTCCGGGGAAAAGTCTGGACCTGCCGAAGATGCAAGAGACTTCTTCTTCCCTCTTTGTTTCCTGGTGCACGAGGAGAGGGGATTAAGAGCGCTGCTTAAAGGAGCTCCAGAGACGGGCGCAGGCCGCGGCTAACAGCACAGACCACAGAGACGGGCATGAGACTCTAAGGCTGCTGCTGCCACCACCAAGAAGCCTGTGTGCGAGCACAGGTCACTATCCATACCCCACTTCCGGGGAGCCTGTGCAGCCCGCCACTGCCAGGGTCCTGGGATCCAGGGACAACTTCCCTGGGAGAACGCACGGCGTGCCTCAGGCTGGTGCAACGTCACGCTGGCCTCTGCTGCCACAGGCTTGCCCAGCACTCCGTACCCCTCCCTCCCGCCGGCCTGAGTGAGCCAGAGCCCCCAAATCAGCAGCTCCTTTAACCCCGTCCTGAGCGAAGAACAGACACCCTCCAGTGACCTACACGCAGAGGTGGGGCCAAATCCAAAGCTGAACCCCGGGAGCTCTGTGAACAAAGAAGAGAAAGGGAAATCTCTCCCAGCAGCCTCAGAAGCATCGGATTAAAGCTCCACAATCAACTTGATGTACCCTGCATCTGTGGAATACCTGAATAGACAACGAATCATCCCAAATTGAGGAGGTGGACTTTGAGAGCAAGATTTATTTTTTCCCCTTTTCCTCTTTTTGTGAGTGTGTATGTGTATACTTCTGTGTGAGATTTTGTCTGTATAGCTTTGCTTTCGCCATTTGTCCTAGGGTTCTATCCGTCCGTTTTTTTGTTTTACTTTTTAAAAAAACTTTTTTTCTTAATAATTATTTTTTTATTTTAATAACCTTATTTTATTTTACCTTACTTTATTTTATTTTATCCTCTTTCTTTCTTTCTTTCTTTCTACTTTTTCTCCCCTTTATTCTAAGCCGTGTGGATGAAGGCTCTTGGAGCTGCAGCCAGGAGTCAGTGCTGTGCCACTGAGGTGGGAGAGCCAACTTCAGGACACTGGTCCACAAGAGACCTCCCAGCTCCATGTAATATCAGACGGCAAAAATCTCCCAGAGATCTCCATCTCAACACCAACACCCAGCTTCACTCAGCGACCAGCAAGCCACAGTGCTGGACACCCTATGCCAAACAACTAGCAAGACAGGAACACAACCCCACCCATTAGCAGAGAGGCTGCCTAAAATCATAATAAGTCCACAGACACCCTGAAACACACCACCAGACGTGGACCTGCCCACCAGAAAGACAAGATCCAGCCTCATCCACCAAAACACAGGCACTAGTCCCCTCCACCAGGAAGCCTACACAACCCACTGAACCAACTTTAGCCACTGGGGACAGACACCAAAAACAACGGGAACTATGAACCCTGCACAAAGGAGACCCCAAACACAGTAAGATAAGCAAAATGAGAAAACAGGAAAACACACAGCAGATGAAAGAGCAAGATAAAAACCCACCAGACCCAACAAATGAAGAGGAAATAGGCAGTCTACCTGAAAAAGAATTCAGAATAATGATAGTAAAGATGATCCAAAATCTTGGAAATAGAATAGAAAAAATGCAAGAAACATTTAACAAGGACCTAGAAGAACTAAAGATGAAACAAGCAACAATGTACAACACAATAAATGAAATTAAAAATACTCTAGAAGGGATCAATAGCAGAATAACTGAGACAGAAGTATGGATAAGTGACCTGGAAGATAAAATAGTGGAAATAACTACTGCAGAGCAGAATAAAGAAAAAAGAATGAAAAGAGCTGAGGACAGTCTCAGAGACCTCTGGGACAACATTAAACGCACCAACATTCGAATTATAGGGGTTCCAGAAGAAGAAGAGAAAAAGAAAGGGACTGAGAAAATATTTGAAGAGATTATAGTTGAAAACTTCCCTAATATGAGAAAGGAAATAGTTAATCAAGTCCAGGAAGCACACAGAGTCCCATACAGGATAAATCCAAGGAGAAATACGCCAAGACACATATTAATCAAACTGTCAAAAATTAAATACAAAGAAAACATATTAAAAGCACCAACAGAAAAACAACAAATAACACACAAGGGAATTCCCATAAGGTTAACAGCTGATCTTTCAGCAGAAACTCTGCAAGCTAGAAAGGACTGGCAGGACATATTTAAAGTGATGAAGGAGAAAAACCTACACCCAAAATTACTCTACCCAGCAAGGATCTCACTCAGATTTGGTGGAGAAATTAAAACCTTTACAGACAAGCAAAAGCTGAGAGAGTTCAGCACCACCAAACCAGCTTTACAACAAATGCTAAAGGATCTTCTCTAGACAAGAAACACAAGAGAAGGAAAAAATCTACAATAACAAACCCAAAACAATTAAGAAAATGGGAATAGGAACATACATATCGATAATTACCTTAAATGTAAATGGATTAAATGCTCCCACCTAAAAACACAAAGTGGCTGAATGGATACAAAAACAAGACCCCTATATATGCTGTCTACAAGAGACCCACTTCAGACCTAGGGACACATACAGACTGAAAATGAGGGGATGGAGAAAGATATTCCATGCAAATGGAAACCAAAAGGAAGCGGGAGTAGCAATTCTCATATCAGACAAAATAGACTTTAAAATAAAGACTATTAGAAGAACAAAGAAGGACACTACATAATGATCAAGGGATCGATTCAAGAAGAAGATATAACAATTGTAAATATGTATGCACCCAACATAGGAGCACCTCAATACATAAGGCAAATACTAATAGCCATAAAAGAGGAAATTGACAGTAACACACTCATAGTAGGGGACTTTAACACCCCACTTTCACCAATGGACAGATCATCCAAAATGAAAATAAATAAGGAAACACAAGCTTTAAATGATACATTAAACAAGATGGACTTAATTGACACTTATAGGACATTCCATCCAAAAACAACAGAATACACATTTTTCTCAAGTGCTCATGGAACATTCTCCAGGATAGATCATATCTTGGGTCACAAATCAAGCCTTGGTAAATTTAAGAAAATTGAAATTGTATCAAGTATCTTTTCCGACCACAATGCTGTGAGACTAGATATCAATTACAGGAAAAGACCTGTAAAAAATACAAACACATGGAGGCTAAGCAATACACTACTTAATAACGAAGTGATGACTGAAGAAATCAAAGAGGAAATCAAAAAATACCTAGAAACAAATGACAATGGATACATGACGACCCCAAACCTATGGGATGTAGCAAAAGCAGTTCTAAGAGGGAAGTTTATAGAAATACAATCCTACCTCAAGAAACAAGAAACATCTCAAATAAACAACCTAACCTTACACCCAAAGCAATTAGAGAAAAAAGAACAAAAAACCCCCAAAGTTAGCAGAAGGAAAGAAATCATAAAGGTCAGATCAGAAATAAATGAAAAAGAAATGAAGGAAACGATAGCAAAGAACAATAAAACTAAAAGCTGGTTCTTTGAGAAGATAAACAAAATTGATAAACCATTAGCCAGACTCATCAAGAAAAGGGAGAAGACTCTATAGAATTAGAAATGAAAAAGGAGAAGTAACAGCTGACACTGCAGAAATACAAAAGATCATGAGGGATTACTACAAGCAACTCTATGCCAATAAAATGGACAACCTGGAAGAAATGGACAAATTGTTAGAAATGCACAACGTGCCAAGGCTGAATCAGGAAGAAATAGAAAATATGAACAGACCAATCACAAGCACTGAAATTGAAACTATGATTAAAAATCTTCCAAGAAACAAAAGCCCAGGACCAGATGGCTTCACAGGCGAATTCTATCAAACATTTAGAGAAGAGCTATCACCTATCCTTCTCAAACTCTTCCAAAATATAGCAGAGGGAGGAACATTCCCAAACTCATTCTACGAGGCCACCATCACCTTGATACCAAAACCAGACAAGGATGTCACAAAGAAAGAAAACTACAGGCCAATATCACTGATGAACATAGATGCAAAAATCCTCTACAGAATACTAGCAAACAGAATCCAGCAGCACATTAAAAGGATCATACACCATGATCAAGTGGGGTTTATTCCAGGAATGCAAGGATTCTTCAATATACGCAAATCAATCAGTGTGATACACCATATTAACAAATTGAAGGAGAAAAACCATATGGTCATCTCAATAGATGCAGAGAAAGCTTTTGACAAAATTCAACACCCATTTATGATAAAAACCCTCCAGAAAGTAGGCATAGAGAGAACTTTCCTCAACATAATAAAGGCCATATATGACAAACCCACAGCCAACATCGTCCTCAATGGTGAAAAACTGAAAGCATTTCCACTAAGATCAGGAGCAAGACAAGGTTGCCCACTCTCACCACTCTTATTCAACATAGTTTCGGAAGTTTTAGACACAGCAATCAGAGAAGAAAAGGAAATAAAAGGAATCCAAATCGGAAAAGAAGAAGTGAAGCTGTCACTGTTTGCAGATGACATGATGCTATACATAGAGAATCCTAAAGATGCTACCAGAAAACTACTAGAGCTAATCAATGAATTCGGTAAAGTAGCAGATACAAAATTAATGCACAGAAATCTCTGGCATTTCTATACACTAATGATGAGAAATCTGAAAGTGAAATCAAGAAAACACTCCCATTTACCGTTGCAACAAAAAGAATAAAATATCTCATAATAAACCTACCTAAGGAGACAAAAGACCTGTATACAGAAAATTATAAGACACTGATGAAAGAAATTAAGGATGATACAAATAGATGGAGAGATATACCATGTCCTTAGATTGGAAGAATCAACACTGTGAAAATGACTCTACTACCCAAAGCAATCTACAGATTCAATGCAATCCCTATCAAACTACCACTGGCATTTTTCACAGAAGTAGAACAAAAAATTTCACAATTTGTATGGAAACACAAAAGACCCCGAATAGCCAAAACAATCTTGAGACTGAAAAACAGAGCTAGAGGAATCAGCCTCCCTGACTTCAGACTATACAACAAAGCTACAGTAATCAAGACAGTATGGTACTGGCACAAAAACAGAAATATAGATCAATGGAATAGGATAGAAAGCCCAGAGATAAACCCACGCACCTATGGTCACCTTATCTTTGATAAAGGAGGCAGGAATGTACAGTGGAACAAGGACAGCCTCTTCAATAAGTGGTACTGGGAAAACTGGACAGGTACATGTAAAAGTATGAGATTAGATCACTCCCTAACACCATACACAAAAATAAGCTCAAAATGATTAAAGACCCAAATGTAAGGCCAGAAACTATCAAACTCTTAGAGGAAAACATAGGCAGAACACTCTATGACATAAATCACAGCAAGATCCTTTTTGACCCACCTCCTAGAGAAATGGAAATAAAAACAAAAATAAACAAATGGGACTTAATGAAACTTCAAAGCTTTTGCACAGCAAAGGAAATCATAAACAAGACTAAAAGACAACCCTCAGAATGGGAGAAAATATTTGCAAATGAAGCAACTGACAAAGGATTAATCTCCAAAATTTACAAGCAGCTCATTCAGCTCAATAACAAAAAACAAACAACCCAATCCCAAAATGGGCAGAAGACCTAAATAGACATTTCTCCAAAGAAGATATACAGACTGCCAACAAACACATGAAAGAATGCTCAACATCATTAGTCATTAGAGAAATGCAAATCAAAACTACAATGAAGTATCATCTTACACCAGTCAGAATGGCCATCATCAAAAAATCTAGGAACAGTAAATGCTGGAGAGGGTGTGGAGAAAAGGGAACACTCTTGCACTGCTGGTGGGAATGTGAATTGGTACAGCCACTATGGAGAACAGTATGGAGGTTCCTTAAAAAACTACAAATAGAACTACCATACGACCCAGCAATCCCACTACTGGGCATATACCCTGAGAAAACCAGAATTCAAGAAGAGTCATGTATCAAAATGTTCATTGCAGCTCTATTTACAATAGCCAGGAGATGGAAACAACCTAAGTGTCCATCATCGGATGAATGGATAAAGATGATGTGGCACATATATACAATGGAATATTACTCAGCCATAAAAAGAAATGAAGTTGAGCTATTTGTAATGAGGTGGATGGACCTAGAGTCTGTCATACAGAGTGAAGTAAGTTAGAAAGAGAAAGAGAAATACTGTTTGCTAACACATATATATGGAATTTAAGGGGAAAAAATGTCATGAAGAACCTAGGGGTAAGATGGGAATAAAGACACAGACCTACTAGAGAATGGACTTGAGGATATGGGGAGGGGGAAGGGTAAGCTGTGACAAAGCGAGAGAGTGGCATGGACATATATACACTACCAAACGTAGTGTATATATATGTATATATACCAAAGAGGGTGGCATGGACATATATACACTACCAAACGTAAAATAGATAGCTAGTGGGAAGCAGCCGCATAGCACAAGCTCGGTGCTTCGTGACCACCTAGCGGGGTGGGAGGGAGGGAGACGCAAGAGGGAAGAGATATGGTAGCATATGTATATGTATAACTGATTCATTTTGTTATAAAGCAGAAACTAACACACCATTGTAAAGCAATTATACTCCAATAAAGATGTAAAAAAGGGCTTCCCTGGTGGCGCAGTGGTTCAGAGTTCGCCTGCGGATACAGGGGACACGGGTTTGTGCACTGGTCCGGGAAGATCCCACCTGCCGCAGAGCAGCTGGACCCGTGAGCCATGGCCGCTGAGCCTGCGCGTCCGGAGCCTGTGCTCCGCGACGGGAGAGGCCTTAGCGGTGAGAGGCTTGTGTACCTCAAAAAAAAAAAAAAAAATGAGAAAAAAGAATCACATTGGTGGAAATCTCTCTGCCTGTTAACCTATTTTTAAAATATAGCAAAGGTAGTATTTTCATTGCAGTGCCTCTCAAACTTTAATGTGCATCTGAGTCATCTGGGGATTTTGGTAAAATGCAGATTCCTTACTGTGTAGATCTGGAGTAGGACTGAAAATTCTGCATTTCTATCAAGCTTCCAGGTGTTGCTGATGTTTCTGGTCCTAGGATCATTTTGAGTAGCAAGACTCTAGAGTTATGATTCTCAAACTTATTTGATCATAAGAAGCTTTTTTTTCCCCTAGAGAGTATACCTCCAATTACTTATCTTACTGGTGTATTTTCTTACATCATCCAGTAGTATATGTGGACTATCAAAATACATTAAAGGAACATATACATTTTTTCTGGTATATAATGTGAGGGGAGGCATTGTCTAAGCAATTTAGTCTTTTTTTTTCTTGAGATATAATTGACACGTAACATGTTAGTTTCAGGATTCCATCTTTGTATGTGTTGTGAATAGAGCACCACAGTAAGTCTGGTTAACATGCATCACCACACATACGATAGTTACAGTTGTTTTTTTTTCTTGTGGTGGGAGCTCTTAAGATCTCCTTTGTTAGCACCTTTGAAATATATAATACAGTATTAACTATAGCAAGCTTTTAGAAATATTTTGTACTGACAGAATACCAGCAGACATTTATGAGATATAATGTATGCTTATATCGAGGGTAGGCAAACTAGAGCCCACAGGCCAAATCCAGCCCACCACATGTTTTTAAAAATAAAGTTGTATTGGACCGTAGCCACACCTAGTTACTTATATATTGTCCATGGCTGCTTTCCTGCTACACCAGCAGAGTTGAGTAGTTGCAATAGAGACCATATGGCCCACAAAACCTGAAATATTTACAGTCTGGTCCTTCACAGAAAAAGTTTGCTGACCCTTGCTTAGATTAAAGTAAGCAGAAAAAAAAAGTTTTCAAAGATTGACTTGATAGATTTAAAAAAAACAACTTTTAAAATGATTTTCAACTTTGAGGAATGGAGCATCAGAACCACCTGAGGAGCTTTTTCAAAACACTGGTGCACTTCATTCCTTTCAGCCCTCAGCAGTTGATACATCCTTGAATGCGTGAGTGTGTGTGTGTGTGTGTGTGTGTGTGTGTGTGTGTGTGTGTGTAGGTGGGGAGTGGTGTGGTTTGGAGGACATTGGTAGTTTGAGAATCTTCTCAAATGATTCTGATTCATAAATGTGTTTTTTCCCCTATTAAGACATTTTTTAATAGAAGAACCATAAAAACCCATTATTTTATTAATAACAAAGAACAAATACATTGAAATAAGACAAGGTACATAATATATACCAGCATTCATCAGAATGCATACATCATTATAACACACAATGATGCTGCCTTCCAATTTTAATATTGCTATAGCATTTTGTAAAGTTTTTTTTAAGGGTGATAGTTCAAATATTGTTAGCAGTGAAATTACCATGCTTCTCATACTGAAGTGTTGATTAATAATTTTTTAATATAACGTATTCGAATCTTGGTGCTTCAAAATAAGCTATCCCAGCCAAAGCCTTGTACTTTACTCATGTTTCAGGTTCAGGGATTTATTTTATACTTTGTTTTGTAGTTTTGCCAGCTTGAAGTTAGCTAATGGTGGTTCTTGGGTAGAGGGGATTCTAAAGTGATTTTTCTTTGTAGATTCATCAATGGGTTTTACTTTTTTTTTTTTTATGTTGTGTAGAAACAAAAATTCTTTAAGTTAATAAAGTCTGAGCATTTGGGAATGCTTTTCTCTTCAGATTGCTAAGTGGAATTGTAAGGGAAAGAAGTTTGTATGATTTTTTTATAAATATTGTATTCTTAACAAAAATCTCTTTACTGCATTATAAGCACTAAATCTCAAGAACTTTGTTGTTTGTGTTTCATTCATTTCACTTATTTTCACAGAACTTCATAGCAACCGAAGTACTCAAGCTGTTCAGTCTTAAAAAGGAGCCAAACCACAAAACAGATTGGCAGAAAATGATGAAATTTGGAAGAAAGAAAAGAGACCGAGTGGATCATATCCTGGTCAGTGTGTATAACTGAACTATTTTTATTTTGACCATCTTTTCCAAAATCAGAATGTAGTTAGATTTTAAAAGGAAAGGGAATATAATTGATCTTAAGTCAATGACAGTAAATTCTTAAAGCCCTCGTGTGCTGCATTTCTTTCTGCCCCTCAGTTTTGGAAATTGCTTTCTTTTGAATTCAGTAGATGAATATTTAACTTAACAGTATTTTTGTGGGTGTGGAGAACTTGAGAAATAAAAAGTTGAGTGGAAGCAAACTTAAGGTTCTGAATTGAAGAGACCAGTGTAGACTAGGGCCAGACTCCCTGAGTTTAGATCCCTGTTCTGGCACTTTACTTGGTGTGTAATCTTGAACAGATTAACCTCTTTGTGCCGCATTTTCCTATCTGCAAAATAAAGATGATATAATAGTACCTACCTGATAAAATTATTAAGAGAATTAATTTAGTATTTATATGTGTATAGAACAGTGCCCTGCACGTAACTCAATAAATATTAGCTGTTATTTCATCATCATTATTATTATCCAGAACTTCAGCTGAATAGGATTTATTCCATTTTGCAATATATTTTCTAGCATTAGAAAAATGCCTATCAAACAACAACACCAAAAAAAAGAAAAAAGGAAGGGAGAAAAAAGGTCTTTTATTCTTTGTTCCCTAAAAGAATGTTAAGATGTTAAGTAGTAGCAGACCTTAGGAAATTCAGATGTTAATTGATTCAGGTTTATTTCCAGATATTTTCTCTCTGGACTTTATTTATATCTTGTCTATATTTATATTCATATCATGAAAAAAACCTGTAATGCTTAAATTTATCAGTTTTCCCCAAGTATGTTTCTTTCTAGTGCTTCATTTACTCAGTAATAACTTCACTAGATAAACATTTGTTAAACATTCTTTCTCATGTCTTACTTGATCCTCACAATAGTTGTATGAGGTAGGATGGACTAATGTTACTCTGTTTTACAAATGAGGAAGTTTAGATTCAAAGATACTAAGTAACTTGCCCATCGAATAAGAGCCAGGACTTTAACCAATTAGTTCTCCATAGATCTTGGCCTCTCAAGGTGAACTTGCTCTCATATTTCTACAATAGCTTAGAGTTTGAGTTATTATTAATTACCAAGATGTTACTTCTTCCACTTTTTAAGGAATTAAAGAAAAAAGCACATCAAGAGACATTCATTTACCCTACTATCAGTTGAATTGATCATATTCCCTATAAATCATCTCTGTGCATGCATTTAGTCAAGAATTGTGCTAATTAGGAGTGATGTTACAATAGTAAGCAAAATAGACATAGACCCTGCCTTCATGGATTTACAGTTTGCTGGCAGAAGCTAGCCATTAATATATAATTTATACAAGTGTGTAATTGTAAATTAAATGATAAAAATAGAAGAATAGGGAGCTGTTGTAAAAGCATATGGAGGAAACTGGTCTGATGAGGATGGTCAGGAAAGGCTTCCCTGAGGAAGTGACAGCTGAGCTGAGATCTTAAAGATGAATAAGCATTAACTGAGTTCCGTGATAGAGAGAAGAGCAATTCAGGGAGAGGAGACTACACGTGCGAAGTCCTGAAATGGGAAGGAGCATGGAACTGAAATGTCAGTGTGGCTGGAGAGTGAGTTGAAATACCTGGGCCTATGTAACTTTTTTCATGAGTTCACTCTTCTTAATGTTTAGTGAAATGATACTGTTAGCAACTTGAGTTAATTATTAACAAGAAGTGCTAAATAAACTGGTCACCCTCCCTACTGTTAGATTTAGCCGCCTCTGGCATTTGGATCTTCTAATGCTTGTACATTTTAGAGAGATTGAGATTTAAAACAACAATTTTCATGACACATAAAACAAAAATTTTGCCACTAGTACAAAAGAAAAGGGTCTCAAAAATAGAAATTTCAAATACGTTTTAAAAATCATATTTATTATAAAATAATCATGCTCATTTTAGAAAATTTAAAATACTGATCAGTCAAAAGAAAATAATCATGACAACCTTATCACCTAGATAACTCTTAATTATTTTGATATATAGACTTAGAGTTTCTTTTTATACTGAGAATTTTTTTTAAACATTTGGGATCATAGTCTCTTTTGTATTCTGATTGTTTTTGCTTAATTAAACGTGGATGTTTTTCCTTATTTTTAAATGTTCCTTTATTTTATATCATTTTTATTTATTTATTTTTTTTGCGGTACGCGGGCCTCTCTCTGCTGTGGCCTCTCCTGCCGCGGAGCACAGGCTCCGGACGCCCAGGCTCAGCGGCCATGGCGCACGGGCCTAGCCGCTCCACGGCATGTGGGATCCTCCCAGACCGGGGCACGAACCCGTGTTCCCTGCATGGGCAGGCGGACTCCCAACCACCACGCCACCAGGGAAGCCCTTTATATCATTTTTAAATAAATTTATTCCATTTTATTTTTTGTGGAAATATAGCAGTCCATTGTAGAATTATGTAACAAAGCAGACAAAACTCAAGGAGCTTTTGCTCTAGTTAAGGAGACAGATAAGTAAGAAAAATAAATACAGAGAGAGGGAATAAGGGAATACTGGGGTGATTTGACTTACATTTTAACAGGACCCCTCTGGCTGCTGTGTTGAGGATAGACTGAAGCAAAGGTGGGAGTAAGGAGGCCAGGAGTATATTGTCATAATCCAGGCAAGTGATAATAGTGGCTAAGACCAGTTTGGTGGTATTGGAGATGGTGAGAACAGTTTTCAAAATAGAACAGCAGAACTGCTGATAAATCGAATGTGGAATATAAGAGAAAGAGAGGTATTAAGAGTAACTCCATTGGGTTGGTGTGAGTCGCTGAGGAAGGGAATTGCCTTCTGCTGATTTGAGGAAGACTGAGAGAAGCAGGTTTGGAAGGAACATCAGGAGTTCTGTTTTGAATGTATTAAATTTGAAATGTCTAATAAACATCCAAATGGAGATACTGAGTAGGCTATTAGATATGAGCCTGGAGCTCAGGCAAGAGACGTAGGCTGGAGATGTGAATTCGGGAGTGGTGACATATAGATGGTAGTCAAAGCCAAGAAAGAGAGTGTAGACCAAGAGAGAGGAGGTCCAAGGACTGCTTCTTGACAAATTCCAATGTTTCGAGAGTTAAGAAGGTGAGGAGGAACCAACAGAGACTAAGGAGCAGCCGATGGGTAGAACCAGGAGGGTGTGAGGTCCTGGAAGCCAGGTGAAAGTGTTTCAAGGGGGAAGAACGAATCACCTGTGTCAAGTGCTGCTCATTGGTCAAGTAAAATAATGACTGAGAATTTACCATTGGATTTGGCAATGTGGAGGTCTTTGTTGATCTTAACATCAATACAGGTAGTTTTTGTGGCATGGATAAAGTAAAAGCTTGATTTGAGTAGGTTTCAAGAGAGAATGAAAGACAAATTAAGGAGAGCAAAATTGGACACTTCAAACGAGTTTTTTTGTGAAGAGAAAAATGGAGGGAAATGGTAACAAGAGAAGGGCTCTTTTAGCTTGAAAGAGATATGCCGATAGGAAAAAATTGTGATGATGCAGAGGAGAAAGGAGAACTGCTGGAGCAGTGTTCCTGAATAGACACAGATGGAATCCATGCAAGTGGAGGGGTTGGCCTCAAACTGAATATCAGTTGCCCTTCTAAAACAATTCTAACATGATAACCTATTATATTTAATATTTCATAATAGTTGCTTTTTCCAGATTAAGAAATGTATAATTTAGCTGTTTTTGCTTGGTCTAGGAAAGTCCTTAATCAGTCTGTGTGTCTTTAGGCATTATGTGAGGTGAGTAAAATACAAAGAATGTGCGTTTTAGGTGTTAAAGGCCTCTGTTGGCCAAAAAAGAAGAAAATCTTTTGGCTCTAGTTCTCCTTTACTATCCCCTTACCACTTCACAAAGATATTGATTAATTTACATCTTAAGTTGGCTAAGAATATGGGCTATTTTTAGCGATGTATTCTCAAAGTATATATGATGTGGAATGAGTAAAAGTAATTAGACCAACTTTTGTATATCCTTTATATACAGTAGCCCTGGGAAATCTCCCTACTGTAGGTAGAATTGCATTTACAATGACAAATCCTGTAGTGAAACTACCTAGCTAATGATTAAATCTCCTTTACAGATTAAGATCTGATAAGGTACTCAACAGCTCCTGAGTTTTTACTTACTGTTGATAAGTTCTTTCTCATATTAAGCCTGAATTGGTTTTCAAGTAATGAATTATAATTTGCTTTTACAGCTTTAAGGCTTTACATAACAATTTTAATTCTTCCTACATGCCTTTGAAGCGGCTGTAATGTTTCTCAGTCTTTTTCTCCCTATTAAACATTGATATTCTCTCCTGTTGTCTGATAGCGTTTTTTTGAGCCCCTTTCAACCTCATCAGCTTTAGCTCTTTGTCAGTGTCCCTCCTTAAATACACTGCTCAGAATTGACCATATACAGGCATACCTCATTTTATTGCACTTTGCTTTATTGTGCTTCCTAGCTACTGCAGGGTTTTTTTGTTTGTTTGTTTTAACAAATTGAAGGTTTGTAGCAATCCTACATTGTCAGATAATGGTTAGATTTTTTAACAATAAAGTATTTTTTAATTAAGGTATGTACATTGATTTTTACACATAATGCTCTTGCACACTTAATAGGCTACAGTATTATGTAAACATAACTTTCACATGCACTGAGAAACCAAAAAATTTGTGTGACTAGCTTTATTGCGATATTCACTTTATTGCACTGGTCTGGAAGTGAACCCACAATATCTCCGAGGTATGCCTGTAATATTTTGTGTTATTGCTTAATTAGTACAATCACATAACCTCCTTCTTTTTTCTAGATACTATCCTTTGATGAATGCAGTTTATAATCACGTTCGTTTTATTTTTAGCTATACCATTCTCATGGCGCTCACAAAAGCTTAGAAAAATTCTAAGACCCAAATCTCAACCTGTGCTTTTGTAGTTATTTTTTTGATCCAAGTACAGGACCTTATTTTATTCCTTCATTTTGTTAAATTTGGCCTATCATTCCAAGCTTATCAACACATTTTTAGGTTCTTTCTTTTAACATAGCTATTGTGTTTCCCAACTTTCACGTCAACTCTAAAACTGAGGTACCTGCCTTCATCTAGGTCATTGCTAAAAATGATGAACTCAACAGAGCCAAAGACAGCCATAAAACACTCACTAAAAAATGATATGCCAGATATTTATTTAACACCTTCTATTTGCACTGGCCTGGCCACTGGGAAATTATAAATAAAAAGAAATCCCACAGCCTAGCAGGAGAACAGATGCACAGAATACAAAATTCTGTAGGATAATTACTACAATGGAATATGAACAAAATGGATTGGGAGCACAGAGGAAAAAGCTCTTGAGTCTTCCAGGCAGAAGCTTCCTTCCAGGTTGATAGTTGTCTTGTCCTTCAATCCAAAAAAGTGCACATCCACCTAACTGACCTGTCTCTATTTCACCGTCTTGTTCACAGGGATATGGTGAAAGGACATATGCTTGCTGAAATTTGGCCACATTCTATTTACCACTTTTCTCTTTTCTACCAGCCTAATACCCTGTCCAAAAAAAAAAAAGTTAGACTGACTTTTTAATTTAATTATTTATATATAATACATACTAATTTACGTACATACACACATACATATTAAGGAGCAGCAGCAAGGGAAGTGTGTGGTTGAATAGAATAGATTCTCCAAACCAGAAGAAAATGGAGGCATATTTGCAGGTTGTGAGATCTCTCAGTTGCCACAGTTGAGGTTGCAAACTGGGCTTTGTGCTTTCTGATGGCTAGAGGAAAAAGGGAAACATGATGTTCTTACTGGCTGGGAGGGAAATAATTCCTGTTCTTACAGAGGAGCAAAGCTTTTGCTATACTGACGAGGCACAGTGGGGACTCATCACGGCTTCACTGAGAGATATAATGGATAATGTCCTGAGCATATGTTCCTGCTGTAAGGGCAAAAATGATTACGTTAGGACAGTGTTGCCTAAATTTTATTATCGTATAGGAAATTGTTCAAGGAACAAATTTAATAATAAAGGCTGAGAGAACTTAGAAAAAGGAAAGGTGTGCAACTTTGTTTGAACAGATAAACAAATTCATGGGAGATAAGAGATCTTTTATAGGGGACACACTTATTAGCTTTTCCAGAACGTGATTCTCCCTCAGCACCAGGTTGAGAAGTGTTGCATTAGGCTGTTGCTTATAGCATCCTTCATAAGAGAAGAACACCTGTTCCTTTGTATCTTAATAATAATTTCTTATATAGCCACACAATTTGATTCTTTGACCAGATACATACAGGAAGCTCTGAATTAATCAAGTTCCTCTACTGGTGGACTTCTGTTTAGAATAGACTGATGTACATTGCGAAACTCCCAGAGGGAGGTTTCTAAACTTATTTGACCATATCACCCTTTTTGGTGGTATTTCTGTCCAGGGAGCATGCGTTAGGGAACAAAGAAAGGGATATTTTACATAGGCTTCAAGCAGCCTCACCAAGGAGAAAGAATGCGGCAGCCGCCTTGCCACATACCCGTCAACCCCAGCCAAGGGTGCATGTCTGGCAGCGCTGCTCTCCCACACTCCAGAATGGTGTGGCCTCTCCTCCAAGAGTCTTCTCGTTTCCTCGTGCCAGGAATCAGAGCACAGGTTCCCCTCTTCACTTCCGCTGCCTTTTTCAAGAGGAAATTGTGATAAGTGCAAGTTAGGAGCTTGCTGTCACATGGCTTTTGGCAAGTTAGACTTTTGGTTAGAGACCCTCGACACCGCAGTTAACTTTGCTGAATTTGTGACTAAAACAGGGTTTACAATCTACTCTCTCCACCTGGCCTCCATCTCACTCACAATATCATTACATACAATAAGTCTAACATGTTTCTCTTATAAGTAGTTTTTAAAAATTTATTGTAAACAAGCAAAACGTCTTGGGCAGTTCATTCTAATTTGATTCCTTTGGTTTACCTTAGGAATCCCCAAATCCGAAAATGCAAAAAGAGCATTTTATATAAAATATAATACAACAGTGACTTTTAAAATAAACTTAAGCAATAGTACATTTAAAGAATACTCCAATACCAAAAAAAATGGGGGGGGGGGTGGAATTCCCTCACGGTCCAGTGGTTAGTACTTGGCGCTTTCACTACTGAGGCCTGGGCCTGGGTTCAGTCCCTGGCCAGGGAACTAAGATCCCACAAGCCACGCGGCATGGCCAAAAAAAACTCCAATGAATATGAAATTTTACTCATTTATTTACATACTCCAGAATCACACCTAATATTGTCTTGGATATATGCATTTTATAATTGTAAATCCATATATCTGAAAATTTGCATTCTTCTACGTATTCTCCTATGTTGACAGAGACAACGTTCTTGTAATCCTTAATATCTATAAAAATACTGGAATACTGTCAAGGTTGACAGATTTGAAGCCAGTTTTTATTTGACAGTTGTGTTTTTTCAAACTTTTTGCAGCTTTAAAAGAGCTATTGATGTCATCATATAAATTACCTTTTTTTCTCTGAGTTATTTCCTTGGGTTGTAGTACGACGCGTGGGGTTGCAAAGTTAGTGAGTATCATTGATTCCTAGCTTTTGTGTGACAGTGATTTTCTAACCTTTCTGTTTTCTAAATTCTAGGTACAGGAGCTCCACGAGGAGGAGGCACAGTGGGTGAACTATGATGAGGATGAGTTATGTGTGAAGATGCAGCTAGCTGATGGGATCTTTGAGACCTTGATCAGAGATACTGTTGATGTTCTGAATCAGATCAGTGAAAAACAGGGGAGAATGCTACTTGTGTGACATCTTGCAAATAAATCGAACACTGAGTGCTAATATGAGTCCTGGGCCTTTCTGCCTCCTGATATACACCCCATCTCCATCATAGCAAGAGTGCTTCTGGACCTTGTACCTGTTCTTAAAGACTACTGGTTTGGAGTTCATGGGACAATGAGGTATATCTGGTATTACAGCCTTAGCCTTTAGAGACTGTCCACTGGAATAACTGGTTGTTTTCGGTGGGCAGGGTCTGATGTTGACACACAGTGTAATCCTACACCTCTTGTTAGCATCCCTACTGGGTCTCAGATGAGGGCTGAAAGCACCAGACTTACCTCTTAGCTTAGACTAGGGTATCACTTCCTTGAGTCTGAAGTCAAGCAAGAGAGGCATATAGATGTGCATCATACCATTTTTGAAATGGAATCCTGGTTTATACCATGAAAGTCATAAATGGACATTATAGTCTCTAAACAGTATTAAACCCTGAACTACTTTCAGATAGGCAAGTTTAGTAATGTGTGCCTATTTCCCCTTGTGGAGTTCATTTCATTTTGTTTTGAAGACCATTTTCTTCCATTATTGCAATTGAGCAGCACCAAGTGGACTGTCAAGTTAAGACATCAGTGGTAGCCTTGCTTCCTGAGCACCATCTAAAGAATTTTAAACTTTTGCATTATACTTAGTTTTTTCTCTGTGAGCATGAAAACAAAGAAGTGCCCCCACTGAAGACTGGGCTCACAGGACTGGTGCAGGGCTGGTTCTTCCACCCCTTGTGGGCCTGGGTTCAGTCCCTGCACTTTTCTTACTTCTTCTGAACCTCTGCCAGCTGCTCCCAGAATCACAGATCCTCAGGACCATCTCAGGCATCGAGGCATGGCAGAAGTGGAAATAATTCATTTTGGCCTTCAAACTTTAAGCTCCCATATCTCCCCAAGAAGTCAGAGACGCTGTTACTTGAATGATTTAGGAAATGAGTGTGTGCACCAAAGACAAAAAGATATTGTCTATTGTTTGTGTGCTTGTTTTACGCTATAGAACATTTTTTTAATTTATTTTAAGATAAATTATTAAGTTGAAAATGTATGTCCCTATTCAGAAATGAAAGATTCTTCTTGTAATAGTTAAACTTCTGTCTTGAAGCTTCTATGGTTCGTAGTCTTTGCACAGGAAACTTACGGTTTTAACAAACCCATACACATATTGAAGAAGGCAGTTTAATTCAGTAAAAAGAAGATGAGCTCTTCTAAGATCACCTGCAGTAGCAGGAATGGGGTAAAATGATTTAAAGACACTGTAAAATTCAATTCTGCCTCTCTTGCAGCATTGCTTCTCACAACTATTACCTGTATCTGAAAAAAATATATAGACTCCAGCTGCTATGTTAGAGCATGTGTGATGCTCTCCTGGGACCTCAGTACCCTGCCTTCTTGACTGGTTTCTCTGAATCAGTCCTATCCTTCAAGTAATCTAGAAGAATGTGGATAATCTTAGGCGTGAATGTAAATGCCTTAATATTGAAGGTCCTGATTAGAAGCATGATATAAGACATCCACTGGATTCATACTTAGAAATATCCTGGAATGTTATAACTTCAAAATATGTTAGGAAAACCCCAAAGATGGTATAATCTTTAAGTGTGCATGTTCATTCATTTCTGCCTCTTTCCTCCCAACTTGCCTTTGCGTCTCCAATGTTTTACTATGCACACTTCCATTCCTCTTTGGTTCCATCTTGTCATTATGAGAAACTTATTGAAATAATCATTGGAATACTTGCATTTTGCACAATGACTGGTATGATAGCTCTTGACAAATAAGGAAAGCACTGAAATGTTGTGACTGGGTCTCGGGAAATGCTCAGATTGATGTTGCCAGCATTGCTTCTAGGCTTTTGATGTTGAGCTCTAGTCTTGTAGCCATAATGAGCAAATTGACTAAGAGAAGCTAGGGTTTCTTGGGGTTATTAACCAGTAGTGTGGAGATATTATTTTCATGTGGCCAAGGAAAAGCGAAGCCTTTTCTTTTCAGTTTGTGTTATTTGGAAGACGGAAAAACATCTTGTCTACATCCTTTGGCTGTTTGTAGGATTACATAGTCCTTATGATACTGAAACTTTACAGCTGCTGTAAATTTTTTATAAATGAATATGAAAATAATATAATAGGAATATAGGTTGTTTTTCTACATACTCATTATTTGGACCTAAATAAATTTTTAATAATGTTTATCTTTACTCTTTATGACATTGTGATTCCAAAAATGAAAAAAATGATATAAGTCCACGGAATCAGCAACCTGGACTTAAAGTTCCCTGGTAAGAATGCTGCCAAGAATGTGGCAGTAGCAGTCCTAACATACTCCAGCTGTCTTTACTGTCTTGAGAATCCTGGGTTCCAGATAAAAGAGGCAGGAATGGATCAGTCTTACTCTTTGCTAGAAATGATTATCCATAGTTTGGTAGCAGAAAACAAAGGAATCTATAATTAGCAGATTTCTTATTGCTTTAACTACTTGGGTATAATTGAAAAGGGGTTACTTGTTAGCATTAGGAATGATAAACATGGATACCCAGCCACTCGTTCCATATTGGGATCTTTTTAATCAAGCTCTGCCTCTTAACCAAGAATCTAAATATTCCCTCTTTGTAATCTTTGTTCCTTCTCCCCACATTCCCATCCTCTTTCACTCTTTCTTCATAATTCCTCTAAGAAAAAGATCTTTGCATCAGCAGTAATATCTTTTAGAATAATAGCACTATCAGAATTTAGCAGTAAACCAACATATAGGCTTCAGATTTATTTCTGAGTCCAAAATAATTTGTGCTATCCAGGGTACTTCACTCTGGGTTAAATAAGTACAGGGTATAGATTCCCTCTTCAGGTCTAAACAGGAATTTTTACTCTAGGGAAAAGTGGGAAGAGCTCAAAAGTAGTTAATAAGGAAGGTAATTTGTGTTTCTTTTATGTAAAAGAAAGGAAAATTCCTTCTGTGACTACAGGTCTCTGAGAAATTACCTTTCAAAAGAGATTTCATCGCTCATAAGAGTGTTGTGGCCTATTGATAGAAACAATTTTGTTCACTTTCTTGTCTTGAAAAAAAAAGTGGCCTTAGCTTTTTGCAATACTTGAATAAAGTGTGTACTCGCACAGCGTTAGAGACTCATAACTTTTCTGCAAGAAGTTCAAACTTACATCTTCTTTTACTACCTTAAGAATACTAGTGAATAAAACATTAATTCAAAGAGCAAATGATAGAAACTACAATGATGTTTAATGCAAATTGTAGAAATTTACATGTTTACAAATCATCTTAAACTGGTTGTGCAGCAATTCAATAAACTGTATTATAAAAATGTGAAGAAAAAATGTAAACTGATGTAAAGGAGGTACTGTCATTTTAATTAATCTATATTTAATAGCTTTTCCTTCTGAACTTTGCAAAGCCTTCTCGGTAAACACATTGCAAAGCATTCCCTGGGAGGCCCCGCCTCCCTGTGTGTACTGTATTGTGCAGACATGAAAAACAAACCCGTTTACTGTGTATGTGTAAATAGCCTGGTCATCAGGCCTTTTTCAGTCAATAGTCACATCCAGTGCAACTTTGCACAGAAGACTTAGGGTGTGGTTTGTAAGTATGATCTGTAAAATAACTGGGATGAGTTCCCATGTACACCTGTGTAAATAGATTTGTTAACTGAAATGTACTTTAAGAAAAGATGAAATGTGTAAATAAACTGATTTGTAAATTAATTTCATGTCAGGTGTTCATTTTTTTCACCTTCTGAGCCAAGTTTAGAAAGCTAGTCTCCATAAAATTCACTTCTGATCTGTTATTGGGTGGCAGAGCACTTATGATCGAGCAAAAGAGTAAAGACGAGCTGCGCGTAGGACCTGTTTACATAAGTGCCATCCCCACGTCCATCTGAGCAGCCTGGGCTTTGACATTCATAACTCACTCCTTCAACAGTCCTTGCGCCCACCTTCGTGTTCTGAGCACTGTGCCCAGTGCAGTGGAGAGAGCAGACAACAGACATGATCCCTGACCTTGGGGAGCTTAAAGTCTAACGAAAGAGAGTCATCAAAAAATAATTTCAAAAACAATGTATGCCAAATTGCGGCAAGCCCTGCAAAGGAAGCATACGCTGGTTTGAGAATATATATTTAATACAAGGACCCAACAAGAGTAGGGGAGTGAGTCAGAGAAGAGTTCCCTGCTGCATTATAACTTTGTGTTCTATATCGATGGACTTCTCCCCTGTAATTCAAGGCAAATGTCTTTTCTCCCAAATGACTTGAATTCTGATCACCCTTTACAAAGTAACATGTGGAAATGTCACACAATTAAGTGGGTGACGAGGAAGAACAACCATCTGATGAGGTGTGGCTATAATTTATTTCTAGAAATATAAGCTTGGAGATTAGAGCTGGAAGAATAAAAGGATTGCCAAGGTGGAAACGGTTGCCATTCAGGATTATGAATCATCTCTGGTCCAGCAAGTTAGACGTAACCACCACCATCTCACCTGAATTCCTCTGGTAGCCTCCTGATGGCTATCCCTCTTACAGCTTTAACTCCTACACAACCATGTACATTAAAGAAATTCTCAGAAAAAGATCCCGTATCGCAGCAAGTTCTAAGTTCTTCTGACTCTTATAAAACAGATATTTGAAAAAAAGAAAAAAACAAAAACAAAAAAAACCACCAGATATTTGAGTGCCCACAATGTGCCAGATACTTTTTGTTGGTAAGTCACGATAGTAATGACAGCTTGAATCTTGGAAAAAAGACCAAGTACCTGTTTCCTTGAATCAAAATATATGAAAATAGTATTGATAGATGGGAGGATGGTGGTTGACACAGCAGAGCCAGGAATGGTGAGACCAACACTGGTGAGACTTACAGAGGTGAGTGCTGGAGAAGCAAGCCAGTGCTCTATAAAATCCCAGAAAAGCTCAGAAATTGGAGGCAGCGACTGCCACAGAGAAAGCTGTGAAGTGTGGCATTGTTTCGTTGGGTGGCAAGGCTGTGGAGCCAAGATTAAAAGGCAGGTAAGTGCTACCCAGGGGAGAGACCAGTGCGTAAATCCGAGGTCACTGAGAACAGACAGCAGCACCCCAAGCTCAAGGTACTGAGTTTCCTTACAGAAAGAGAGGAGAGAAAGCACACAACATCCGGTCCCTTGCAATGCTTCGGTCCCCCATGGCCAGCAGGTCCATCCAAGGCCTGGAAGCTTAATGGGGTACCATTAAGTTGGGGTTTTGATGGCTTTGTTGTAGATGTTTGAGCCACTCACTTCAGTGTGTTTTGGGCCCATCTGTCTGGGGGGATGGGGAGCATGAAAGCTCTAGTGATGTGATAGGAGCACGTCCGTTACTGTGTTTTGGGGGCTGTGAATGTGGTGTCTGGACCACGTGGGAATTTCTTTGGATATCTGAACATATGGCAAAGTTGTTTCTTTAAGCGACAACAGTGGTCTCTGAGTCTACATGGCACACAAATATGTGTCCAGGCGTGAGTCACTGGGATCCATGACTGGGGACTTGTGGTTCCATGTGGTCAGTTTGCCACATTTGTGTTGGGCCTAAGCCTGCTTCATGTGGCCCAGTTCGCCATGTCACACGGCCTGCCCTCACTGACAGGAGTCACAATACTGTTCTATCTTTGGCTTTCATTTTGGGGGGCGAGTCATTGTGAGTTGGTCCATTTTTATATCTGAGGTGGACATTTATGTTCCATTCTGTGATGGGCCCAACGGGCAGTCATGGTGATTTGCTAAGTGTGTGTTAGTTTAGCTCATGAGTTCCATTTGTGTGTGTGGTTTTTTTCCATTGGTTCTTTGTTATAAGCATTAATATGAGTGACGAGTAGGTTTTTTGGGTTTTTTTTTTTTCAGTCACAAGCTATTGTCTGCAATTTTCATTTGATGATGATGTCACCCAGGGAAGAAATCAAGGAGGTTGCTGAGAACAGACAACAGCGCCCCAGGCTCACGTGGTACCGTGTGTCCTTATAGCAAGAGAGGAGGAGGAGAGAAAGTGCACAAGATCCAGTCCCTTGCAATGCATTGGCCCCCCGTGGCCAGTGGCTCCACTCTGAAGCCGGTATGCACCCCACTTGGTGCTGCAGTGGAAGGACCCCAACCCCTCCTATGGGGTCTGAAATACAGAAAGCTGGGGTCATGCCAGAGGGTCACTGACACCTGTGCTGAAGCAGAGCAAGGAGTACACGTTGAGTCTGAAGCAGGGAAAGGTGATGAGCCCGGCACAGCCTGTGAGGACTCTTGTCTCTTGGTAAGGAAGTGGTCCAGGCCCAGGCCCATTCTTAGGTGACCATGCAGGAGGGGAGAAGCCGTGTGTGACTGTGTTTCCCAGCGGGGATGAAAACAGAGAAATTGATTGAAGTCTGAAGGGATCAAGTAGACTCCCCTGGCACCTACCCCCACCTAGAGGATCCAGGTCACTGATGATCCCCTCTCCAATGCCCTCAGGAGATAATTTATTGTCTGGAGAAATTGAACCAGAGAGGCCCTGAATTCAAGGACACCAGGTACAACAGAGCACAAAAATGAGGCAACAGGCCAAAAATAAGGATTAAGTTAAAGTCTGTGGACTGAATGGAGAGATCCAGTCAAGCTCATTCAGAACTCCCTGTCCCAGGAAGAAGACTGGAGGACCCTCCTCTGGGGAAACAGAACAGCCTTGGAGGAAAGACCTGTAGTTACTGACATTTGGAGATTCCTCCAGAGAAAAAGTTGGATTGCCACCTGATCTCCTTCCAGTAAAGTTGACCAGTCGAAAGCCCCACCCATGCATACTGAGTTACTCATCACATCTTTAGCACATCGCCCATGTGTGAACAAATCACCACCCATCCCCAGATTTGAGGGAAACCTCCTATGTGAAACAGACCAAACCAAAAGGAAAACAAAACAAAAAGAAATTCTGCTGAGACAACAGTGCATGGCACCGAAGAAGACATTCCAAGGCACAAAAACTGTAATTAAAATTAAAATTCTGAGATACCAGAAGCAATACTGCCTCCATAAAATAGGAATGATATGGTCTAAAAGAGTAAAGAGTCAGACAACAAGATAACAGCTCTTGAAAATTAAAAGCAGAGTAGCCATAATTTTAAACTTAATAGAAAATTACAAGATAAAGTTGAGGAAGTCTTCCTAGAAAGTAAAACAAAAAGATTGATAAAAATAGGAGAGAAACAGAGAAAATCAGAGAACCAATCCAGGAAATCCAACCCCTAATTAATTGGACATCTAACAAGAACAGAGAAATCAAGAGGAAATTATACCAGAAAAAATTCTGGAACTTAAATACATGAGTTTCCAGTTGGAAATGGTCCAATGGGTGCCCAGCACAATAAATAAAGCCCCAGTGAGACACGTCACTGTGAACTATCAGAGCTCTGTGGGTAAAGAAACTATTCTAAAAGTTTTTGCAGAGAAAAATAAAATATTGCATACAAAGGATTAGGAATAAAAATATCATCACTCTCCTGAACAGAAACATTGGAGGCCTTAAGAAAATACAGCAGAATTTTCAAAAACTGAATGGAGATTATTTTCATCAAAAAGTCTACCCTTGGCCAAACAACGAATCAACTGTTAAGGCAGAATATGGACACTTTCAGAAATGCTAAATCCTTACTTCTCAAGCATTCTTTCTCATAAACCATGACAGCTAAAGACTTGGGATCCAGAAACAAGGGATCTATGCCAGGAAGACAGTGAGGGAAATTCCCAAGATGACTGCTGTCTCGCACACCTAGAGAGCTGTCAGTCCAGATTAAAGCAGGGGGACAGAGAACTCGAGAAGGAAGTTCTCCAGGTGGGCGGGAGGGCAGAAAAGAGAGGAGTAACTAACGTGCTGTTTTAACGATGTGAAACTTTTAATTGGTAGGCTTCTGGGAGGTGTGAAAAGACTTAGTAATGGGTTCAAAGAAGAATGAGTAATGAAAAAGTGAGTAATAGGTTCAAAGAAGAATGAGTAATGAAAAAACAAAAACAATTTCGTACAAATAGAGTACAATCACGATACGCTTCTTGGCTCACTATGAACAATATTTATAGTTACAATCATGTAAATATTGAATATTGTGATATCACTATATTGAGAGGATGGGGGAAGGGAAGGGTGGTATCAGAGAGCTAAACATGCACCTACCATATTAGCAAGTCTGAGGGTTAATTTTATGTGTCAACTCGGCTAGGCCACGGTACTCAGATATTTGATCGAATGCCAATCTATATGTCTCTATGAAGGTATTTTTTAGATAAGATTAACAATGAAATCAGGAGATTTTGAATAAAGCTGACTATCCTTCATAATGTGGTGGGCCTCATCCAATCATGTGAAGGACTTAAGAGGGAAAAAAGGTTGCAGTCCCACAAGGAAGAGTGAATTCTGCCCCCAGATTGCTTTTGGACTCCAGCTGCAGCATCAGCTCTTCCCTGGGTCTCCAGCCTGCTGGCCTGCTTTGCAGATGTTGTATTAATACTTGCCAACCCCTACAATCACACAAGCCAATTCCTTAATCTCTATCTGTCTGTCTGTCTGTCTCTCTCTTTCCACACACATTCCATTGGTTCTGTTTCTCTGGAGAACCCTGAGGAATATAGGAATTCATAGCTAAAGTATAAGAACACTAAGGTAAAGACCGGAGCAAAGATCTGAAATGAAATGATGAACAGTGGGTACCTCTGGATGATGGGGAGGAGAGGAATGAGACTGAAGAC